ATTCAGATCCAGCATCGGCACCGAAGAAATCTAAGCATTCACATGTTGGATTCGCGGATGACCACCCAGCAGATGGAGACCAGGCGGTCCAGACTGAAAAGTCTGATCTCGTTTCCGAGGCAGGGGATGCTACCATTGGCGATCAAATCACCACTCAGCCGCCGACCCCAGCTAATGAGAACGGCGATGACTTCATCCAACCACTACCTCACGCTTTTGTGCCTGGTGCCCACCCAGATGACCTGGAGACAGGTCGACCGGCTGCCATGTCACCCGCGAGGACCGAATCACTAGAGCCAGCCGGGACACCGCTCCCCGCAACCCTACAATACACAAACCGACTCCGTGAGCGTCCGAAGATCCCATACTCCCAATTACTTAGAGTATGGAACGGACGAATCGCGCAGGACAGCTGGTACCGCGTCGCCGTGCGACCATTTGTCCTATTCGCCTACCCATCTGTGCTCTGGTCAACGGTGGTATACTCACTCTCGGTCGGCTGGCTGATCGTGCTTTCGGAGTCGGTTGCGCACATCTTTGAGGGCAAAGAGCACTACCATTTCACCCCGCTGCAGATAGGTCTGGTCTATATATCGCCGTTTGTTGGCGGTCTCCTGGGAACCGCAGTAGCGGGCAAAGTATCAGACATCATCGCGCGGTATATGACCAGACGCAATGGCGGCATTTACGAGCCCGAATTCCGTCTTGTCATGGCACTTCCTATCGCCTTGTCTACTGTCATCGGTCTGATGGCTTTTGGCTGGAGTGCAGAGATTGGCGACTCTTGGATCGTCCCGACTATTTTCTTTGGTTTGATCTCGTTTGGTTGCTGCTTGGGCAGCACCACAGCTATCACCTTCTGTGTGGATAGCTATCGTCAGTATGCTGGCGAGGCGCTAGTAACTCTGAACTTTAGCAAGAGTATGTTGAACTGCCCTTGATGTCTTTGTTCATTTTGTCTGATCTAACACATTCTCTTTTGCAGATATCCTCCACGGCCTGGTTTTCTCCCTTTTCATCGTGGACTGGCTGGATGCCGATGGTTCGCGCACTGTGTTCTTGTCAATCGGCGGTATGCAGCTTTTCTTCATGCTCATGTCGATTCCCATGTACATTTACGGCAAACGAGCTCGCATGTGGACGGTGCGCAAGCGGCTTATGGAACGTCTTTAATCTGGCTCATTGAATATTCGTGGGGTATCGTTTGCATTGCATTTTTTTTATTTTCATTTCTTTTTGCCTACATGTATCTCGGGAGGTCCCCACTGTCGGGTTGTTTGAGACTTTTCTTTTTCGGAAGTCCCATATGGTGGTAGTTTGTAGTGGGAGCGTTTGAAGGGATTTAATGGGATCGATTATATTAACTAGCATTATATCAATATCGCAACTTTAAACCTCGGTTTTTGTGCAAATTGTAACAGTGTACGAAGAGTGATCACGGATGCGACCAACTTGAGTCAGCCTTGTGTATTGTATGACAGTTCAAGAGGACCATTTCCATTTCACTGCAAGAGGCTTAATTTGTGAAAACGACTCTTCCATATATAATTTGGGATTCTATCCTCTCAGGAGTCTAGGCGCTCGGGACTCTCTCGCCGCAAGGCTGGCCTCCGGCACATCTTGCCATGAAGTTATCTGATCTGCCAGTCAGCCGGAAAGACCGAGCTGCTTATAGTGCAGGAAATGATACTCCGAGCTCGTGGATATCGTACTCGGCTTTAATAATCTGAGCGGGGCTAGCGACAGAAAGAAAAAAAACCGACAAAAGCTGACGACAGCCCGGAGAGAAACCGAGAAATTGTTTTAGGCTGAGGGTTCCACCGTGGGCCTGAGGGCTTTTTCAACAGCAGAAAACAAACCAAAGAAGGTCGGATTCACCGAGGTTGCCCCGAGTAGGAGTATATTCTCGGCGCTAAACTCCTTTCGGGATAAGCCCCCCATTCTCAAATCTTATCTGATGAAACTCCATCATGCCAAGGGTTGAATGTTTGGCTTTTTTACGTACGTTGGATCTGATTAGGAGCTCGGCGTTGTTAGACTTTTATCAATCTCCGAGGTCCATAAATAGTAATGGCATCGCTTTTTTTTTGGGTTCAGAGTTCTGTATTTTCTTTACCTGACTTAGAAGACTCTAACCCATCCCCAGATCGAGTTGCGATCATGGCATTTGATACGGAGTCGAAATCTGTGGATGTGGTATCGGCGCCTGTCCGTAAAGATATTTACACCCCATCGGAAGAGTCTCACGACGACTCTGAGGGAAAGAAGCCGCCACCGCTTGCAGCAAAGTTATGCGCAGTCGCACTGATATCGTGTATTAGCTTTGGCTCGCACTGGAGTTCTGGCGTGACGGGTGCTATGAAGAGCACGATCAAAAAGGTACTGAATGCCATGAAGACATCGATTTGCAGGATTCACTGACAGTGGTTGTTTCGTAGCAAATGCATATTGACAATGTTCAATTTTCGCTTTTGGAAGCCAGCGAGAATTTCATGGCAACCGTTCTGCTTTTAATAAGTGGTGTGATCACCGACCGAGTCGGCGGAGCTGGTATGTTGTCGAATCTGTCAAATCAACGAGAGATATCCTGACCGGTCCTGTTTGATAGAGATGATTGTTTATGGAAATATCGTTTATACCATCGGTTCTATCCTGGTCGCTGCCGCCGCGACAGTGCGTTCTTTCGACTTCATGATCGGAGGTCGAGTCATTCTCGCACTCGGAGATATCGCCACACAAATTGCTCAGTATAAGATGTTTTCTTCATGGTTCCCTCCTAGCAATGGATTTGCATCTACACTAGGTTTTGAGCTGGCGATTGGCAAGATTGGAGGATTTGTTGGCAAGTCCACGGCCAATATCATTGCAAAGGTGATTGTGTTTCTCGGGTTAACTTGGTTGAGGCGATGCTGACAGGATAATAGAAAACCGGGAACTTTGCGTGGGTCTTTTGGACCTCGGTATTCATGAATCTCTTCACCAACGTGGCTACCGCAGGGTTCTGGTTCTTCAACAAGTATTGTAATCGCCACTACAAGGGACGACGCGACAGAGCCACCAAAGAACAACTGACAGAGAAGAACAAAAAGTTCGAGTTTCAAAAGGTGTTCGAGCTCCCGTGGATGTTCTGGGCTGTCATGGCCTTCTCTGTGTTCCAAACGAGTGCTGCGTCTGTTTTCAGTCAAAATGCCACCGAGCTGGCCGAGAAGCGGTTCAACGTCGATTCTATCCAGGCCGGGTGGTATAGTTCTCTTTCGCAGTATGCAGGTATGATATTGCTGGACTGTATGATAATTATCGCTGGATACAGGCTGACATTAATCAGGTTTCTTCCTCGTTCCCTGCTTGGGTGTGTTCATCGATGTCCTCGGTAACCGAGCATCTGTTTGTTAGTTTTATCATAATGATCAAACACAAGCCTAATACTGACATCCCTAGTGTTTACCTGCGGTACCGGTATGTTCTTGAGTATGGTTCTCATCAACTTTGCAACATCCAAGGCAGGCACAGGGGCTGCATTCGGCATCTACGCCATTGCCATGTCGCTTGGACCGACCTCCGTTATCGACAGCATTCGCACCACGATGTGGCACCAATCGGTCTTTGGATCTGCGTATTCTTTGAAGGTCACCATGAATAATGCGTAAGTTTGATACCCCAAACCCAGCGAAAGTGTGTTCTGTGACAGAAGTTGACATAGGACATCATAATAGTATGAGCATTATAATTCGGATCATCACCGGAGCTTTGCAGGACGCAGATGACGATTCATACCACCGAGTGGTGCAGGTATATCTAGTCCTTGCTGCCGGTGCTTTAGGTGTCGGTGCAGCTATTCTGATCGGTTCGTTTGTGACCGATAACCTGGCGGTGTTACAGTGGACTCGGCATAAACGGCTGACATCGGGTGCGGCAATTATCGAGCGAATTCGAGAGCGCAGTTTAGTAATCCAGCGCCGACGCACTCGGAATATTTCATTAATTTGCTTCGGGGCTTTGATCTTGTTGACACTTGGATCGTGGGTGGCGTATATCTGGGGGGCAGTGACTGGTCATAACTCCTAGTTGGGTAAGTTGAACAGTTGAATATAATTATCATTTTGTGAGGCTTCGAGTGTTTAGCTTTCTGGCAGAGACGATTTCTATACAAAAGGCAAGTCAAGCTCAATTCGGGTTATGTATTCGCCACTGTCGTCATGTGGTTCGTGGGGCTTGCGCTAGCTCTGCGTGCCAACCCCTGACAGAAATGACGTATTGTCTTTCAAATGTCGATGAAGCAAGGAAAAACAAGCTGGATTTAGCAACTTTTTACTGGTACAGATCGTGAAGATTTATTGGTCCACTTCCCTTTGATCGTGCCTGATATTGGTGGCAAATAGCGTTGCCTGAGGCCATGAGCCAATGATCTACAATTTTAGAAGCCACCCCAACAAGCCACTGAAACTCCCCTCCATATCTTGTCTACATTTCTGCTGCCCACTGGACGCCCCCTGGGGCCTCCCACTCATCGTGCTCCAGTCAATTGTATGCTGGTGGGCCGATCCCACCATGTCGGACAATCACACGAGAAGCGGTGGAGCAGGTGTACCGTGTACACGATTATCGGCGTGTACCGAGAGCTGGCTTCTTGGGTGTTTTATGGAGTATTTCTCCCTTGGCCCACCTCTTCCAAGGCCCTTCCCTACCTTGACAGATGAGATCGCTGTCATATTTGGTATCTGCACTTCACCTGACTTGCTCTTCGTCTGTGGAGAGCTATCTCTAAATCGAGAAAGCTCCAGGGCTCACTTTCCCTTTCTCCAATAATCCGTGACTAATCTAGCGACATCCATCCCTCTAATTTCCAACGTTTTTGATAGCGTCTTTTGTGTGTTTCGACTTCTCCCAACCTTCGTCTCCCTGCCTTGGTCTTCACTGGCGTGATAACTTGATCAACCTCGAAACTTGGAGTTTGAGAATGCAGCACTGTATTCCCACGCTTCCAACGCTAGCTGAAAACCATGGAAGTTCCTAGGACACGCCAGGATGGCCTACATAACGCAGATCGCAGGGCGAGGGAGCTATACCGCTACTACCAGCCTGCTTCCCAACCCGAGGCGGTTCCATCTTGGCTTTCTGCGAACGATGGATATCATTTCTCTGCAGTTTCAGCCAATACACTCACTCCACCGATCTCCGAAGGATCACTGCCTTCACATAGTAGTGCGACTTCCCGACCAGCAACCGCAATGGGCTCGGATTCTCTCGTTCTGGACACCGCGAACACTACCATGACGTCATTTGCCCAGTTAGCGGCCTTGCGCTTGAACGTTGAGCGCGTGTTTATCTCTGTTTTGGATCGTGATCTTCAACACATCATTGCCGAAGCTACAAAATCTCTCAATTTGAATGATCCCACAATCCATGACGACAACGATGGCGTCTGGTTGGGGGCACCCGATACCCGCAAGACATGGAGTGTGTGCAAGGTAAGTTTGCTCATCCGACGAGCTGGCTGATCCGGAGCCATCCTCGAACTCGATCGCATGATTCAGTGGCTCCTTGATTTTGACGCCGTTCGACAGGACATTGTTTCACTGCCCCCCAACGACCGCGAGAATGCAGACTATCAATTTCTAGTTGTGAACGACATGACCGAAAATGAACGCTACAAAGACCTTTCCTTCGTTGAAAAGGACCCCAAATTTCGCTTTTTCGCTGGAACTCCCCTGACGACTGAAAAGAATATCAACTTGGGTTGTTTTTTCGTGTTGGATAAAAAGCCCCGAGATGGGTTGACACCGCTAGAGAAGGATACACTGGGATCTCTATCAATGCTTGTGGTGAACTACTTGAAGGTTTGCAGACAGGCTTCCGAAGGACGACGGGCCGCGCGCCTTTCCCGCGGGCTCAGCTATTTCGTTGAAGGAAGTTCTAGTTTCGTGGATAGCATCGACCGGTCTCGCACCAACAGTGTCGGTATTCCATCAACAACTCCGCCGTCTTCCTTTAATCAAATGAGTGCCTCTGGTGGGTCTGATGGCTCTCCTGAGTGTCGTGGGAACGGTTCAGACAAAGCATCGCAAGAGCAATCCAATAGTCCACCCAACGACCGATCACTCAGCACCGACGCGCGTTCCTTCAGCTCTGTCCCCTCCGATCTGAAATTGGACTACGATTCGAAGGGCAGTAGTTCAAGATTGGGCAGCGGCTCGAAAGTAGAATCGGGCACTGTAGAGAGCTCTCTGCCAGAATGGCTGACAAGCAGTAGCCGGAATCAGCTACCACCCGATGATTCACAAGGCAACTCTTGGTGCTTCCGCAGAGCGGCCAATTTACTTCGGGAGAGTCTTGACTTGAATGGCGACAGTGGCGTCATTTTCCTGGAGTCCAACAATAACCCATTGATGGATGCCGATACGGGGAGCGATTGTTCCGAGACAGGCGGACCTGCCTCTGTTCTGTCAGCATCAACAAATGAAGAACCATTTGCTCCCCAGGCAGGGTCGATGGCCACGTGTGCTGCGGCAAATTTGGATCGATCCTTCCTGCAATTGTTGCTTCGACGCTACCCCAAAGGAAAGCTATGGTCTTTTCATCGCGATGGGCTCCTCTCGACATCGGATGATGACGACCAACAGCCTCAAGATAAGGGCCCTCTTGGCACCGGTGCCACCAGTCCGTCCCCACCGAGCGCAGCTGCACAACCTTCAAAGCTCGTGCGAAAACGGCGGAAAGCAGCGGAGAACGCAGTACTGAACCAGTATTTCCCAAATGCCGCGCAAATTATGTTCGTGCCTTTATGGAATGCCGTTTCGTCGCAGTGGTTCGGAGGATGTTTCTGCTGGAGCACAATCGAGACCCAGGTGTTCACCACCTCAGTCGAGCTCAGTTCAGTGCTTGGGTTTTCATCTTCCATCATGGCTGAATATAGCCGCGTTGAATCCCTCATCGCGGATCGCCAGAAGGGTGATTTTATTGGGAGTATCTCGTGAGTTTGTATTCGTCTCTGGAGAATATTTGACATACCCATCGCAGTCACTAACTAATTTCTTTTACTAGACATGAACTCCGTAGCCCCCTTCATGGAATCCTGGCCGCCGCCGAATTTTTGAACAGCACCCATCTCAATGAATTCCAGGACTCGTTGCTCGAGACTGTCAATTCATGTGGACGAACGTTGCTGGATACAATGAACCAGGTACTCGATTTCAGCAAAGTGGTGTCTTTGGAACGGACATGGCGGTCAATGAAACGTAAGAAAGAGTCAGCGGCCAATTATAAAGGATCAGACAAGCTGGCGCATCACTTGGATACGTTGGTGGCTACCGATGTGGCCATCCTCGCCGAGGAAGTTGTTGAAGGCATTTGTCTCGGCCATGTGTACGGGCAGAGCTCTACCGCTTCAGCTGACCTGCCTGTATTGATGCCACATCAAACAAAGTTGCAGACTCAGCGGTCCAACGTCGAAGTTGTTATTGACGTTTCGTTTCGGGATTGGGTCTACCGGACTCAGCCGGGCGCTTTGCGGCGCATCATTATGAATCTTTTTGGAAATGCTATGAAATATACAGAATCTGGCCGTGTCACTATTTCTTTAGCAGCATCCAGTCAATCTGAAGGACGATCTCGCCGGCAAGGCCTCGAAGACTTGGTCACACTAACAGTAACAGACACGGGTAAAGGTATATCGGAAGAGTTTTTGCGCGGCAAGCTGTACACGCCCTTTGCTCAGGAAGATGCCCTGGCCGTCGGTACTGGACTGGGATTGTCAATCGTTCGCAGTTTGGTCAAGGCTCTGAATGGAAGTATTCGAATTCGCAGTTGTCCTGGGGAGGGTACTGTCGTAAAGGTATCGCTCCCTCTAGAGAGGCCCGTTGGTAAGGAAAGTCCGGCCATACAACCATCTGGACAGCTTGTTCAACAGCAAGAGACCTTGGCCCAAACTCTTCTACTACGCCAGGGATACCCTGGTAGACGAGTCTCCATCTGGGGAGCGGACCCAACAAACGTGACTGCCGACTCTAACTGGTCTGAAATTGCTCGATACCTTTCAGACTGGTATGGCATGAAGATCGTCGCATGGACACCGGAAGCCAATGTTGACATTGTGCTTATGGATGAAACTGATTTACCCAACTTCCGCACTATTGCACCATCCGCCACTTTGCCTGCTCTTCTCGTCCTATGTCACAAGTCGGTGGATTACACCGGGGCAAAATCCGAGTGGTTGCCTCTTGCTTCCTCCGTCAACATCATCCGACGTCCCTGTGGGCCACACAAATTAGCCCGAAGCGTAATGAGATGTCTGACCGAAGACCGATCGAGATCCGCGACACCGGTTTCCGCTCTCCAATCACTCAGTCTACCGCTCAGGACGTCGTCAATGCCAGCACAACCTGCACTTGGTTCGCCCTACATGTCCCCCGTGGATGGTATTAACGCCCAGGATCCGGACTGCCACCAAGTCCGCCCCATGACGATATCACCACTGCAACAACCATCGCTGGTCACCTCATTGCCCGAGGAAATTGCAGAAGCCCCGTTACCAGCACCACTGATAGAAGGTGGAACCAACTCTTCGCGACTGCCACGAGTGCTTGTGGTTGATGACAATCGCATAAACCTCAACCTGATGATGACGTTCCTCAAAAGCCGCAATCTGACGGAGCTGGACCCAGCTGAGAATGGCAAATTGGCCGTCGAGGCAGTAGAGCGCATGCAAAGTGGTTATGATATTATCTTCATGGATATGTCCATGCCTGTTATGAATGGTTTCGAGGCTACTCGTGCTATCCGATCGCTGGAGAGGGATACGGATGGCCGCAAGCCAGCTATCATCATTGCCTTGACTGGACTTAGTAGTTCTCGCGATGAGTCAGATGCTATGGCTGCTGGTGTGGACTTATTCCTCACCAAACCCGTCTCTTTCAAAGAAGTTGCACGGCTACTGGGGGAGTGGGAAAAAGATCGCATGGCAACAGAGCGGAAGCTGGCAGGTTGAACAAGAATGGCTTTGTCCAGTTTGATTTGGCGTGCAATCTTGTTCTGAAATCCTTGCTTGGTTGGTTCCTAACTTTCACACCTTTGGCTCCAACTTGTGATGTATCTATCGCCTTGTCTCTCCTTCTGACCATGTTCCCCTGCTCGTTTCTTTCTTTCGCCCCAATCTCGACAATTCTCGCACGGTCGGATGTGCTACTTCTTTCTGCGCTGGCTTTTGTTTACCTATCGTCTCGCAATGGTATCAATTCTGTCATATCAGACAATGAACGTGATGATATTTAGGGCGTTCTTCTCTCTCTCTGTCTCACACACACACACATTTCAACAACTCCTATTGTTTGAAAGATTTACGGTTCACACGGCATGTGCCATGCCAACGCTGGATACACGAGAAGCGACGGCTGGAGTTCATATATCTTGTTTTTGGTTGTGGGTTTCTCTTCTTTTCTCTTTTGCATTTGCTACATGATACTCAATATTGTACGGCGTGCAACGATCTAACCGCCCGGTGGTACAGACGTATCTTTTCTCTTTTTGGACTTTATTTTGGTGATTGGAATTCACATGTACATAGATACCTGTTACTTCTGGTGGCGTTGGATCGCTCTGCTGGCCTTGCGATGTGTATACGACTTGGGATGAGGGCAAAATGACATGAAAGGAGTTATGATCACATTCTATTATGACAATATACGTACTTCTTAGCTATGCCTACGCATCGCGTACTAGGTCTCATGCCAACAGCCGCAATCGGCGCTCTTCGGCTTGAATAGCGTGTGCGTTGGCTTGGTCGACTGTTGTATAGTTCTTCACATGCCCTGGCGCTAGCAGTCCTTGGGGACACGTATTGCCTCTGAGAGATCTGAGACTCACAGTGATCGATGATCGACTTTGGCGGCGGAATTGTAATATCCAAAGGTTGTCCACCTCCGGAGAGCGTGAGAGTGAAAGCATTAGCTGAGATAATCGTCAGTATACACCCTGGGGAGAGAAATTAAAGACATGGACATACTTTACATCCTTGCATAGTCTATTCTGCAGGTGCGTATGAAGCAGTCAAGTTGAGGCTGTAAAGGTGATTGGAGTTGTTGAACAGAACATCGGTAGCTATCTGCATGGCCTGGGGCGCGGTGAAGTCCCCATGTTGAACATAATCAACAAGTGCCTGCAAGACAGAAGAAGATTAGTATCGGTAAAGACAATCAGTAAAGAACTATATATAGGCGTGAAACTAACCGTCTCAAGAGCCTGCCGGAATTGCCGGTTAGCTAACCAGAACGTCTCCGGGTGAAGCCGGCCATCGGTACTCCAGAGTAGACGCTTGGTAGGCGCAAGCTCCAAACTCTCTCTCAGAGCCTTCACCTGTGCTTCTCGGCTAACCATGGGGAAGACCTTGCCGAGATCAACATAGACATTGGGATAGACAGAAGCCAGATACCCGGCCTCGCGCGTATAGGGATATCCCGCATGCAACAGCACAACATCCGCATCCGCATACTGTGCGATTAAGGGCTGCAGACAAGCAGGATTAGCCCGCGAAAGATTAACCCGATTATCTCCAAGGCCAGTGTGGAATAGCAACGGTTTCGAAACACCAGCCTTCTTCTTAAACGTGATCGCTTTCAGCGTCTGCTGGACTATCCAGTCACAGATGCCCTTATCATCGACCTCGAAGCCGGACCTGGTGGTTCCAGAATCGAGAATGCGAATCAATGATCCGCCTAGCGTGGTATCATCGGAGGAATACGGATCAACATCCAATCCGGTCCGACAGCAGATCTCCGATTTAAAAGCCACGACGTTGGGATCGTCCAGGGCGGATGCGAGAGCGTCCTGGAATCGCTGTCGGAAATTGTTCCAGACCGATTCGCCGTTCTTGCGCGCGTTCGACACATCCAGGACTGTAGATTCTGCTAGAGCTTCGACCTGCACGATGCGCTTTGTCGTGGAGACGGTGAAGCTATCGTGCCAGCTGGAAGGTTCGATGTCTTCGTCGTCGCTGAGGTAGTCATCGAGTAGTAGTGCGTGCGTGCCTTCCAGAGACTTTCGGATGAGGCCGTCGTAGTCTTCGCGCGCGCTTTGATCGTGGGCGGATTTAATGTCGGTCCAGTTTGCGCAGGGGGTACCGTAGAGCTCGGAGAGCTGAGTTATGGCCCGCAGTGAGGGGAGGGTGGTGTGCGCATTTTCTAGGGCGCGACCGTGTGCTGAGGTGGTGATGGCCTCGATTGGGTAATTGTCGTGGTCGGTGGCTGACTCGCGGTTCAGGAGGTTATGGGCATGGTTGTCGATCAGTGGGTGAGACTGAATCAAGTGTTGTAGAGGGGTGAGATTGTCCATGATGAGAATAATGAAGCTTATTGTAGTGAAGAAAATCTGATATTGAAAAGATCTCCCCAGATTTTATGTAGCCAATCAAAGTATTTATTTCGTCTACAAGTGGATTCATTTGACCACTCACAATTAAGCAAATTCATAAATTTCATCTCAATTTCATCTCAATTTGGTAAGATCGAGAGATGATCTATAAAGAATATACAGCATACTCAATATTGCCCCTCAAGAGTCATGGTGCCCGTTTTGGTGACCAAGTACTCATTGACAGCCACATCCTTTCCACTCTCTTTGCCATATCCAGACTCCTTGATACCACCAAAGGGTGACTCGGCAGCGGATGAGTTGCCTGCGCGAATTCGTTAGGATTAATCTCACTAGATTTAGTATAAGAAACTCACCTGTATTCATTCCGATCATACCCGCCTCCAAGTTCTCCAAGAGACGCCACATGCGATCGATATTCTTGGTGAAAGCATAACTGGCCAGACCCATACTAGTATCGTTAGCCACCTTGACAGCCTCATCCTCAGTCTCGAACCGATACAGCGCAGCAATAGGCGCAAACGATTCTTCCTGCGAGATGAGCATCTCCTCCGTCATCCCAGACAAAATAGTAGGCTCGAAGAAGTACCCCGGCTGCGACTTGACAGGATTACCACCCAAAATAACATCAGCACCGAGGCGACGAGCATCCTCAACCTGCGTAGAGGCCTTCTCAATACTCCTCGGCGTGGTCAAAGGTCCCATCGTGGTATCAGCCACCGCGCCGTGACCAACAACCAGCGCAGACGTGCGCTCCTTCAGAAGCGCAGCAAAGCGATCATAAACCCCAGCCTGGACGTAGATTCGGTTGGCGGTAATACAAGCCTGACCGGCATGACGCCATTTCAGCGACATGAGCTGGTCAACCGCCTGATCGAGATTTGCATCGTCGAAAACAAGGAAAGGACAATTTCCACCAAGCTCGAGAGTCAATTTCTTAAGTCCATGGGCACAGTGTTCCGCGACCAATTTACCAACCCGCGTCGAGCCCGTGAACGTCACCTTCTTCACAAGCGGGTGCTTACACAATGCCTCGCTCAACGCCGGTGTGTTCTCCAAATCCGTCGTAAGCACATTCAGCACACCAGCCGGGATACCAGCACGATGCGCCAGCTCCGCCAGCACGAGCGCCGAAATTGGCGTCTCGGGACTAGGCTTAACGACCATCGTGCATCCAGCCGCCATCGCAGCACCGACTTTTCGGAGAACCATGGCAATAGGGAAGTTCCATGGGACGAGGGCGGCTGCTACACCGATCGGCTGTTTAATGGTGAACACGCGACGGTTTGGCGCCGCAGCTGTTGACACACTGCCCTGAATACGCTCTGCTTCACCGGCGAACCACCAGAGGAAACCGAGAGAGTAGTCGATCTCACCGTATGCTTCTGCCAGTGGTTTTCCGGTTTCGTGGGTTACGATCTGGGCGAGGTCATCCCGGGCTGCGACCGTCAGATTGTGCCATTCCAACAGCCACTTTGCGCGCTGGCGGGGGTTGACTTTGCGGAATTTCTCGAAGGCTGTGTGGGCGTTTTCAACGGCGGCGGAGACATCTTCGGCGGCGTTGGCGGGGCAGCTGGCCCATGCCTTGTCAGTGCCGGGGTCTGGGGATATGTCAGTTGTGATTTGACAAGTGCAGACCCTGAAATGACTTACCGAGCACTTCAAATCGCTTTCCGCTCTTTGCACCGACCCATTTGTCGCCGACGACAGAGTCGAGTTTCAGTAGAGTGGGATCCGATAACTGGAGATTTTTAGTCCCCCGCTCAACTCGGACATCTCGCCGAATACGCGAATACAAGTCATACCTTGAATGGTAGTTGATAGTGGGCCATATTTGCGTAAGGTGTTTGAAATATGATCAAGTTGAATTCTGCAAGTGTTTTATATGAGGAAACATCGCTTATAGTCCTGTGACCCCTCCTCTTCCCCACACCCCAGTCCTCCCCAATTGGGGTACATCCTCGGCCCGTTTTGATACCTTTCTTCTTCAAGAAGGCTATTGGCAAAGGCTATCGGCAAAGGCTATTGGTATCAAGTATTAAACCATGCTATCAAGACTACCTGGTCTCCCTTCTTGCGACCGATCCCACCCTAGACTCCTATACCCGTGATATCAGTCCTTTTCAGAATCCCTTTACCTTCACCACTCAAACTAGGACTATCCCTACGCTTATACTTACGTATTTCGAACTTAGAGGCTCATGGAGCGGATCTATCATTTTGTAATCGCGGGAGTATAACGATGGCGCATGTGTGAGAGCCTTGGAGAAGATATTCGAGCGGAGTCTGCAGGAGCCGATGCCGGCGCCGGAAGTGGATTTATCGCGTGGGCTGCCGAGAAATTTGGGGAAAACCCGGCTGCCTATGGCTTTCATAGATGGACCGGACGCTGTTATCACCGCGAGGTTTGTTTCGATTGCCGAGCTGCAGAATCCGATGGGGTATGTTGAGTCTGAGGCTCGTGTGTTGAAGTAGAATTCGGCGATGACTACGATGCGCCAGACTCCGACGGCGGTTGCGCTGTGGGGCTGTTAGATGGTTGTATGGTGGATCAGAGTTGGATTTGGGGGGGTTACTTACAACCCCACCTAGACATAGGATGATACACACGGCGATCTTGCGTCCGATGCGCATTTAGAGACGCGCGGTGATTATGGCTGGGATTGAGAGGACCATTAGATCGGCCAAGAGGTTTAACGCGGCGGTTGAGACGTAGAATAACGTCTTGATTGATTCATTTGCCGCCCGGGATGCTCAGGTAGTAGACGTACTGTATTGGCTGGTGTTGGAAGACGTCGACAATAAGGACGGTGATAAGAAGGCAGATTATGATGGCGATGGAGCTTCAGATGAGGTATTTGACCGCGCGCGAGCGTCACCCGAGTCGGCGCAGGAATAACAAGATTGATATTTTTTACTGCGGCCAAGGCTGGATTGTAGAGGTTCTGATTTGCGAAATTCCACTGTTTTGTTGTCAGTCTCTATGGTGTACGGGGGGTGTGATATAGACTGACCTCCAGCCCAAGTCTGGTATTACGGTCTTTAGGGGTGTCTCAAACGTGAATGCCGACATAGTTGACTTTGATATCTGACTTTGCGAGTTAGTCGTTGCTTGCTTTGCGCTGAACTCAATCGCTTACAGTTCCACGCGGTAATAGATTGGGAGATGGTGAGGATCTAGAAAACGGCGCGTTTTAGCATACACTCGAAGATCTGGAGATCTGGGGATCTTACATATCCTACGAGAATACACTAGCCATTCAGAAGGAATCTGGCTAGAACTTCTAATAGCGCAAGTCTAGTACCGATCGATTCCATACCGCTTGTTACAGACGATCGTGATAGCCATCGGCTCCACATTCGAACAATTACAATGTCACTAAGAACCGCGAATGCGACTACCATACCTAGGGCAACTCTCTGTTGGCAGTCGTCAATCATCGTATATTTCCCTCAGAGCATAGGGGTTCTCGAACGGCCTGCGACCTCGACCTTAAGATGCAGGCTGGATATTATGGCCACCGCGAGTCAGGATCGGCAGCCATGGCCTTCTTTGGCCTTAGTTCTTTGAAATCTGGGGGCATTTCCGTGGATTTCTGGATAAATTGACACCTGAATCGAATCAATCTTGGTCGCAGTGTCCGCATCTCAGTTCTATGTTGATTCTTGCTAGATAAGTGTGACAGATGAATGCCGTGCAAGGATCCATGCGTCCATTTAGATGTTTGCACAGAGAATAGCCACATGTATGCTTGTGGGGAACTTGATTGCCGTGTACCATCTCGGGGCAGCTCCTTGTCAGGCGCCAAGGGGAGAACCCCTAATTATACATTTACAGGATCCTCGGATGAGTGCTGAATTCCACCAATGAGTAAGGAAATGCGCTCAAGGGTGGATTTTATCGAACCGTGCTAATGCCAGTGCATCGGTTTGAGGACTCGAGTTCTCGGGATAATATTTGCCGATGGATGGTCGATTCTCCGGGCTCGCAAATTTTCATTTTCTTGCTCTTGGCAAAATTAGATGAAATGCCCCATTCTCCTAGTTTCTCTTAGTTCCTCCTAGTTCCTTGCATGTCAGGTTCTCATTGTCCAGAAATCAGATCCGATCTACTTGGGTGGATCATCGTGGAAGAGAATGGGAAGGGTTTGGAGTTGAGCCGAGGTCTCGTAGGAGCGAACTGGTCATTGTTTTTTTTTTTTGCAATGGAGAGGAGCCTGGTCAGTCCGGCACATAGACATCGCCTTCTACTGAAATGGTAATGGCGACAAGCATGTAGAGTCATGGGGGTTAAGCCGGACTCTGTGTCGCAGTTAAAGTACTTGGAACACGGGAAAAGGCCCCATCCGTCTCTAGCTTGATGTGTTGACTCGGAAAGTGAAAGTGTTTGCCAAATTGCTGTGGGGAGGGTTCCCCCTTTTGGATGTTTACATCTACTTCGCACTTCCATTGTACAGTTTAAGCGGACGATGTGGATATGCTTTAAAAATCCTTGAAAACTTTTCTAACTCTTCCCAATCCCTGGTGTATCTTCCCCTGAGCACCAACATGGCCCCTTGTTCATTTGTGGCGGGCATTTTGCTCGGTGCCCTCCTGGTAACAGCCGGGGACGCTCGTGCTGGACGTATTTCCTCTGCCTCTGTAGCTAGTCAGCCGCTATTTGAGAGCGAGAAATTTCAATTGACAGATCAGGATATTGCAAAGCTCAGCCAGGAGCAGTCAGCCTTGGTTAAATTTGGGAGCGATGGGATTGATGAGATCACCCAGCCGACAAGGGGATGCAAGGTGTTCCCTGGTGACCGCAATTGGCCGTCGCAGTCTACATGGTCGATCTTGGATAACCTCCTAGGTGGCGCGCTCATCAAGACAGTCCCCATAGCGGCAGTCTGCTATTCTTCGTGGCCCGAATATGACAGCGCCAAATGCGAGAAAATTACTGCACAATGGAATGATTCCTATCTTCAGTTAGTCACACCCCATGTATGAAACATAGACATTGCATACTGAATCCACGATTAGTGCCGAGGACCCGGCGTCGGCAATGTGGCCTCTGTGGGAGGGAAGAACCTGCCTACCCACTACCAATGCCTCTGCATCTTGCACAGTGGGTGGCTACAGCACCTATGCTGTGAATGTGAGCAATGTGGCTCAAATTCAGTTGGCTGTCAACTTTGCACGCAACGCGGACATCCGCCTGGTGATTAAGAACACCGGTCATGACTTCAATGGAAAATCAACCGGTGCTGGTGCTTTGGGTATCTGGACTCACCACCTCAAGGACATTGAGTACTATGAGAACTATCGTGGTTCCGGCTACCAGGGTCCAGCTGTCAAGCTGGGGTCGGGCGTTCAGGCCGGCGAGCTCTATGAAAAGGGGAAGGAACTTGGATTCACTGCCGTTGGTGGCGAATGCATGGTGAGTTGATCGGTGCCCAAATATCAATATTCGGTGGATTAACTGACCTTATTAGACTGTCGGTGTCGCCGGTGGCTACGTTCTCGGTGGCGGCCACTCGCCCATGTCTAGCGTGTACGGCCTAGCTGCTGACCAAGTGCTGGCTCTTGAGGTCGTGTTGGCCAACGGACGCTTTGTCACAGTGACTGAAGAAAGCGATCCCGATTTATTCTGGGCTCTGCGTGGTGGAGGTGGTGGTATGTTTTCTTTCGCATTGTCTTCTCGAGATTCCATCTAACGGATTCCCGCCAGCTACCTATGGAGTCGTCACTTCGCTCATCTCTCGTGTCTACCCCAAGGTCGGTGTGACTCTCTCGACATTTAACTTCTCCACTGGGAAGGATGTCTCTGTGGAGACCTTTTGGGCCGGCTTCAAGTCATACTTGAAGCGATTCCCAGCTTACGCCGACGCCGGCACGTACGCCTACTTCTGGGTCCTGCCGACCGGCCCTGATGCCTTCACCTTCTTAATGAGCCCTTTGTTTGCCGTCAACCACACCGTGGACCAATACAATGCTCTAGTCCAGCCGTGGTACGATGAGCTCCACGAGCTGGGCATCTCAATCCAGCCAAACACAACCTACTATGACAACTTCCACGACGCCTGGAAGGCTGGATTCCCCCTTGAGACCGTTGGCTCATCGGTCATGAAAACCGGCTCTCGCCTCTTTCCACGCGCAAACTTCGACAACTCCACCTCACTGGACGCGACCTTCAATGCCCTACGTGCCACTATAACTGAGGGCTTCGGATTACTCGCATACAACATGAAAGCCGAGCTGCAAGAAGGTTTCACCTCGAACTCAGCCAACCCAGCATTCCGCAAAATGCTGATGCACGCCATGACCTCGACGATCTGGACCAACACCACCTCCAATGCCGAGATCAAATCAAAGATGCATGACCTCACCAATGTTATTGGCAAGTGGCGCGCTGTGAGCCCCGACTCCGGCGCGTATATGTCCGAGGCGGATATTCAAGAGCCGCACTTCCAGGAGTCTTTCTATGGTACCAACTACAACCGCTTGTATAAACTTAAGCACCGTTATGATCCGACTGCCTTGTTTTACGCGCCTACTGCTGTTGGCAGTGAGGATTGGGTTGTGAAGAGCCTTGATGGTCTTCCGGATCAGAATGGCCGGCTGTGCCGTGCTTAAAGTCATGTGGGGGTATAGTAGAACTTAGATTTGTATAGTGAGTCCTTTATAGATATGACCCATGTTCAAATCAATCGAGGTTGATTGGTCTCCATGATTCCCTGTTTCCCTCATATCCTGAGGTTGGTACTTTTGATTCGATATTGCAGTATTACTTGATTATAATACAAAGTTGAAGATGTCTTTCGCTGGGTTCTCTTAACGAATGAGGGATATCAAGTCTTCCGGCTGTGGAGTGACCTGTGCATTGTCAATCTCGGATATCCGAGCTCATCAACACCAACAACGCAGGGCTGTTCTCATGTCATACGGAAAACTTGTGAAACACCGCTTCTATCATTAAGATACAGCCTGTTTCCCATAAGTCCTCAAAGCACCTGGAAATAACTTGGATATCCAAAACCAGGGATAAGACTTTTCCGGGGCATCAAGTCGGAAAACCGGAAAAGCCCCCGCCATGCGTGGGATTACCCCAACATGGGGTTTTAACCCCAGATATAAAGCCATCTAGAGCGAATGAATTGCCATTGATATTTTACATAGCAATCATGGCTACAGTAACCGTCACAACTACTGAAGGCGGCGTGGACCCACTGCAGACTAAAGATATCGCGACTCGCCTATTGAACGGCACACTTCACTCCCAGTGGCCCGCGTTTGAACAGTTCGCAACCATCGATGGCTTGTTGAAATCTCATGCCGCTCAGCCAGATCAGGCGCAGCGGCCTCTGGTATGCTATCCGATTCGCGGAGCGGCGGATTTCGAGGAGCACACAGCAAGCGACATCGATCGGTATACTGATATCGCTGTTCGCTTTTACATGCAGCAAGGACTAGTACCTGCGGTATGAGGAAACCTGGTTCTCTGTGTCAACCTCAACTAATTCTCTCTTAGGACCCAAGTCTCGAGCAGGCGCCTGTTGTTGCTATGCTAGCTGGATCTAGCTTTGAGGTTGTGGTGACTTTCTTCGCGCTGAATCGTCTTGGCTATGCCGTTCTTTTCTTGTCAACGCGTCTCACGGCCCCGGCTTATATCCGACTAATGGATATGGCACATTGTAGCGAGATTATCATCGCAAAACACTTTCAGCAAGTTGCAACTGAAATTTGTACTGAGAGTCCCGGCTGCAGTAGCTTCTCTGTGCTACAAAGAGAGGACTGGTTCAATCGTCCTGTTAGCATTCCTCACTTTGAACGCCCCAGCGCAGATCCATCACGAGAAGGCAAGAAGATTGCTTGGATCCTACATTCATCGGGGAGTACCGGTTTCCCGAAACCAATTTTCCTTACTAACCTTCAAACTCTTGCCAATTTCCGCAAGAGCTTCGGTCTGCGCCTCTTCACCATCAGCCCGCTCTTCCATTCCCATGCTCTGATGGAGCTCGGACGGGCACTATTTACAAGAGCACCAGCATACTTGGGAAACCATTCTCTTGCAGTCACATACCAAAATCTTTTCGATGCCCTCCAGGTGGCCCGGCCACAGCAAATCAGTGCGGTGCCATATGTGATCAAACTACTGGCAGAGAAGCAAGAAGGTATCCAAGCACTGGCTAGGCCGCAGCTCGTGCTATATGGCGGCTCCAGCTGCCCAGATGATCTTGGCGACCGTCTTGTTGCACAGGGTGTGAACCTGGTTGCCAACTATGGAGCGACGGAGACGGGACAAATCATGACATCTTTCCGAGCCCCCGAAGATAAAGAGTGGCAGTATATGCGGCTGCACCGACCTGTTGCTGATCTCACTCTGATGGATGAGATCTCGCCCGGGGTTTTTGAATGTGTTGCGTTGGATGGCCTGCCAAGCAAGGGTCCCTCGAATTCAAAAGCACCGTATAGCACAAAGAACCCAGAGAACTCTTTCAGAACAGCCGATTTGTTCACCAGACATGCGGATCCCGAGAAAAGCAATTACTACAAGTATTTGAGTCGGCTGGATGACCGAATCACACTGGTCAACGGCGAAAAGGTGCTTCCTATTCCCATTGAAGGTCGGGTGAGAGAAGAGCCTATTGTTAGTGACTGCGTTGTGTTTGGCTTCCAGCGGACTGTGCCTGGGGCTTTGATTTTCCGCGCTCCTGGAAAGGTACCTCACTTGAGCGACGATGAGTTTTTGGAAGCTATCTGGCCAGCGATTGAAGCCGCAAATGCTCGCGCCGAGACGTTCTCCCGTATCCCCAAGGAGCTTGTCGTGATCAAGAGTGCTGATGTTGTATACCCTAGAACTGACAAAGGGACCTGTATCCGCGCTCAGGTCTATCAGCAATTTGAGGAGGATATCAAGCAGGTGTATGCCAAGTTTGAAGGGAGTGGCCAGAAACGAGGTTCCCTCGCTCTCAGTATTCCAGAACTGGAGAATTGGCTCCTGTCAAGATTCAGCGAAGACTTGGGCGTACAGATATCCAGTCCTGAGACCGACATCTTCTCAGCTGGAGTCGACAGCTTGCAGACGACGCAAATTTGGAGGTGCATCATGCGCGATATTGATGTCGGCGAGCAAGGAGACCAGCTTTCCCAGAATATTGTCTTTGAGAAAGGCACTGTCAATGCACTCGCAAAACATCTCTATCAGATAAGAACTGGCCAAGAATCCGAGAAGGAAGACGAGCTTCATTCCATGCGCGAGATGATCGAAAAGTACTCCCACTTCACTCAACACTTCCCAACCACCACCCGGAACCCAGAAACAGAGGTGGTAATGGTCACAGGCGCAACCGGCAATCTCGGAGCCTTCATTGTCTCAGAATTACTGAAGCGACCAGCAGTCTCTGAAGTCTGGGCAGTCGTGCGGGCACCAGGACAAGCAGCGGCAGGAGCTCGTCTCTACAAATCGCTAGCCGATCGCAACATCTCTCTCACCGATATCGAGGCCGCAAAACTCCACGCCGTCCCTGGCGATATGTCGCAATCCAACCTCGGTCTCAAGGACCACGATCTGCAACACTTGCTCTCATCCTTGACATGCGTCATTCACAGTGCCTGGGCTGTGAACTTCAACCTAGGCGTACGGTCCTTCGAGCAGCAGCATGTCCGCGGAACACACAACCTCATCAACCTCTGTCTGCGTTCCCATTTACCCTCTCCTGCAAAGTTTTTCTTCTGCTCTAGTATAAGCGCTGCAAGCAACACGCCCAAACCTGCATCGATTCCCGAGACCATGATTGAGAATTTGGAGCACGCACAGAAAACAGGGTATGGCAGGTCGAAGCTGGTAACTGAACACATCACCCGCAACGCCATGCGTCAGACGGGTATGCACGCCCGCGTTCTGAGAATCGGTCAGCTTGGCGGCGATACGGTTAGTGCACAATGGAATGAGACGGAAGCCGTTGCGCTCATGTTCCGAAGCGCATTGTCGACGGGTGCATTACCTGAACTCCATGAGCGGCTGAGTTGGTTGCCTGTTGATCAGTGTGGTCGGGCTATTTCGGATATCGCGATGAATGTTGCTGGATCATCCGATATCGATATGGTGTACCATTTGGTTAATCCACAGTCCTTTAGCTGGAAGCATGATTTGCTTCCTGCTTTGAGACAAGGATCGGCCTTGCCGGAGTTTGAGGTCGTGGCTCCGCAGGAGTGGCTGAGCAGATTAGAGGGCAGTGAGCAAGATCCAGGGAAGAATCCGAGTGTTAAGCTCATTGATTTCTGGAGAACCAAGTATGCAGGTCAGGGCCAGTCAGAGGCCGGATTAGAGGGAAATAAAGTGGCTGGTCTTATGTTCGAAACTGAGCTTACGATCCGAGACTGCTCCTTCTTGGCACTTGTGGAAGACCCCGTTGCTGGTGGTTTGATACAAAGGTATATTGACTCGTGGATGGGTCGATGGACTATTAAGTAGATAGAGAACATAATGATTGAATTTATCTCGATATTCCACTGAAGATATTGACATAAGAGTGGCAACAGAGAGAGTGAAGATGAGAGCAATAGGCAGAACAGAGCAAACAAGGGGAATCAAATGTTCATTTTATAGCAGTAAAGCATCGTGATATATGCGAAAAGCAATCTGGTACCTCATTCACGAATTCGGAGTACCTGGACCTACTATTCAGTTTGTCTCAGCCTTGGGAGGAGGCGCATCAACCTTGGGAGGATGAGACTTAAGACCCTTCTGCATAGCGGCCAAGTGCTCAAACTTGTATGTATCCTCGCCCAAGCTCCAAGCCATAACACCACCTAGTTTCTTCGCTGCGACGATTTCCTTGAACTTGCGGGCAATCAACTCAGGTGTATCCCAAGTCCAGAAGATGTTGTTGTGGCTATCGAAGTAGTACTGACCACCGCCCTTGGCATCAGTCTTGCCATCCTTCTGGGCTTTGCGCCATGAGTCGATAATTGAGACCCCCTTGCAGGTACCGTAGTCAGAGAGACAACCGCCCTGGCAGAACTCATCGGTCGTACCACTGTAGGAAGTTAGTTCAAATACCAATCAAACTAGGCGATGGTTCTGCTTACCAGTAGCCGGAAGCACTGCAGCACTGTCCTGACGGGCACTTGGCTTTCGCTGCAAATCCACACACTCCGGTAGTGCCTTCCTTGAGATCCTTAGGTGCAGCAGCCATAGTGCCAGCCTCAAAAGTCAAAGCACCAGACTTGCCATTGTCCGTTCCATTGTCGTTCTCGAGCTTGGCAAGCTGGCAGCCGAGGGGATTTTCATCACAATCGGAGTTGGGGTCGGTGGTAAACCATTTGGCGTAGTACGCAAAACCGAGGTTGAGTTTCTCGGGATCTGCCCCAATTGCAAGATACTCATTGATAGTGTCCAGAGATCCCTGCACGCCGCTAGCATGGTTGGTAACGTTATCGCGACGGTTGGTCAGATCGTAACTCATGACATTGACCATATCGACAGATTTGAAGATCTTAGGACCCTGTTCCTTGGTAAAAGCAATGAAGTCCTGCTTCCGACCGGGTACCGCAATAGAGAGGACCTTGTCTCCGATTGCTTTACGGAGAGCTGCGAGGAAGAGAGGATAAGTTTCGATCTCGCCCACTTTCTTTGAATTAGGGACGTCTTTGTAGTCTTGGCCGTTGCCGCCGGGATATTCCCAGTCAATATCTGTCGGTACAGGTCAGTCCCTTGCTTCTTTTTAGTTTATTTAGAAAGCATTGTCGGCAATATCTTACCGACACCGTCGAATCCATGTGCATCCAGCATCGCAGCGACATTCTTGGCATATCGCGTGCGCGAAGCCTCGTCCTTTGCTCCCTCCGAGAAGCCAGCAGTGTCACCCCAGCCACCAATGGCAACCATTAGCTTGGTATCTGGGCCGAAGCGATTGCGCATGGTCTCGGGGGACTCGAATGGCTTGTAGGCTGCAGGCGAGTCCGAGTTGAATAGCTTTGAGGCTGCGAAGCTCATGATGGCGTAATCGATGCCCTCGGTCTTATCCTTGCCTGGGAGTGCGGCTACATGGTATCTTGTATAGGTATTAGCTTTGGTCATGGGATATCTAGATCAATTCCATAAGTCTGTACTAACTCGTCAATGTACATCGCAAAGCGTGTGGCAGCCACAGACTGGATGGCCAACAGGCCAAGTGCGAGACGTTTGAACATGATGAGAATCAGTTATGCAATTGTCGTGATATGTTTATAAACAGGTCGAAAGATAGGTTTGGGAAGCCAGAAAGAATATATAAACAAATATCCAGTCTGTCGTTGAGAGTCTAAAACCAGCCCCAAGCCCCGAACAAAGTAGCTGAAGAAAGAATGAAGAACGACATCGAGGACAAAGAAGGTCAGGTATATATTCCAAAACGCATGGACCAGAACATACCAGGATCTCAGGACTGTCATGCGCATTGTTCCAGATCGTCTGTCTATGCGGGGGCATGTGAACCATTCCTTTAGGGAATGTCCCATCACTAGCCAGTGACTGGCCAGTCAATTTCCAGCTGTTCATCAAATCGAGATCACAAAGCCCCCTGAGAGAAAAAGGTTCCAGGCGCTAAGCAAGGGCAACGGGCGCTAAGGAGTGGCTGTGGAATGCCAAGGGTGTTGGGGCTGCCTGACCTAGATATTGGCCCCAATTATTGATAGGTAAAAATAGACTGAGGGTCCATGATTCCCTTTGAGGCGTTTCAAGTAGGCGTTTTTCAATCATAGTTAAATGGTGCAAGGTTGTTCAATAACCGATATACGTTGGTATGCCAAATTGGTGCATCCATTCCCTTCCATAGCCCGCATTCCCCCCTAGAGCCCAGTGACCATGTGGATGGGAACCGGTTATAATGTCCAAGGTTTCTGGAAGTATTTTTTGAGGGATATTCGTCAAATCACGATCTGCCTCTGACACTGTTATGGGGCGCGGGAAAAACTCGATATACGGAACAAAGACAGTTGAACACTCGATGTTTCAAATCATTAGATTGATCTAGGGGTATAAGCAACAAGAACATCCAACCAAACGCCCACAATCTATATTACATATGGCGCTAAAAGTCATCAATCAAACATGGGATTTAATTCCAGTGGCGTCGAATGATCGGGCGAGCGGGATCCCAGGGGCCGATCACAACGTTCTTGTACTTTTGCAAGCTGATAAGCCACCAGCTACACCCGCCCATAACAAACGCTGTCAGGATACTTCCTAGGACAGATCCAATGATAGCTCCTGCCCATCCGCCGCTCATCGTCACACCAACAGCGCCTCCAGTAACGATCACAAGGGTCAGTGTCAGAAGAACATGACCAGTCCATGATTTCTGACGCAGCTGGCGCCGGAAGATGGGGAACAACCCAAACACTTCCATCGAGAACAGCATGAGACTGAACACGTGTGTTGTAGACGGTAGGCGGGACGCAAGCACGGTCGAGGCCATCACAGCTGCGTTCGTCGACAAAGAAGCAGGGAACTTGGTGGTGGCGCCTGCGCCTTCCCCACTCCCATAGTCGAAAGAGAATATATTCATGATTAAAAGCCAACAGCTCATCGCCCAGATAGAGTCACTGGCGGTGGACTTGGTAAGAGACTTCAAAATAGGACTGAGGCCCAGCAGTGAGAAGTAAATAAGAAAAGCGGACTTCACTGTAGTCAAGCGCTGGCGGTTGCGGGGTGATAACATCGAAACACGGTGCGTTTCCTGCGATATCGACGGGTCCGTAGTGCCAATGATGGAGGTACCCGGAGCAGACGGCACAGCACTTCGCGATGTCAAATTGGCCACTGCGTCGATGCTTTCGCTGAAATCCGCACTCCGACGGGCGAATTGCTCTTTTGATTCATTTCCAGACATAGACAGCCCAAGGCCGTGAATGGCGTTCATCTTGGTATCATCGGGTTGTATATCATTGGGGGGTGTATCGACAGCGCTAGCAAATGAAGCCGAACTGGATCCATCATCGGCTCCAGTGATCCCATCTGTACCTTGCATGGATTCTTCATGCTCCTTCCAGATCCAATTATCCCACAGAATCCAGCCCACGGCTGTACCGACACTTCCCCAGCAGACAATTGAGACAGGGCTCACTCGATCTTGGACAATGCCAACGAAGCAGCAGACGAAGATAACCACCGAACAGACATGTTGCACAATCACAGTCGAATCAGCTACTAGAGGCCAGAAATCGTACGGCCGCACTCGAGGATTACGCTGAAGGTGGTCGAGGAAAGTTTCCGTGTCGGTATAGTTGTCCGGGTCTATGAATCGACCGTCAGCAAGAGCACAACATCGAGACCTGCACAGGCCTCAGGTCCACACGCAGACATACAAGATTGCTTAACCCAAAGCAACTTCTTCCAAGCACCCTTCCGCTTTCGACGTCGTGGAGCGCCGCCCAACTTCTTCCGCAACGCTGCAGCAGACCCAAGATGGGCTCCGTTATCGCCATTCAATGACCGCAAGCTTTCCTCGTAGTTGGTGGGCGCAGAGCGGGCACGCGAGAGTGAGGGTGCGAAGTACGCATCCTCAGGCGCTAGTCGATTGGGGTCGGGGAGGGACCGTTCGAGCTCAGGAGACTTGGACCCCGGGGCGCGGTTGGGATGGGTGTCGACGGGGATCGGGGGAGGGGACGTCATCGAGCACAGGTATAACTAACGTCGGGGCATGACGTGAGTAGAAAATAAGCCCGATGTAGAATATAGTGAAAGCTTGGTGTCAACGAGGGCGCGACCAGCCCGCGGGCATCTGCAAGCTGATTCAGCAGTTATATATACTTGGCACGTGACCTAATCAGCCCTTGTTCTTCGGCGTTGGTCGAGTCATTGGGAATCATTTATTGGTGGTATAAAAAGCCTCTGGTCTCTTTTTGACTCTTAAAAATGTGGATTATCTTCAGTTTGTTTCTTCCGGTATGATAAGGTTGACAATACATCGCTTTTCCCACCTTATGCTTGCTATTTGCTTGTTGTGTTCCAAGATATATAACTGGCATCCATTCGGATTATGTTTCCAAGACCACATGTAATACGCAAAAGCCCTTTCCCCAAAGCTCCCAAATAGGCCACTTAGACAGAGACTGAGAAGCAGTACCCCAAAATCAGTCTTAAAAGGACGATAGAAACATACATAGGAATAATGTGCTCTGGGAATCTCCCCGATCTTGATCCGGTTTCCTCATAATTAAGTTGGGGATATTTGCTAGCTGACTACATGGACTATAAAGTAATCCGACAAATGTTACTTTTTTTCTATTTTCAAGTTTTTGAAGTAGGTACACAGACATACACGGGCGCGTACACGCGCACTTTCACAGATTTAGATGAAGACATACAAGCCAAGATTTCCGCAATGCCCACTAGGCCGACCAGAACGACGATAAGGGGCGACCATAGGTCAGATTTATGGCTTAGACACACAGCTCAACAGAATCTAGAAGCCCATGGCGGGCTTCACCTCCACCACGCGGTCTTCACCACAAGGGCCAGAAGACTTCCGAATATCCTCCTGGAGGATATCAAACTCATCCACACACCCTTCCCCCACGTAACGAACTCCCTGGACACCGGAAACAGTGCACAGTAGTCCCGTCCAGTTATCCAGGTCTTTGTAAAACTCCCGGGCCTTTTGGAAGATGATCTTGGCATCGCCAGTCTTGAAAATGCGCACCTGATCAGACACGTCGGACATGAGTTTGTAGCGGACAAATATCTCCGCAGAGACTTCGTCATTAGAGCCCAACGTGCTGCGGCGCCTCTTTTGAGAGGGTCTCCAGGAACTTCCAAGTGTATAAAATCGATCGTGATTTTTGGAAGCTGAACCCGTCCAGATATCCCTTTCCCATGACGGGCGTGAGGTAACTGGAGTTCTGTTTTCGTCTCCGCTCTCGACTTTGATGCTAGTCGAGATTTGGCGCCTAGACCTCGAGGGGGTAGAAGGCGGCTCAGATGCGTTGGATCCGGCCTCCTTGATATCCTCAGTTGACTCACTCGGCTTCTTCGGGGTTGAATTTGAGACACGGGTGCTGAAAATGTCGTTCGGTCCAGGAAACCGAGTGCACTTCCGCCCATCATCAAACATGTGTGGACTGAACCTAATGTTCTCCTCATCGGTTCTCCACAGTTTGAGCCCACATGCCTGCACCTCTCCCTTTTTCTTGATTTCGAGCCAGTCAACCAGGTACATCCCCCTGGCACCCTTGGTCAAGGGTCCCTTGAGCTTGGGGCGAGGATTTCCATAGACTACGAGCTCTTCGGGCCCGCTCTGTGCATGGAGGATCATAATTCGGTAAGTTAAGTTGCGACGGGCCTGGCCTTTCAGTGAGATTTGAAAAATGGATAGGTCAGACTCATCGCCATCGTCATTGAAAACCTGGAAATTCTTCCACGTAGATGGCGCACGGCCAGCCAAAGCGGCCGGATGTTCGGTATATGGAGCGTCCTCGTGCCATTCCTCGAGAAGCTCGAGGATACGGCCCGGGATTGGTTGCTTTGGGCCGATGATGCGCTCCACTGCCAAGGAAGGAAGTTGTTTGGTAGCGGTGGTGGGCGTGGTTTTTAACTTTGGCGACAAGCCCTTCGCAAGTCGATCGAAGGATATGAATGCACGAGGCGGGGTTGGTCAAGATTCAGGAGCAGAAGCCGCTGCGACAGCAGCTTGGGCTTCTTCCGTGATGATTACTTCGCCAGACGTGGAGACGTGGTAACTGACCCGCGGAGCAGTAGGACTAATGAAATGAGTCACTGGGTAGACCGACTGGGACACATGAGCTGAATCCATGGTATCTAGAAGTGCCTCGTCGATATCTGTCATATCAGACAGGGTGGGTGTTGAGACACGCGCGTCGATCTCTTCCGGTGCATTGAGAACATAGTCCTGAGGAGTGGGCTGAGCCACCTCAACATCCCGATCAGCCGAAGATTGCGCTGTGAGGCTTTTCAGCTGATCCAAAATATCATGAACCACACTTTCCGCCATGATGATGAGAATAAGCAGACAGAAGCTGAAGAAGATAAAAAGCTTGTAGAATGAGGATAGAACAGATAGGAGAAGGGAAGAAAGATGAGCGAAAGGTGAAGAAGTGAGAAGCAGCAGTAATAAGAGTGAATGTGACACGCAAGAAACAGAAACCACACGCAAATAAATTGCACTAGAACTCAAATTGGGACCAATTTAAGCAAAAGTTCGAGTTAAGGTGACAACTTGAGTGCTCTTTGTAGGACGAGTGTGAACAGTCTGGAATAAAAAAACTGGAAGGAGAACACGAGTTGAAGACAATGACACGAGAATGTGAGAATTAAAGATGTGCCGACTAGACGATATCATATGAACTGCTAACACGGGCAATCCAATATCAGATGCAAATTGAGAGAACTGGCATGAGACCATTAGAATTCATAGTCCGCTGCAAAAAGAGGCGAATAATGATATTTATTTCTCTAACTGTAAGCGTTTTTATATCCTACTAAATTACCTTCTAGCGTTTGAGTAGAAGTCAATTCATATAGTCAATGGTAATTACATCTTTGAACTCATACATCTTTTCAGAGAGCTACAGCCGTATTAGTGAGCCATTGAAAGGAGTCTCCCAAATAAGCACATCGAAGGAAAAAGCCACTAGCAGATTGAGACTGAGTACAGAAAAACCGAAGCTATATCGTAAGTTTGCCAAAGAAGTCTTCCATTACTCCCATCCGCGACTAATTCACACAATAATATGTCAGGAGGGGCTACATTGAGATCAACGATTCAAAGCGCTGCCATAAATTCGGTGGCCCCTACTGCAAATCGCACAATTGACCTTTATTGGAGAACCAGGCTGAGTTGTAGTTGTCATATACGAGGATGATGATCAAGCACGACTACCATCTATATCGGCTTCAAAGGCGAAGATAAAACCGTTGGTCAAGGTACTCCGGGTTGCAAGATCACAGTAAGATTGCCTTTCGACCATAGCGATCTGTTCTTCGACGATAACTGTCTCGTCGATCGCATGGGGCAATATAGCCTGTGCTATAGCGATGAGACGACCAATACTGATCTTGTCGACAATCCATACTAGTATCATCCCTCTCGATGAGACGGTGGATCTCCAGAGGTTTCTCCGGTCAGATATAGTCCACAGCACTCTCAGAAGACATCTCGAATATTATACATGGAAAATAGTAAAACTTTTTTGCCCATTAAGATCTCCCGCTTAAGCAGATCTCAGCTCAACCCCCTTTCGTTGATGCGCTACTATCGTTAACATAGATAGGTAGTAGCCCCAAAAAAAATATAAAATGGAATTTATTTCTCTAACGTGATAACCGAACATGTTTGAACTTCAAACAAGAAGCTAGAAAGCTTCAGATAGATCTAAATGTACAACATGGACAACTGCCCGAATTGCCACATTGGCTTTTCACAGGTGGCCGAAGCAGCCACTCAGTGCACAAAAGAAGTCGGCACAACATTGGTAGTTCATAGATTGCTTTCCAGGGGTATCAAGACTCAAAACGGAGGGAAGGTACGGTCACAATGGTTTAGTAACAAGTGTTATAGCTCACTGGACGACCTGCCATGTTGTTGAAGGACATTGTTATTTTGAACGAGGTTTCGGACCGCCTGCGGTGCGACCACGTCGTCAACACTGTTTCTGCGACCCCAGTTTTGCGGCTGGCGTCGGATGAAGGCACCAACGGCACCTAGGTAGCCCTCATGGCGTAGGAAATACGCTTGCTTCTCGCCCTTGGACCAGAAGCGGATGGCGTAGGAGAGGGTGTTCATCGTTTGCCGGTGGCCCCGAATGAATGAGCCTCCGAAATAAATGTGTTTGACTGAGTGTTTCTCTGACTGCAGATATGCAATCTGACCAATATTATTACTAATCGGGGTTAGTTCGGACTTTGCTCGGACAAAGGAAACAATGAAACATACCTAATGGCGTAGAGCAAGCTCCTGCTCATATCTTCCGGATTGGGCTTCGATCCATGACTGGATTCACTGGAGTCACCGGCTGCACTAGGGTCGCCGCGAATCAAGCCCTCGCCGTCCTCGGCCCCTTGCTCGGCATCATTTTTCAACCGAAGCACCTTGCCGAAAGTACTGGCAATGGCTGTGCTCTTCAACCCAATCTTGGTGTAGTCCATGCCGTAGATATCTCCTACAAGCATGTCTACTGCACTGTTGTCTCCGCGGTCGGCCATCGCTAGCATGTCGTCGAAGGTTCGGGAGCCGGTCAACAAAGACATAAGGCCCCAGAACGTTCCACCACCGAGATGGGTTCCGCCGACACGTTCGAATTGTCTTGGACCGGAGACCTTTATCATTGACACTCCTGATCCTATATTGACGAGGAGATATGGGTAGACATCGGCCCGAGCTTCGGCATATTGCATAGGCTCAGCATCGGCATCGCTGTAAGTGAAGACTTCGTTGGGGATTTCGGTGATGAAAAAGTCCAGACCTGTTTTGGGGATGTTAGATAGTATACTCTATACGTGGACATGTTCCAGGACCTACCAATGATCAGACATTCCATCTCCTCTTCCCGGAGAATATTAACATTTAATTCATCCTTCAGTCGATCATAGTACTTGTATGCGCCACCCCCAGTAGCTACCACACACAGTCCTTCTCTCGTTGAACCATTGCGCTTCTGGTGTTCTTCTTTGAGTTGTCGAATGAAGTTGATGCATAGGTCGATCCGGTGCGTTTCAAAGTTGAGAAAATTGAGCCGACCGCCGTTATCTGCGGTGTCCGGCTCCCGAGTGAAATAAACGAGCTTCGCAAGTGTTCCGCCAATCTATCAAGTCCCAATGCCCCGTTAGCCAAGCTTCCTTCAGCTTTTCACGAATTGTCTTTGCGGCCCCTCGATTGCGGGGGAACCGGTCGCAGTGCGGGGCAGTGAAAATAATTTCTGAGCAACTCACATCGACAGCCACATGGCTCACAACGCCTGTATGATGCGGAAGTCGAATATCCTTATTTTCATAGTGTACGCCCTCTGCGTCCACGGGGCTCTTGGATCGTGGCTCGTCGTCGACGATAAACGCGCCCGTGACATTGATCTTGACGGCACCGGGATTGGTGATTGCAGCTTCCAAACGATTGGGGCGCTTCCGAGGAGTAGTGTCTACCTCCATGCGTTCGGAAGCCATGATGAGTGTCGTGAAGGAGGTAGAGTCGCCGAGGATGAAGAAGGTACCCGTTCCCAGGCTTACTGCGTATATCTCCTTCTACCCGGAACGGCCCACGGGGTTTCGGCGATCCACTTTTTCCCAGAAGCCGAGGAGCTAATGTCCCGAGGCTTTGTCGATCTCAATTGTTCCATGGACCTGTATAGATCGGCATATTAATCGCTATGTATAGATCGGCAATCGATTGCCCGTTCTACAGGCCAGGAAATAATCTGGTCGTTTGACGCCTCAGATTGCTCTCAGAATGAACTGAAATGAAATTAGCTGTGAGCATCTCTCCATACGATTGGGGAGGTTGAATGAAATATCTAGCTAAATTGGAGGAAATCGGTGAAAGGCGAGCTTGATATTGTATAATTGCAGCACAGATATCAATCTCTCACGGGTATGTAGACACAATCAGACTAACACTGGGCTTATAACGTGCCTTGTATTATTTTATTCCCTAGTAGTTGGAACAGTTATGTGGGCATGCAAGTAGGATTGTCATAAATATGTACAAGGTGTGGAATGGGTGGCTCCTTCCTATATAGAGAGGTACATCCAGTGTAAATCCATATACTAGGGCGCTCCATAGTATGTTGGTGTACCTTTGACGTACCATGTGTCAGTGACGAACAAGGTAATTGCCTGCGTGGGCCAGTTTGGGATAATCCCGCGCGTAGGACCGCATTGTTTGTGCCTGCACCGTAAATATTTGAAATCCAAGTGTTAAGAATCTGCTGGTTGCTTTCTCCTCTTACCACAGCTGTCTCTAACTCATCATTCTCGATACCAGACCTCTTGACACACTTATTCGCAATCTGTAAACAATGGAATCCCACGCCGAGCCCCAGGCTGCGTCGGCAGTTGGCAGTTCCTCCGCTGTCAATTTGGTCCCAGCCGCTGAAGTTGCTTCGGTTGCCGGTTCCAACGTTGGGGAGTCGTCTGTTGAAGGCATGCTTTCTGGTGTAGGCCCCAACGCCGAGTCTGCCAAACAGGTTGCTCGTGAGAAGGGTTGGACTGATCCAGTTCCTTTCGAATATGCCGAGCTTGCTAATAGCAAGGATCATCGTGATTGGGCTGGAGTTGCCGTTCGTTATGAATGGAAGGATGAATATGGTGACGTTGGCCCTGCCGTCCCTGAATTGGAGGAGCAGCTTTTCCGTGGTGACCTGATTACTCGCCCTGGCGCTAAGCTTGACGAGTAAGTGACTTGAATTTGATCGTCGCATCCCAATTTGATATCTAACATGTCGTCTTCCACAGGCTCAACAGCTACGAGGTCAACATCGAGAGTCCCAATGAGATCAAGGCGGTTACCGAGGTCAGTTCGCGAAAGAAGCGTAGCAACCATTGGCCAATCTGACAATTGATAGTGGGTAAACTTTGGTTTGCACCCGGTTATGCTGGAGAATATTCGTCTCTGTGGATACGAACAGCCCACTGCGGTGCAGTCGTATGCAATCCCAGCTGTTCTCAACAACCTGGATCTTATCGCTGTCGCCCAAACTGGTATGTGCTGCCGAGTATGTTGTTTGGCATAAAATTAGTACTGACAAAAGACAGGCTCTGGAAAGACAGGAGCGTTCCTCATTCCAATTCTTTCAAAGTTGATGGGCAAGGCAAGGAAGCTGGCTGCTCCTCGTCCCAATACCACAGAAAAGTTCAACCCTAGAGAAGATGCTGTTCGAGCAGAGCCTCTGGTCCTAATTGTCTGCCCCACTCGCGAATTGGCCACTCAGATCTTTGATGAATCACGTCGTTTGTGCTATCGTTCCATGCTGCGTCCGTGTGTCGCTTATGGCGGTGCTCCTACTCGTCTCCAGCGTGAGGAACTTCAAAAGGGCTGCGACATTCTGATTGCCACTCCCGGTCGTCTTATCGATTTTATGGAACAGACTCACGTTCTTTCTCTCCGCCGCGTTAGGTATGCTTGCCACTCACCTGATATTGCAATCTTGGATACTAATAGCGCTTCAGATTCACCGTCATTGACGAGGCAGACGAAATGCTTGACTCCGACTGGGAAGACGAGTTCAAGAAGATCATGTCTGGAGGAGGTAAGTAACTGAAAGCGTTTGCCCTAGCGCGTACTCATCACCCCGCCTTTACTGTGTTTCTGCGTTTCGGTCTTGCTAACATGAGGAAGATATGAACGAGGATGACGACCACCGTTACATGATGTTCTCCGCTACCTTCAACAAGGAGTTCCGCAAACTTGCAAAGCAATACCTCGGCGAGGACCATGTGCGTCTCCGCGTTGGCCGAGCCGGCAGTTCGCACCACAACGTTGTGCAGGATGTATGTATGCCACCAAACCGTGAAAGACTTGTAGGGTTTGAGATCAATGCTAACCCTCGGTGAAACTTCAAGATCGTCTGGGTTGATAGGGACAAGAAGATGCGCGCCATTTACGACCTTTTGATCAGCATGCCACCTGTTCGCACCTTGATTTTTGTCAACAGCAAGGAGCAGGCTGACTTCGTCGATGATTACCTCTACAACTCTGGAATGCCCACCACTTCGATCCACAGTGGACGGACCCAGCGTGAACGCGAGGATGCTATGTGAGTATTCGTTTCTTCGGGTATTTTGTTTTACTTTGCTGACCCACCAAAACAGGCGTGCCTTCCGATCTGCGAAGTGTCCCATCATGGTTGCTACCGGCGTCTCTGCCCGTGGACTGGATGTGATCAATGTGCTCCACGTCGTGAACTACGATCTCCCTAGTAGTATTCACGGAGGTATCACTGAGTACATTCACCGTATCGGTAAGTGTTGCTCAAACTCGATATGGTTTTCTCCCAATACTCTCGATGAACCTGCCTCTAATATTTCTTTGTACTATCCACAGGTCGTACTGCTCGCATTGGTAACGAAGGAATCGCGACCTCTTTCTACAATGAACGCGATGAGGATCTTGCCGAAGATATTGTTAAGATCTTGGTTGAGTGCAACCAGCCGGTTCCAGAGTTCCTCGAATCGTATTGCCCTGAGGGTGATGTGCTTGAGTTCGACGACGACTCTGATAAGAACTTCTTCGACAACCCATCTAACCCTGGTTCTGATGCTGGCTTTGATGCTCGCTCTGACGCTGACGCTGAATCTGGTGTGGCTGAGGAGAGTGACAAAGTTGTTGCAAGCAATACGGAGGAAGCTCGTTTGGAGGAAGCTCGTCGCAGTGGTGTGTACGCTTCTGGCTGGGCCACTAAGGGCCCCGCTCCCAAGGATGAAGATTCATTCTGGCAGTAGAGATCGACTTCTCTCTGCCTGGTCGTGCTGACCGCGAAAGATACCAACAAACACGCACGAAAATGAAACGAAAAAAAAGCCAAAAATGAACAAAAAAAATTGGAAACGAAAGAGTTCCCAACGGAGAGGACGATTGACTTTTAACCTGGATGATCAGAATTAGATCTCGCATTATGTGGCCCCGGAGGAAGTTTTGAGGGCTAGATCTCTCGACCATCTGTAGCCTGGATCTGTGGAACGACCTTTCTCCTGTATCTTGCATCAGGACTGAATCGGTCTTATCGTGACTGCACTGTGACAACGACTACGGTGATATGGATGCAAAGGTCATGAAGATGTGCCGCAATACGGATTTCATGGTTTTATGCAATCATCTAGTTTCAGTTTTTATTTCCCCAGTAAATCGTAGATTGTAGATTATACAGAGTAATATAAAGGTGTAGATGCTCGGAATGTATAGCTCCTGTCTATGTAAATGTGTCAATCGTTCTTGACTCTTTAAACTGCTCTGAACATAGACGATGCTTTCCAAAACTTCCACCTTAACCTCTTCAACCGAAGCGCATTCAATCGTTTGTCAAGGGAACTTTTCATCATGCATTGGTTATTCGTAGGTTCTGCCGCTCTTTCACTATTCCTCATATCCTCAGCTTTATTTCACGGAACTGTTGACTACGGCCACTGGAACGAACTCCGAGGGCTCAGCCATAACACTACGTACAACGCCTCAGAGGCAAAGAAGTCAAGCCCTCCTCTTGTCATCGATACTTTCCAAAAGCCAACCCACAACGACCTGGGATTCTGGCATGGCCCCGGGGAGAATCTATCCGTGCAACATGGACGGGGCTTCACTCGTCTATTCCCAACGGACCCGGACCAGAACTTCCACACACAGTTCGATTCCAACACCTGCTACAGCCTGTTACCTTGGTATAATGAATACCTTCATATTATCTTCGAGGGGACAGATCAGTTTAGCGTCTCCTTCAACCAACACAACGACGAATGCAACCCGAAACGCAGACCTTTCCCCGGCGTTGCATACTCCGTTCAGGCGGACCGGTATGTGGTTCGTCCTGCCACCGAGGCCAATGGCGAGGAAGATGATTGGGACGATGATTATGACAACGATGATATGGACGCAGATGCTTGGAAGAAAAAACACAAGCATAGAAAATCGAAGGGCGATCGACGCAAGCACCCCAAAAGCCATGCCGAACTTCCAAATGGACGTCGTGAGCTGTATATCCCTCTCACTCACTTTGATATCAATTTCAATCGCGTCGTGTCGGTTTCGTTCCATGGCTTCTACACCAAGGAGTCTATTACTCTGCACCGCGTAGAGATCGTGCCTGATATTCCATTGCCGTCGCAGGAAAATGGTCATTATCGTTTGCCTCCAAAGCTGCCCAGTGGGCGATTGATACTCCGTTGTTCCCGTCCAAATTCCTTTGCATTTGGTATCGATGATGGACAGCCGCAGTTTTCTCAGCGGGTCATGCGCATCCTTGACGAGGAGGATGTACGGGTTACTTTCTTCGTTGTCGGAACTGGACTCAGGGATCGGTCGACCAACTTCACGGAGTTCTATAAAGAGATGCTGAGGAAGGGGCACCAGATTGCGCTCCATTCAAACACACATCCAAAGTAAGTATATTCTGAATATTGGATTTCGTGTGACGAGGCTGACATGGAGATCAAGGATGGAATCATTGAGAACCCTCCGTGAGATTGATGACGAGATTATCCAGGCTGCGCAAGTCTTCAAACATCAGCTCAATATCGAGTGTATGTCAAAGTATAATACTTCAATGAAAATGATTCTGACATGGTGAATATTTGCAGCTTCATACTTCCGCCCGCCATTCGGTACAGTCGCTGCCCGGCTGCGCCAGGAGCTAGCCCAACACATTCCAAACCCGTACATTGTGAACTGGAGTGTCGACGTCGAAGATTGGCTGTGGGCAAATACGTCCACCCCAGAGAAGCAGCTCGAAGCCTTCTACCGCGATGTGAATAGGGGCGGGAATCTTGCCGTCATGCACTACCTGAATCCGACTACCATTGGGTACCTACCGGAGTTCATTCGACATATCAAGAACTCCGGATACCGCATCATGCGAATTGATCAGTGTCTGGAGGATGTGTTCGCTCCACCGTTGTGAATGGGCAATGGCGTGAAATCTGCAGACTCACAGCAAGACCTCTCCTGTTTATGTATTCTTAAGTGTATAATCTCTCTCTCCTAAATGGTGTCCTTACGCCGTCCACGCAATGCTAGCTTTCGCTCGTTTCTTACTCTCTGCAGATACATTTTAAGTCAGTGAATCAATGATAGAAGAAACAGCACTTTTGATTCCACAAAACCGAAATGGGAAACCGCCCGAGTGTGTCAAGATGTGTACTGAGCGATCAAGCAAGTATATAAAAAGGACTCAACCAAGCACCAACGCCACGAACACAATTTGTCTATTCAAGCTGATAACCAGCCACAGAACACAGAAAATGGTAGTATAAGAACACGGGAGAAAAGAAAAGAAAAACACAAGTTCTCCAGACCGAGCCCAAATAAGTCGGTATGCCCAAATTCCACAAGCTCCGAAACCCAAGCAATCTCCAGAGCATTCCGCTCTTGATGCAAGCAACAACAAATCAAATGAAAACATATATGGCGAAAAAACAACATATCGTAACACGATCTTCCCCAAGAGGGCAAAAGCAATATCAATATCCAAACGCGGTTAGACATCTCAATCACCGAAATCAGGCTTCTTACACAACCCATTTTTCTCCGTCATAGCACGAATCCGAGTTGGGATCCAGCCTGACGTCGCATCGCCGCCCGGAACGGCATGTCCGAGACGTGGATTCAGACTCGTGAAGCATGTATTTTCGTGGAAGGAGAATTGCACACATGTTTTCTGTGTTTCGCAGATAAGGCGGCAGTCTTCGAAGGTCTTGGCGAAGGGCTGTTCTTCGCTGGCCATGTTGTTCCAACTTTGGCGGGTGGGTTCACTGCTTATTTCTGGGAAGATGTATTCGCGGAAGAGGTCACCGTGGAGGAGGATGCGTTTATTTTTCTGTGGATGGTAAGGTTAGGAATGTTACAATTGTAATGTTATAGAACGGATGGGGGAGGGGATTGGGTTAACTCACATCACGCCAGCGCTTTTGTTCAAATTTCCATAGGTTCTCGATCTCACCCGGTGAGAGGTGGTGGAGGGATACGGCGATGAAACACCATGGTTTCCGGTAGAAGTCTGTAGTGAACTCGTCCAGCTCGCCGATGTTGGAATTTTGAAGGATTGGCCATGTGAAGTGTAGATTGACGCCTGCGTCGCTGAGAACCTTGCCGAGTACACAGTCGCCGGCCCAATGTTGGTCTGTGAAAACATTCAGCTCGACCTCGCGCGCAGTGTATTCGTCGGAGGCACGTTGCAGGGCCGGGTTGGAGAGCACGAAGCCCGAGCCACCGTGGGCGAAGATGACGTCCGCGATCTGAGTTTCCGTGCCGAGATAGTGTGGTTTTGTGTGGTCGAACCGGGCCAGCCAGGTCAGGACCGTTGGCCAGGATATGTATGTGTCTGCTTCGATGAAGATAAACCATTTTGCGTCTCGCTTGTAGCGTAGCGCTTCCTGTGCCATTGGGAGGAACTTCCATTTATCGAGTTTCCAGCCTGGGTTGTTTGGTTTTCCGATTGCGGAATTGGCTTCGTCGGCGAAATCATGCTGTTCTAGACCCTTGCGGCCGTATTTGAGGATGCGGTGGTAGAAGTCGAAGTCCGGGTTATTCTTTGCGGAGGTGTCCATGTCGCGGAGGACATCGTGGATTTTGACGCCTTCGATTTCTTCTTCGAAGTCGGAGTATATTACGAAGTGGGGGATGCATCGTAAGGTTGTTTTGAAGTGGATGGGGACTTTGTCGCGGGATTCTGTCACTCCGGTCTTCATTACCACAAGTACATCTTCCATGCCAGGTAAGGGTGGACAGAATGGGGCCGGTTCCCCGTTTTCATCGAGGACTAGGGGGATATCTGGCGTTGATATGAAGTGAGGACGCCATTGGCGATCCCGATCGGAGAAGATGCCGATGTGGTAAAGAAAGAAGAACGCAATGGCGGTTGCAACTGCAAGAAGACGACGACTGAACCGGCGGGGGACCATCCTGAGAAATATGAATACGCCGAACAGAGAAGAGAAATCAATTGGTCATTTTATTTCCATAGCAGTACACAGGTGAAAGACCGTTTACTGTTTTCCCCCTCTCCTGTTCACCAGAAGAGCAAAGAACTGGGGAAAGGTGGACGCTAAGATGATCGACGATTGCCGGCTGCTGACACATCGGGGACGCGTAGCCCAGGTGAAATTTGAAGTTTTCAAATAGTTGCCCCTTGAATCCAATATTTGCCTCAGATATAATAGCCGAACCCCTTTTGTAATGCAGAGAGATTCCGAGGCTTCCTCATTTCTTCAGGGGGAGCTTCCGGAGTCCCGCACGACGTCAGGATCCACCGGGATCAGCGCGAGCTGTGGTATCAAGAAATATTGAGCATTTTGAAATATACAAGAGCTGTATGTCCAGCATGTACAGAATATGTCTTCCTGAAATGATCTAGTCTGGGCTGTGATATGGACAAGACTAACATTGGGATAGCCGCAAAATAGCTTTAGATATTATAATCCTCAAAGGATACTACACGGAACCTAGGACAGTATTAATTGATTCGCCCACAAGACCGACAAGACCTTTAGTTCTTCATATTGAATTGTACATTCCTGGAAACATCACTGCGCAGGTTTCGTCTTCTTCTCAATCATCTTCGTGTGCAGCTTAACCAACTCGGGAATAATAAGACTCTCAATCTCAATCCCATCCCGACTGCTCTCATCAATCTGTTGAGCATCTGCCTGCTCCAAGGTCGTCGAATTCCCCTTCTTAGCCTCCGCCAGCCCAACCTGATCCTCAACACCAGAGATACTCTTACTGCGCCTGGTCTTAGGAACTCGGATCCAGCGCTCATGCGGCTCATCGGGGGTAATGAAAACCACCTCCCACTTGCGTGTCGAAAGCAAATTGCCAATCACCAGATGATGAGAGTAGCGCTGCAGCGCAGTGCGCGCCTTGTAGACAAGCAGCGAGGGATCTGTCTCGAGTTTAAACGAAACAACCATACTCCCCTCCGGAGCCCAGCCATCCACCAACTGATGCAGGAATTTAGGAACGGGATCCAAGTTGACAACGAGCTTCTTGCTATTCGACGAAGGCTTTTCCTCATTCTCGCCCGTGTAGATTTCATCCGATGAGATCGCGCTGCCTTGCATGTGCGGAGGCAACTCACCAGATTGGATTTTGTGCTCTGCCATGCGGCTACGCGGAATGAAGAAATCACTGACGGCAGCCGCAAGGTAGAAGAGCGCGTTCGGGCCAAGTGGCCGCATCAACTTCGCGATCGACCGCAGCTCGAACATGTATTCAGAGACTGTCGTGAACGGCAGTAGGAGGAGGCGGTTGTGCTGCTTCGCGTACCGGTATTTCCGCAGCACGCTGCGCATCTGGTCTTGGTACTCGTCGCGCACCATGATAGGTCCATGGCCGGGGTTGGGGGAGTCCGCCGACGCCGGCGCCTCATCCATGAAGTCCAGGAAGCAATTGGTCGAATGGCTGTAGTGACGCGAGTATGGCAGGAGACTGTATTGTCGGTGAAGGAAAATCACGGCGTACCCTTGCTCGAGGAAGTACTCGGCTGATGTGGCGCCTCGAGTTCCGGCGGAGAAGTTGTCGATGAAGCGTACGGTTTGCGCTTCAAGTGGTACTGTTGTGCCTCCAGATGTGACAAGTACAACACGTCTGCTTTCCTCCACGTGGAGGTCAATGAATGCGCGTGCGAGGGTTTCATGTCGTGATAGTGCCTTTGGTGGGGGGTATTCATTGAAATAGACGGATTCTGCTTCCGCTGGGGGCATTTCACCGACTAATGGGGCGGCCATTGTGAATTATGATAGAAGCGCTTCTGGAGAAAAAGGGTGGAACGATTGCGAACGGACGATCTGCTGTTGAAGTGAACTGCAGTTAATAAGATGCCGAGGGTGCTGCTTGCTTTAGGGACTTGGTGGGGTTGCAGGTTCTTTGATGCCGCTCAGCTTTGCACGATTGGTCGAGATTCTCGTTTATTCAAAATATCGAGATTTTCTTTGTGTTGTACATTAAATTTTGCGTTTTCAAAGGGAATTGGATAGCTAGGTTGAGCTACCCCTCCATCATATGGTGTGGACGTTGAGACTGCACGACCTAATCCGGCACTAGCGCTCCCGTTTGGCCGATGCGTGACTGTGAATACTTGGAATATCTGGGTATAGAGAGCTCCTCACTCCTCACTCCTGGGCATATCAAAAATGTCACTGGTGCGCATCACCGACGTGCCGAGGTGCCGTTCAGTCACGTGGATGCCATATGCGGGACACCCCGCATAAGCTACATCATACACATACATTTTCACTGTCAAAAAAAAAATATGCTATGTATTTCATTGCAGATACCGGCTGCGCAAGGCTTGGCTGATGGTACTCATCCGGCTCGCCATTCCACCATGCTGCATGTTGCTTAGAAGGGCTTCTTCCAGGGCTGACTGGGTAACACTTGCATCTGACCAATCGATCAGTTGAAATCCAGAATCCTCGGGGTTGGGACACATACCGTCGAGATCACTGAAGCTGCTACCCATGCTAGGAGTACCGTCGCTAGTTTCGCGACCGGACGCGGTGGACTTGCGCGAATTTTGGCGTTCGGCGGTGCGCAGCGGGCTCAGTATCGATGCCCCCAGGCTGGTCCGTCTAGCCCCACCGGAGCTCATAGAGCTGGTAGATGACTCTGTGGGCACCGGGGCCCTAGGACCAGACCACTGATCGGGACGTCGCCGTTGTGCTGCTGCTCGCTCGGCATCTAAACGGAGGGTAGCGCTGAGTTCCTGGACAGGCCGCTCCCGATGGGTATGCTCGTGCTCTCGGGATAGGGGGAGGAACGCTGGAGTATCCTCTTCGTCATCATCATCATCCCGGAGACCCGAGCGATGGGTAGAAAATTTGCCAAACCGTTTGAACCGGGGTGCACGCCTATTGTCTTCATCGTCGGATGCTGACTCTTCCGACGAGCTCGAGGATAGAGACTCTTCCTCGAGTGTTGGCGATCGGGGAAAAGACACGATGGGTGGCTGTTCTCGTTTTGTGGAAAGCCGACGGCCAAAAGAGTCCCGGCGTGGTTCTTTGGCGTCAGTTGTCGGCGTGTTGATGCGTGCAGAGTCTCGACATCCACGAGTTGGGTTAGTAGCCGTAGTTGATGTAAAGCTCATACGTCGGTTGTCAGGGGCTGCAATCAATGTTAAAAGCGTCCGATCCAATGGCGATATCAAACGTTCTGTGCGAAGACGGGTGGAGTTTCGGTCCATACCTCGTAGTGGGATGTCTTTCTGTTGAGATACTTGCCGTGATGGCGCGCGAGAACCTGGATGGTTAGTATCAGACAGTAGTGAATCTAAAGCAAAATACGGGACATACCTAGTACAGGCGTTTCTCGCTGTGACTGTCCGCCCAGGGCCGTACTGCCTGAGACAGATCCTGGAGCTGGGGAAGGAGCGTTCGACTGCGTAGTGCCGACCTTCCGCATTTGAGCCCGAACCTGCGAGAGCTGGCGATCATAGAGCCATGCTGCCTGCTGAAGAAGGAACTGCAATGTGACATCGAAGTTCTCTGCCCTGAACCGACCATGTTAGCAGCCCTCAGCCTTTAAGTGCTCGGGGTATAGTGTAGTTACAGAGCTTTCCCTGTGTTGATGTCAGCTAGGTCAAAGCAAAGGAAAGCTAACCCTGGAAAAAAGCGTAATACATACAGTCTATGTCGCCTTTAGATGGCCGAGAAAGAATATTCCATAGTGCTTGGTCTTTGGATGCATTCCATTCCACCTATTTACGTCAGTGGAGGCTGAAGGGGTTTCTTTTGGGGAGGCTCACAGGGGGCGGGTCAACAAAATCGCCCCTGGGAAATGGTAAGCGTATGAAGACTGTGAAATTAGTGTCAATGGTGTCGACTTTAGTGGACATCCTGTAAATTGCGTGTAGATTGCGATGCTGAAAGTGAGAACCCTCAGCACTCCTGACCAGGTGAATAAACAGTCTTTGTTTGGGCAATGAAAGCAAAGACTGGTGACAGTAGAAACTGAAATGATTATTTCCCAGACAACTTGGGACTCTAAAAGTGAAATAGTAGATGTGATGGCAATGAGTGTTGGGGAGCGTGACGACGGCAGGCGGTCATTTTGATTGGCAGATAAGGTGCGTGGAAAGCGATGAGGCTCTGCGTGGAATTCTCCTTATGCGGGGAATTAAGAGCTAATTGATAGGAGATATGATGCCGCCACGAGGGCACATATATAGCGACGCACTACAGTATTCGCATTTTTCACATTACAGAGATTATAGGAACTAGGGTATTTGTAGAATAATGGGGATAAAGTGTCAGTGTCAGTCTTAGTAAGGTCACCCCAGTCAGTTGGATTGTCAGATTGTCGGGGGAAAAGTTACACTGTATGCTGCATGGGTGCCTTCAAATTCGGGCATAAACTTGGTTACCTAACTATAACTATAACTAACCAGTTCCATGGTCTTTGAATGAGTAGTATTGGATAGATACTACAGTATTAGAAACGAGGAATAACACATGTTAGTTGATTTCAAGCTAGTACCTCGGGGTTAGGCACTGCAAGATGTCAGCATAGACTAGACAAGGGTGGAGATCACCAGTGGTATCCTTAACCCCAGGCCTCGGCTGAGACTCAGCGTCAACATCTACCTCCCCCCACGTCAACAATGGATAGGCTGATGTATTATTACAATAAATGCTTCGCATTTATCATCCGAACATTCATGGGCTTTGCCAGAAATGTATCGGCCAATCCAGATGAAATCCACCACATCAAGTCCCGGGATGTGGGCCGCACGATCAAGGTTCATCTGTATCGACCGTCTGGCTCGGGCCCATCACCTGTCCTAATCAACTTTCACGGAAGTGGCTTCGTGATACCCCTCCATGGCGGCGACGATGAGTTTTGTCGACGAGTCAGTCATGAAACCAAGCACACTGTCTTGGACGTCCGCTACCGTCTGGCACCAGAACACCCCTTCCCTGCCGCCCTGAACGATGTCGAGGACGCCATCAAATATGTGTTCACCTGTCCTGATAAATTCGACTTGACCCGTGTATCGATATCAGGATTTAGTGCTGGTGGTAACCTGGCGCTGGTGGCAGCTTCAAGCCTCTTCCCTCGCGATACCTTCCGCTCCCTGATATCGATTTATCCTGTGACCGATCTAAGCCCTGACCCTGCCTCGAAGATCGCCCCAGCCCGTGGAGACTTTGTAATTCCTCTTCCCGTCATGCGCCTCTTTGACCGCTGCTATGTCCCCTCCTCAGTCGACAAGCGGGATCCCCGCATTTCGCCGCTCTTTGCCCAGGTGGATCGATTCCCACAGCGTGTCCTTATGATCACCGTTGATGGGGATACTCTTGCGCTTGAGGGAGAGGAGCTGGCCCAGAAGATCAACACATTGCAAGGCCGACATGTGGTCAGCGAGCGCCTGCTAGGGTGTAGTCATGGATGGGATAAGAGCACGAGAATGGGAACACCGCAATACCAAGCTAAAGAGCGGGCTTATCAACTAGCATTTGACATGCTGAACGGGAGCTAGTCTTATATCCAGATGGTATCTCCTGATATCTCGTGTTCCTGGCCTGATCTACACATGGCATGATCCATACTTTTCCATGGAACCGAGGCTATCTCCGTAACCCTAAGCCCTACTTTCCTTATATGGCCGAGGGGCTTCAGGGGATGTTCCCAGGGATCAAATGTATAGAGCTAGGAAATAATACGCCAGGCTATACAAATGCCGGGATGTTAAAACTGGGCAATGATAGTTGAGGAATTCTCAGACTATATAATCTTAGTTCATTTTAGTATATAAACGGTTATAGCTTAACCAATCCCATACCACTCAAGCTTAGCCCGTTTTAAAACCCCCATCGTCCCAGAGGGGATTGCGTCAGGGTCACCCGTGGGTCTTAATTATTATTTTTAACTAGAAATTGCCTAAAACGAAAAATCATGAGGAAACCAAAACAAGGTAGTTGTGTGTCCTTTCTACCTTTCTGGCCCCTTATTGCTTTGACCCTCCACCTTCTTATCCTCCTCTTGGAAACTCCCCTGGATGCCGTCATAGAACGCATCTTGTCCATGTGGACGAGTATTATTCTTAGCTGACTTTGCCTCCCATGTGCGCCCGCTGGTTAGGCGCTACATACCTCGTATAACTGTACATACAATGGCGTCAAGTACCGGGCCCATCTTCGATGAGGCCCAATATCGCACCGATGTCCTCCACCACCCCTCACCCGAATCAGAAGCAGCGCAGGCGCAACATCTAGCTGAAGAGGCTCAACAACTAGGTCTGGAAGTGCCAAAGATCCAAACATCTGTGCCACTAGCTGCCTCGATTACTTCAGGAATGGTTGATCATACCTCCCCAGTCCTGTCTTCTGGATCCTCAACCGATCGGAATTCCGCGTGCGGCTCCGTTACCCCGTCTCACGATCCATCCTCTCCGGTATCATCCGTGCTTGATCAGATCGTCGCGTCGCTATCCGATGTCACACTTGCCTCAGATCGCATTAAGGCCGGCAGTACACGATCACTGGCTTCGATGTCTACGCGCCCGACTTCCTTTTGCTCTAGTGAGGGGAAAACGGGCCTTGCTGGGCACGGATATAATGATCCATTCGAGCCCAAGTCGCATCGGCATTCAATTCTCAGCGTCGCCTCGGCCGACAAGAAGGAGAAGCGGCGGAGCAGCTTGAAGTCCGCCATTGGGAGAATTCATTTCCGCAAGAAGCGCACGTCCTCGGCCCTTATCTTGCCCTCAGATCCGCGCATGGCTATATCCACCAGCGACAAAGGCGTTGAACACGTTTTCTTCGAACCTAACCTGGAACCTAATAATGCTGCCCATGAGAATATTCCACCACATGCGACCAGCGAGGGATCGCCTCCCAGGTTGACAATTCCTCTGTTCAGCGAAGAGATGTTACAAAGAAGCCTGGACGATCCAGAGCTAAGTGAGATGCACGAACGGCATCAGATGGAAAGGAACCGACATCTAGCCTTCCAAGACGCCGCTCTAAGTACCCTCCGGCGTCGGCACCAGACCGCTCTCTCAGAGCAGCAGTCTGACAACCAACGCCAGGAGGAGGAGAAACGCGAAAAGGTTCGCTTTACAAACTTCAGTTATTTGACTATAGGCTAACAAGTGGTTGTACAGAACATCGAAGCCATAATCCAAATCGAAGAGCGACAGCTGGCGGTAGAAATTGAACAGCAACGCGAGTTCGATCGAGCCAAAATGAACTCGCGCACTCGCATCAAGCATATGGAGGGGTTCCTCCGCAATACCAGCCCACCGCCATCTCCCGCCGGGACATCGACCAGAAATTCCACCGGAGCTGAACGGTCCTCGGAATCATTCTCAGAATCCGAGTCAACTCCCCCACCCCGTGTGTTCACTCGCCAACACATGGAGCAGCTAGAACAACAATACCACTCCCACAAAAGCATGGACCAGCTCCATGACGCCCGAATCAAAGTCCTCCGTGACCGCCAAGAACTTAAACTGCAGGAAGCCACGGCGCGTATGGAGAAGGAACTGGAAGAAATGTGTAACCGACACATCCAGGACGTTGCTACCTTACAAGCCGAGCACCAACGGGAGGAAGCCTCTCTCATGCAAGCCTTGGATACGAAGAAGGAGACCTTGCGGCACCGCTGGTATTTGGAAGAGGCTGTCCTACGTCGGCATCTCGAGGTGCGACATGGCCAATCATATGGTCCTTTGCCGCTTCTCACTTTCACAACTCCCAACACCCCCATATCGGTTGTAGTACACTCACCACTCGAAACTTCAACCCCGGATACAATCCACCCTAGCCAGGATTGTATGCCTCTTTAACTTGGAGATGATGACACGACATCTACTCAATATACCCCGTTAATCCCCTCTTCTGTCTCTCTTATGCCCCTTACCCTTGTTGTAATAATTTTGGTCTGCTTTTGGATCAAATTGTCACCTACACATATACACGCCTTGCGGCGGCTTTTGGTCTCATGATAGCATATATTTGGTGGAGACCATGGAATACATAGACATACCAAGCCTGTTTATAATCTAAGTGCAATGAAATTGAAATTCAAAATAATTCAATCATTTCGCATTGGGGTATCTCTTGCTGAAAAACATCATGAAACAAACAACACCTCATGGCGGCGGGGATCCAGACAACACATCCACCCTCAATCTATCCAAAACCGTCTCAACCCTCCCGCCCCCACCAGTCATCGCATCCTCAATCTTCTTATCCCGACCCTCATCGCCAATAACAACAGCCCGCTCCACAACCCCAGCATTAGACAACGTGAACCGTCCAACACGTCCATCAACCCACTCAACCCGCACATACCGCGTCTCCAACGAAACACCAGCCAAAGAAATAATCCCCGTATCCCGATCCGGCGAAACATCAAACGGCAAAGACCCCCCACCCTCACCAATAAGTCCTAATTTCTCACGCAGGAACTCAACCGCATCCACACGCATATGCCACGCAACAAGCTCCCTCCGAAGCTCGCGCACAAACCCCCGCAAATCTTGTTTCCGGACATGACTGCTGCTCTTCCACGGCTTCGCGGGCTCGGCCTCATCCTCAGCAGATGAACCCCCGTCCGTATTGCCATCTCTATTGTCGCGCGATACACCAGGCCGCGGTAGATAAACGCTCTCCAGCTTCGCGATCGATATAAACCCCGGCACAGTGTGTCGATACACCTTCAGCATCTTGGCAGAACCTGAACCGAGACTGGGAGCGCGCCGCTGGGGTTGGAGGAGGATGTAGTATGGTTTTGCGAAGCGGCCGTTGCGCGCGCATATGTCGATGCGGACGCCGAGGAGAGGCGTGGTGGGGGCTGTTGGGGACGGGTCTTTGAATGGGAAGGCTGTTACGCCGAAGGCGATGCGGTGGTGATTTGAGGTGGTGTGGGCACCGGCGGCGTGCACGAGGGGGGAGATTGTTGTGAGGGGGTCGGTTGGAGTTGCTGTGGTGGGTTTGGGTTGTTTGCGGAGGAGTCTTTGGATTGGGTCGGTTGTTAGGAGGCTGGATGTGAGGAGGCGCTTGTGTTTTTGGAGGTTTTGGACTTTGTTTGGGTTAGTTTTGGGTTTCGATTTAGGGTCTGGGTGGGATGCTTCGGATGCTTACTTTCTGCGCGCATTGAGGCGATCTCTGTGTCTAGTTCTTCTTCTTCCGGGTCTGGTGATGCGGGGGCGCGAGATGTGGTGGTCGCCATTTTGGATGTTCCAGAGGGTTGATTGGAAAACTGTGTAGTGTAGGGTCCTTGGAGGGATTATGCGTATTTGGCTTTCCCTCACAAGGAAGGTTGTCGCAGAAGGTAAGCGAGATGCGTGGTGGAGGAATTGGGGATTGGAGTTGTTTATTTGTGACACGTGATCATGTCAACATCTGACGCGATCAGATGTCTAGGTTGGCTCAGCCGATGTTATTTTATGCGAGATCTAAACGCCTGAGCAGATCCTGGTAGTGGACTAAGCCTCAATGGTGTCTAGGCTGAAGGTGTGCTTTGACTATGGAGTATATTGATCTGATATTAATCTGATATGAATGCTTAACCCTGCCGAGTGTGTTGACGTGGTGACCTCATAGTAGTTATTAAGTGCTATGTGTGTGCCAAAGTAAAGACAATACATATCAAGATCAGATTCAGAATATGTCTGTCTATACCCACGTTCAAGGATTTTTATGTAAAAGATTAAAATAGATAACTCCCCCGGCTCCCCGGATCTGCACAGCCAAGAGGCCAGCTTGCCTCATGCCTTTTTGTCATCCGGTTCGATCCCCCACCAAACATCCATGAGGTTTCTTTCTTTTCATATCCCTCATTCACTCCTTCATTCTCGGATTCATACAAGACAGGGTATTTGAATCTGGCCTCTTCACAGCTGAACCTGTCCCATCCCTTTCATTCAATATCATAATACCAACTTCGGTCCTCGATCCAATCAGGACGAAGTTGACGAAGGCGATCTCTCCCTACCATAACATAACATTCAATGACACGCAAGAACGCGACCCTCTCGAAGCGCCGGTCCAAACCCAGTCTAAAAGTTGCTACCGGGTCAAACGGACGTGCGAATGGGAAGATGAATAACAGCATCGAAATGCGCAGGAGGGACACGCCATCCACGGAGACCTCCGCCGAAAGAACAGCCAACCTTATGTCAAGACCTTCCTTCTCCCTCGACAATGAACCGATCGTGCCTCAAACCCCGATCCAGACAAATACAACTTTTCACAACCTACCGCGCAGTGACCGACGCAACTTCCTGCTGCTAGTTTTGTTATACTTCCTCCAAGGAATCCCCATGGGCCTAGCCACCGGCTCTGTACCATTCCTGCTCAAGCCCTACCTTTCATACGGCCAGATTGGAATCTTCTCGCTCGCCTCGTACCCATACTCGCTCAAATTGTTTTGGAGTCCTATTGTCGATGCTGTGTGGAGTACGCGCTTTGGTCGGCGCAAGAGCTGGATCACGCCCGTGCAGGTGATTGCCGGATTAGCTATGATTTATATGGGTGGCCATATCGAAGATATGATGGTCCAGGCCGGTGCGGATAATGGCGCGGGGGTCTGGAAATTCACATACTGGTGGTTTATGTTGGTGCTTTTCTGTGCCACCCAGGATATTGCTGTGGATGGATGGGCTATCACTTTGATGTCCCCGCCTAATATATCCTATGCCTCGACTGCCCAAACCGTCGGTCTGACAGCGGGCCACTTCCTGTCCTACACTGTCTTCTTGGCTTTCAACTCGAAGGACTTTGCAAACAGATGGTTCCGAACCATCCCCGGAGAGGGCGGTCTGCTCTCCCTCGGCACTTATCTCAACTTCTGGGGCTGGGCTTATTTGATCGTGACGTGTGGTCTGGCCTTCCTCAAGAAGGAAGAACGCACCAAGGAACGTGACAGCATTATGGATGTGTATAAAAGCATGTGGAGCGTTCTGAAGTTGAAGAACATCCAGACCATCATTCTGATTCATCTCATTGCCAAGATCGGCTTCCAGGCCAATGACGGAGTCACTAGTCTCAAGCTCCTGGATAAGGGCTTTGGCCAAGACAACATGGCCCTGGTTGTGTTGATCGACTTCCCCTTTGAAATCATGCTGGGCTACTATGCGGGCCAGTGGTCAACCAACTACGGAGCAATGCGCCTCTGGGGCTGGGCCTTTATTGGACGACTGGCAGCCGCCGTGCTCGCCCAATTTACTGTCATGATCTACCCCACTGCCTCCGAAGTGCCAATGTGGTACATGGTCACAGTAATTGGCGAGCATGTCCTCTCAACCTTCATGAACACGGTCATGTTCGTCGCCATCTCGGCCTTCCACGCCCGCATTGCGGACCCAGCCATTGGCGGAACGTACATGACTCTTCTTGCCACGTAAGTCCTACTATCTGCCCTCTCCCTTACATCACGCTAACATATCCTCAGTGTCTCCAACCTTGGTGGAACATTCCCCCGCATTTTTGTCCTCAAACTCGTCGACATCTTCACAGAAGCAACATGTCTTCCCCCAGCCATCGCCCCGGCTGCCGACTCCCTCAAAGATGCCCTCATAACGACGTCATTCTCCTGCGCCCTCGAGCCAGAGAAGAACCGCTGCATCAACGGCGGCGGTACCTGTCGCATCGACCGTGACGGGTACTATATGACCAACATACTCTGTGTGCTCATTGGCACGCTCACATTCATTATGTTTATCAAACCGGCTGCGCAAAAGCTACAGGACCTGCCTCTCCGGGCTTGGCGGTTGACGTCTAATTCCCAGCGGGAGTGATAAGTTTCTCGACTGTGGTTCCTGGTGTGTAGTGACGGCCTTTAATGTCTTTGTATCCCCTCTGTCTGGGATATTCTATAGATTGAATAAATAAATAATTTAGACAAGGCATTCTTTTCGCACATCGCGCTTTTAACGGGGGTGTTCGCACACGGGGATTCATGCCACGAAACATATCAAATGAGCTTCTAGGTCTCCTGGTCACTAATCACGATGAGAGGCTGAGCTTTTATGTGGCATCAGTCTCATTTGCCCATGTTGTGTAGGTAGTGATCAGGCATTGATGCGAGAAAGTGCCCAATGGCTAATGCCATTTGCTCTATATGAGGGGGACAAAGCTGTCACCTCGCTTTGAGTCTTAAGCTAATCGTTTGGATGGGATTTCTGTCCACAAGTGAAATCATTTTTAGATAGAAGATTCGCTTGCGGGATTTACCACGTCTATCCTCGAGCGATGTCTTTTGGATTCTGCCGGTGACTTTTTGAGCGCCATCCAGCTCCTTGAGGAACGTGGCTGCTTCGCTGAAAGAGATCGGCGGCTCCCGGAACATTGCCAACAGGATAGTGCATATCTTTTGTCTCTGGTCAGTTCTCTTCAGCACCTGAAAAAAAAACACGAATCGACTCTACAGTGGGCATCACAAGGGCTTGACACCCTTGAAGATTCTGTAGAGCGGTTTGGAGACGACTCAACGCGAGGTTCGGAGATACTCTGGGCAAAAAGATAAGGGTCCCAAACGATCGTTACTGGAGAAGTTGAAGAGTGCTCCCAGAACTATCCAATATGGGTTGTTTGTTTCACGCGGTCGACGAACTTTGTCGCAGAGTTGATATTCCTTTAAAAAACCTCATTGTTGATCTCGGTCTCGACAACAACAAGCTCATCAGCGAAAGCCAGCAGACTTGACTTCAGACACGCTCCCTGGTCGATGATCTGACGGTGCCAGTGTCTAATTTATCAGCCAAGGCGTCGGAGTTGTACGAGCAAAATACGTCGAAGATAACCCAGTGGCTCACCCCACCGCTACTTGAAGATCCATAGCCAGCTATTGACCAACCTAGCCCACGGCTCACGTTAATGGCTACTTGACAGAGACGAAGTTATTTGCCGGAAGTCTGTCGATAAGTCCCAGGACATGAAACTTGGAGGTAATTGAGTTGCTACTCGCGAACAAGTCCACGCTGGATGTAGAGAAAGATTTGTCAAATCCACTTGCGCTTGCCATGGGGCATCACTGTTTTGATGCCGCCCAGATGCTTCACGATGCATGTGGTACAATTGCCCATCTTGATCCAGTGGGACCCAATTGTTGCCACATATAATAACATCTGCCTAGCAAGCAACGTGCATGGCAGCAAGAAGATGAGACTTTATAAGATGAATTGACGTACAAGAAGAGGCACTGGGTAGAAGAGCTCCAAGCTGGTGACAGGATTTCGAGTGCCCCTATGTCGAGATATGGTGCGTGGGGGATCTTTGTGGCAGAGGCGTTTATTGAGGTATTTAGTACGTGATCGGTTACGGACCAAAGGATTACACCAGAAAGACGAGACTAGACAAGAAGTTGAAAGGTATAACCGATAAATTCCGGAATTCCTCTCTTGCGGTAAGCAGAACCTACGTCTTCTTTTCATTTTTGGATAGCATCAAAAGCTCCAGGCAAAGCATAATACATGAGGCATTATTGTATCTGTTATAGAAAAATAGATTCATGCATGCAGGTAGTGCACATCGGGAGAGAGAGCCTCTTTTGTCCAGATATGCGAAGAGCTTCGCAGAGTTCTGTACTTCTTTCTGTTTAACCAGCCCGGGTACTCAACCCGAAGTGTCAATAAACACATTGAGACAGTTACACGATAAAGCAAGCAATATCACGCTCGACTTCAAGCCATCTGGAAACCGTGGCATTTGCAACCAAGGATTTCCATCGCCCCCATCGACAATTCAGATAGCCATGGAGGCCAGGGCCTAACCACACGGTCATCAACCCGTATGACCGGCTGAAGAACGCAATCTCCTGGTTATATTCCAAGCTGCGCGTAAGCCAGTATCAAACCCGTGTCGTTCTTAAGCCAAGCAAGCGCTCATTCGCCGTGTTCCTGAATTGACGAGACAACCACCACAAAAATGGCATATTCGCCTTTTATTCCGAGATCAGGTCCGGACGAGCCGCACCGCAGCATATACGATACAACCCTTCAGAAATCAAGACCTTGACAATACTCTGTCCAATGAGAAGCCCAAAAACTTTAGCGCTTATCCCCGATGCCAAGAACAGACTTATCCGAGACCCTCTATAGAGTACTCCGTACTAGCTTTTCGTTGGTCGAGTTCTTTCAGTTGCATTTTCGCTGCAGGTAAACGGAGTTGTCCTCGAGCCGATGGAGTCTCGACTGGCTCTCGGTCAATGTGATTGGAGGCGCAGACTCCGCTTCTGCAGGTGCCCTTTTGTTCTAAAATAGTCTGACTGGGATATGAGTGTTGAAAAAGAAGCAATTCTGCGCCTGTTCCTGGATATTTCAAATAAACATTCCATTCACTCTTTTTGATCTCGTTCCATACTTCTTACTTGATTGCACCGACTATAGCATAATGAAATTTCTCGCTGCGTGCCTGACACTGGTTGGCGTCTCTCCCTGGAGGGTGAACGCACTGCCTAACCCTGAAGATCTCAATGTCCTTGCTTACAGAGCTGTACGTCAAAGAAATCAAATCCCGAGTCAAACGTGCTAATGTTTAGTAGTGGGACTTCCGTTTCCTTAGTGAAGCACCTCCGGTTTGCAACAGCTCTGTGAACAATATCCAATACTCCATTCTCCACTACTCTGGCGCAAAATCGCGTGACTGTCAGGCATTGAATACTGCCGAATACAACTCAACAAACGTCAAGAGTATCTCATGGAAGAGCCCCTCGCAGCAAGACCGGTACGATCTTTGCATGTTCAGCTCGCCTGACTGTTCCGGCGGGGAGAGTGGCCTGCTGGGCAAAATTACCAATGGCTGGGATGTCTGTTATTTGTACAATGGGTTTGAGGCATGGACCATTGTTCCGAATGGAAATCCTTGTGTTGCAGTTGTGGGCGGTGATAATGAAGGTGGGGAGGAATAGATGGGTCTGGTCTGATATTTGGGAAAATGTTGATACTGCGTGGTAAGGTGTGTATCTGACAAAGGTTTATATGGTTGGACATGATGTTTGTTCAAGGGCTAAAGTGCAAGAAACAAATGGACTTGTGATCAATGTATTAATGCCAAGACAGCATCGCCTTAACGTAAGGCCGTGGCTTGCCGCATCTGCTCCCTCGGAAGGTATCGAAAGAATTTCCTACGAGAATTGTAAAGAATAGGTAGTTGGATATCGTAGAGTGGGGTGTAACAGTGAAGTGAAGGTCAATGAGTAGTCGCTCAGAGATCTGTTGAGCTTCCAAAGGATGATAAATTCCGCTGCAAGCCGAGGTGCCCGATGCTATCAGGTCTAGGTATGCCGGCAGCATTACCGAGCTCTCCGTAGTGGGAGGTGAAGATCTTGAAAAGTGCAACCCACCCATTTTGAGATGGGGACTATTTCTTAGCATCCCGCTGCAACTCTCGAACAACGGAATCAAGCACAAACATAGCAAACCCACGATGCAACCTCAGAACCCAATCTGGAACAGTCTTCTGTTTCCCCATCTCACCCTCTGCATCCACAACCTCATAATCGTGCGCACTTGAAAACCTAACCTCAACAAACATCCCCTGTCCATTCATCTGGAATGGCTCCGAGACACTCATCTCATGTCGGAGAGATGACATCAAGCGCCAAGGATACCCCCACCGCGCAATCTTCTCAAAGAACTCACGGGGTCCGTCCGGCAATTCCGAAGAGACCAATAGTCCGTTACTGTCCGCGTCAACAGAAGGGAGTCGCTGCACTTGCAATAAACCATTAAGCAGAGGGCGCGGCGCGCCGGTGGTTTTGTCTGGCAAGAATCCTTCCGCTGAGTTCCCTGTATCGCCTGATGTGAAGCGGAAGCTAGTGAATAGACCGACGATAAAGCCCTCAGCTCGTAAGATCTTGCCTCCGAGGACGGATCTAGCCCATGCATACTCGAGCTCTGTTTTTGTTGGTGTCTTTAGGCTTGGGACGCGTGCGTCAAGGTTTTGTAGGGGTATTTGTGCGGCATAGATGTTGGCATATGCGCAGTGCTGGGTATTTGGGTTCTGAGGTTTCCGGAGGGCCTTGCTACCCGCTGCGGGAGGAAGTTCTGGGTACTTTTCTTCGAGATGGCAAAGTCCACGGTGGATGCCGTAGCTGGCTATGCCGGTAGCGGCGGTGGTGTAGCCTAGCAGGCGGATGGATCGTCGGGGCATAGTTGTGACTGTTTAGGGGTACTTAGAAGAGTTCACATAGACCTCACGTACATATTAAAGATAGAACGTGGGGAGTCAGGGCTTCTAACTACTTTGAGCACATCATCTGATGCGCTTGGGGGCCAAAGACAATGCTGGCTCAACGCCATGATCGCATTGGTCTTTACATCAAATCCTCGGAATATATATATCTCAGTCATGAATTTATTAAATCCCCCCAAGCAGCAAGATATTGCGTAAAAAGAACCACACTATAAGGAAAAGTTGATATAGACACATTAATATGATTCTTTTGACGTAGGAATCCGTACAAAGACCTGGAGCTTAGAATTCTGGGGAGATCCATTGCACTCGACCAACTGGATGCGACTACCAGGCTTCAGAACATTTCCCAGTTTGCACCCAATAGGAAGCCGCTCGACCTTTTTCAGACCCCAGACCAAGAAGCGTTCGTCAATGATGTCGAAGTGATCATTTCGCCCCTGGCTCTCAGGAAACTGCTGGAGGTCATGCTGGCGAAGATTGAGATGGGGATTTGCCAGGGCAAAACTGGATCCAATGTCAACTCAGCGCAGAACAAGCTATTTCTGAGAATATTTGGTGGTCAAGTCCAGTAGATTTCGGGGAACCTGGGGATATACAAATTCTTCTGCAGCCGGAGGCATGGACACTTAAGCTTACGCTCTCTTGGCTCAAAATGTCGGAGATGTCGATTGTGCAACCATATATAACAGGCTATAGGCTAAAACAACGTTGTAATGATTGTGTTCCTTCTGCAACTCCCACTGGAATGGCTGGACTTGGATGGTAGCGGGTCGGAGATGGGTGGTCGTGATTGACCAAGAATCTGCGAACTGACCACGATCCTCCGAAAAGCCCAGGATACAATTACTAATCACTCTTAGTTAAGTAGGGGAAATAGAAAGGCCTTCATCGAACTAATGAGAGAATTCAGGCCTGTGAATATCCTCCTTCTCAGCTTCTTCATCCTCGGAATGATCAACGCAACCATGATCAAACCTGTGGCCGAAAACGCCATCTACCGCCTCGCTGGCCTAGGGGGAATCCTAGCTGGCCAGACCATAACCCCAAAATCGGAGGGTAGTGCTCGCGATGAGCCCCAGCCTCGTGCATGGACCGTACGCTCTGGGGTGTATACTCCGCGCGAAGTGGTCGAGGGCTTTGCTTCCCTTCTAGACACGGTCGTCCACCGTCTAGGCGAGGATGCCCCAGATAAGAGACCCGCCAGGGCATTACTCCTCGACAATGTTGCCTCCAACTTGGCCACCCACACTAGGGAATCCACCCTGCCCTTCCAGAAGGATGTGCCCGATCTCTCGCGTAAGGAGATGAAGGAGCAGGCCGATCGAATCGGAAAGACCCTCGTCAAATGGGCGCGTGAGGCTTCCACTGGCCCATTCGACCCAGAACTCGACATCCGCAGCCCATGCGAGAATCATCTGCTTACCCCAGTAAATGTCGACCTCATGTTCGGGCATCGCAGTCGGCCACACCTGATGCAGCTGTTCAATGAATACATGCACCAGATGGTACTGCTTCGTGATGCTCTCCTGCCGTTCCGAAACTTCGATGAGGTCCTGATTCCCATCGACGGCAAGGCTGCCCGGGGAATTCGTCATCTAGAGCCCAGTCGGGCGCAATTCCTGACAACCCTTGTCACCAAGAGCGTGACTCAGGTGTCGGTCCTAGCATATGCTAAAGCGCTTCTGGCACCAGATCTGCCCCGAACCGACACCGGTGGTTATGGTTTCCAGTATGAGCATGGCACCATCCTGCCCGCTGTTCTGAGCGGCGGAGATACCCATTTCCACTTGCTACAGTATATCCCCGCCAAGCTCGATCCATCTCAGAAGGACATCCTGTTCGACTACGAATTTCCTGATTATTATACTGCCCCGCGTCCGGAGATTTCCCCTGGATCCGAGGTGCCGGCCGACGATTTGCTGAATTTCCCCTCCGAGTCCGCATCTCCTGTGGTTCAGAATGCCAGTCTTGGCCTGGTACCCTCGACCTACTCCACTCCTATCCGTCAACTAGAGCTCCGCCTCGAGTTTAACAACGGAAAGTGCATCGGTGTCGATATCGGTCAGATTGCCCGCGGTCACCGCTACGCCTACCAGGCCCTTGTGGGCAAGGAGGCAGACCTCCCAGCTCAGTCTGCTATTGTCCACTCGGCCCTGGACATTCTCTTACACCCCGAGCGTGGTGTTATCACCGCAAAACAGGGCGGTGTCCATGTTATCCCAACCGTGGAGCCCATCATTGCTCTCGCAACTCTTGGCAAGCTGTATCCGGAGAACGTTGTGCTCCTGCCGGAGAATGGTGATCTCGGCCAGACTAAAAAGGCTGGTAAGGGATTCGAACCCAAATTCATTGTCTGGGGTGGTGTGAAGCATGGTGGCTTTAAGGGACATTTCTGATTTCGGCATGTTCATTCTAGTTGGGTATTGCATTGGGATTGTTTTCATTGCGGTGGTTGTTTTCTGCTTCCTTGGGTAATCGCTTCTATCATATCTATGTTCAAAGTTTAACGCATACAGTATGATATTACCTTTTACTCTTATCATACCGACTGTTCCTTTTTCAGACGGTGTGCGAGTCACACACAGTAATTAAAGCTAGTTGGTTGCCACACACTGCAACCCTGATATCGAAAGTCAAAGTAGCGTACATCCACAAGCTCCCAAATTTGCATTGGTAGAAAGTCTTATATCCCTGTAGCTCAGAATCAAAGCAATTTTGTTCTTGCTTAAAAGTCATCCATTGTTACCGGAGCTTGGGCGAATATTAGCTAGACTTCATATCGTATCCCCTTACGATGAACCACCCACCTCCTTGAATTACTACAATAACAAGTATCCCTGGGACGGCAAAACGGTGGATATATGGGCAAGGTGCTAATACCTACTTTCAGACAATTTAGTTATCTCTGAAGACAGATTACATCGGTGTAATTGTCTGGGAGTACCGCTTAATCTCAGGTGTTTACTTTAACCTCTCTATATATTAATATACGAGATAGGCAGTTTAAACACTACATCCATATATGGCCAAGAAAGCCTCAACTTATAGAAAGATAAACCTCATTTTTGATATTCCAAAATCAGACCAAAGAGACTTCACGAAAGCCTAGAAACCAGCCCGCGCATTCTCTCCTTGACATGAGACATAACAAAACTCCCTAGCTCCCTGTGCATAACCGGTCTCTCTTCTCCATCAAGATCTCCATACGTATCTTCCAATGCCCCTCTATTGCTAGCGACTTCCATATAAAGAGAGCGGTTCTCTTCCTCGCCGATGCACACAAGAAAACTGCCAAGCTTAAGGAGTATCGAGTTCAAAATCAGACGACACATACGTCCGTTGCCGTCGATAAAAGGATGAATATTGACAAAGATGTGCGTATATTTTGAAGCAATGGCGATAGGGTCAACCGTTCCTTTAGCAATGACTTCTTTCAGATAGGATGTTGGGGCCAAGGAGTGCTTGGAAATTGTGCTACGTGATGAAGTGTACAGTGAATCACGTCCCCTGAGGCTTATATATATTGTATATAGGTTGTGACATAATGATGTATGTGATAAATATGTATAAAAAGCTTTTCCATTTGAGCCTCAATCTCTAATAATGATGTCTTTTGTTTCTTCACCTCAGCCCGGAGTTGACTGTACCATGCAGAGTATAAGGATATTAGAGAATAGATAAGTACGGAGTATTAGAGGCTAGAAGTTCTCGCCAAAGTATTGGTTTTACATATAGAAATTCCAGTAAACGTTTTAATTCCAGACCATTTCATGACCGTCATAGGACGGATATTGATAAACATAGAAACCCCAACATGGTAGAGACATCTTGCAATATTGCACCAATAGGACCCAGAAGGCCAAGCCTCCAATAAGTTAAAGAACACAATAAAAGAAGAGGAATGGACAGAGGACCCATATACATCCAATGTGGCCCATTTATTCATCCCCGTCATACTTAGCCCGAATCTTATGACACGCCAGAATCATCCTTGTTAAAGGTTGCAGTATCGCGACGTCCAACTTTCCCGCACGGTCCAGGTCGAGTAAGTCCTGGAGGGTAGACGGGGCAGGTGATGTCGGGCGAGCGTGTTCGCGGGCGACTTGCCATTCTGCATCGCTGCAGACGCGCCACATGTACTCCGGGGCTGGAAGGGGCATCTGTAAAATCATGGCATCATTCAACGGCTCAAAGTAGTCATGGTGCAGCTTCCGGGCTTCGGCGGCGAGTATATTAACGACGTGGACGAAGAAGACGTTGCGACGGAGGGATTCAGCAAATTTCCACTCGGACCAGCCTGCTTCGTTTCGCTCGAGGGCCTTTTGGTGCAGTTTACAGAGGCGCCGGGTCATCTGTGCGGCAATCGAAGAATCAGTGGTGCGGATTTAAGGGAACAGGGAGGAACGGTAGAGTACTCGCCTTCAGGAAAAAGTAACCGTGGAGTTCTGCAGCGTTGCCCGAGTCTTCGCGACGTCGCTCATTCCTATCTTTGAAGGGCGTGCTATAACCCGATCTGGGGGATTCTACAGACGGGCCCCCAAAGAGTCCCAAGATCTGATATACGCAAACAGCATGCAGGGCGGCGAGGCAGGTTTCCGGGCGGTCGCTGTAAAGATGAAACTCGCGGACTAGCCGCTCACGTTGCGAGTTGATCATGTTGTCAACGAAGTCAACGCTGGACTCGACAGAGCTCAAATATGCCGATACACAGGCAACGGCAATGCCGAGGGGCTCAGCCATGCCGTTCTTAGAGCACCGATAGAGACTGTGGTGGATGAAGGGGGACCAGAAGTTAGGCTGTATCATCATTCGTGAATAGTCGCGCAGGATCCCGAAAAGCTCCTGAGATAGACTGGCTGTGTCTCGCAGTGTTGTATCGGACAAATCCGGGACAAAGGAGCTAGCAAAAACACTTGTAACATCCCCGGAGACACCAGAGTCGGAGGTCTCTAAGTCGTCACGTCCCGCGGACGGCTCCTGGTGACTACTGCTCGCCGACAAGGATAGGGGTGGTAAGGAGAGGTCTAGCGAATCCCGCGAAAGTAATAGAGAATTGTTATCTAATGAGTGCGGTTCCTTGGACTTTTCCTCCGGCGCAAGAAAGGAGGACGTCTGGTCGTGCAGATAATCCACAAAGTCTGATGATGGATCAGGCCATGTAGCCTGGCTAGGAAAGCCAGTTTCATCATGGATAAAACCGACATTATGCAGTGGTGGGCTCCAGGTGATGCCGTCCCCGGGCAAGGTCATGGCTGAGACAGGGAAAACAGAGGTCAAACCCATGGATGTCGGTTCCAGAGTTACTTCCATGGGCGACATATGCTCCCGGCCCGTGTCTTGATCTCCCCATGTTGGAGATGTCAAAGACGTGTTGGGATAGTGACAGGTTGTGCCCATCTGAATACATCGACTACAGGCTGGGCGGGTCAATGAACAGCGCAACTTCTTTTGGACGCATGTTTCACAAGACTTGCGCTTTGATGCGCGTTTCTGGCCAAATGTTTTGGCACAGCGACGTCGATGTCGGTCCCGGAGATCCCCTGTCGGATACGTCAAAAATTAAATCCAACAGATCGATTGCATGCACGCAAATAGAAAACGTACGGCGTCCGTAGGCCTTGTTACAGAGATCACAGCGAAACTCTGCATCCGTCGCGTCGGGGGAGTTGTGGCTATCGGTATGTCCAGTGTAGTTATTCCAGTCCATAATGCTCGGAGTGAACGATGAATGACTGGGGTTATGTGTAATTTTGGAGGCGGTAGGCGGTGCCATAGGTCAAAGAGCAAATAAGTAGAATGCGCCTCAGCCCTTTCGACTAATATACGATGTCGAAAGAAGAACTGGTATGTTGTCACAGGCCAGAGCGGAGCACTAGCGCCCCCTCAACGAGCACCCTTCAGAGTTGGCATCTAATTCAGTACACCGCCGTATATAGGCACAACGCATTCTTTCTACCGATTTCCTATAGTCGGCTCTTGCCTTGGTTACAGCAATTGCAGGCCCTGGCAAGCATACGAAACATGCCCGTGGACTACTGAACCTTTTACACGTAGTTCGTATATTGTATATCAGGCTTTCTCATTCGGATATGAAGTCTCCTTCGTAATGTAAGCTTATATATTTTTTCCAATTGATTTTCGGCATAGTGGGTGGAGTGGTTAATTGTCAAAGTAGGAGTGATTTCATACCTATGGCAAACTCCACAAGCAGGGTGTACAATATAATTGTAAAAAATACATAAGGGCTTAGAATCAATATCAAATGAATATGCTGTATGCCCAGCCTCGTTACTATATATGGGGTCTATCAGGGGTGCAGACGGGGATCGACTCGGACAATATACGCATGATGTAAGCGTATACACACTCGTGATTGATAACGTCAGGAATCTAAGAGGAATGAAGAGTGACTTGTCTGCTCAGCTATCCGGAATAGTATGGGGTGATTCAGGAATGGCTTTCGCACTTGTTCAAATGGGATTGCCCGCTTCAAAACTATTCGATGCATACTTCAACGGCGGGGCGATCCGTTGATTCACATATGACTTAATCGCCCGTACCCGCTACCTTTTTTTTTTCTCAGACCTACACAGACGTCAACCTCCCAATTACTCACAACCCTACACTCAGCATCCAGGTCAACGATCCGTATGACAGCTACAGACTCCTCATCCGCACAATCCACCCCCTCTTCAGCAACAACAATGTCGCCCCAAGTGGCCCAACACGACCCCGCAATCGAGAACTCCCTCGACGACATCTTCGGCTCATCGCCACCCCACGAAAGCACACTTGCATCAACAAATCCAATCACCTCATCCGAGCCCTCCGACCTCCCCGGTCTCCGCCGCCAACACGTGACAGCAGGCTACCGCGACGGCACATCCGCCTCAAAGGGCGCGCACGTGCAAGACGGGTTCGACGGAGGTTTCCCCGTCGGCGCGCAGCTGGGTATGCGCGCTGGTACTATACTGGGCATTATGGAGGGACTGCTACGCGGGTTCGAGGAGCGAAGTGGACCGGGTGTTGTGAAGAAGCCGACTGTGCGGGCCGGCCATTCTGCTACTGGATCTGGGCCTACGAAGAGGGATGACGGTGGTGATAGTGAGATTGCGGAGTCACGCCGGCAGAAGAGAGAGCAGATCCGTGTGCTTTATGAAACTGCGCTCAAGGAGCTGGATGTGCAAGCTGTTTTTGCCGGGGCTGATGGGGCTGGCGCGGAGGTCAACCCGAGGGCCGAGGCCGGGGAGGAAAAGCCGGAGACTCAGCTTGGGCGGAAGGGAGATGTTGTTGTTTCGAAATGGGAGGGGAGGGTCGATGTGCCGAGGTGGGAGGAGAATATGGAGGCTTTGGAGATGAAGGACAAGGAAGAGGGCAAGGGTGAGACCCAGGCTGTGGAGCACAGTTGAAGTTGTCCTGGATTTGTGCAATCATGGCTTGCACTATGTGTTTGTCATTGATACGACACAAGGCTGTACTTTGCCTGAAGATCTACAAAACAATGCCCCACCAGGTACAGGCACGGGGGAAGGGAAATGTCTCCTCTCGTCTTGCAGATGCGAATGCAGGATTGAGTTTCCGCAGAAATTGGCGGGTCGACTGTCTTTCGGGGTCTCTGTTACTCGTTCCCCGCTGCAGGCTCATCCCTGCCGCGGAAATCAAATACTTGGAACAAGCTCCGCTGCCACTGCAAGGTTGGTGCGGCGGACGGGCGGGGCGGAAGGCCGGTCCGGTCTGTATGTCCTCGGTTGTTTGGGGTAGAAAGGTCGTGCTGCGCTGAGACATTGACGCTGGGGTCTCTATACACTACTGTCGGTACGGCTGTTGCTATGGTAGTGTTGCGGGTCGGATTTGGTGGCCGAGTTTATCTTGGCAATTTCAAAGACATTTTGCCAGACTTTCGGTCAACAAACAGTCAACGACTCAATTATATTACAATGCGTTCTACAAATCGGAGTGGATTTGTCAGAGCAAACAAAAGCAACTACAAATGGCGCCTGCCTGTCAAACACGAGACGTAAATGATAAGTCATATGTCAAACAACGTTGTAACGCTACCTGTCAAATTTATGCTGTCATCGCACAAATCAAAAGTCCCTACAAAAACACAGCAGAAAGGTCTAGACAACCCAGATCGGGCTCCCTACAGCTCCACAACACAAACTCCGATAGATCTGAAACTTGCCAGGTTGGCGGGTCTCGGGGACGCAATGGGCGTACAGCCGGTTGGATCCGCCAGCTTGCCTTGCGTGAGAGGTCGCAGCGGAAGAGCTCCAACTCAGGGTGATGGAGATTTGGTTGGCCGACCCAAATAAACACCCTGTCTAGCGTTACCTGTCAAAGCGAGAAGTAGAAGATCGGCCAGTTATGTTGGAGTTGGAGAACATTGGCTCGTCATATTAGGTTGACGGATTGATGAATGAGGGGGAGACGGGGAAGCCGTAGATTGGCCGGATATGTCTTGCGAACCAGATTAGTAGGCTTCATTTAAGCTTGTATGACACAGGGCTCAGATTGGCAGATCAAACGAAGCGGGACTAGTCTTTTCAGCCGAGGTGGAAATTCAAGGTCTCGGACAACGTAGCGGTTGGCCCTTGGCGGACGTTGAGGGGCGGTCGATGCAAGGGATAGGACGCATCGTCATATCTGGGTTACCTGTATAGAATATCCTTAAGTACTCCGTACTGGGAATGCAGCTGTTAGTATTTGTAACAGGACAGCTTGATTGTGTGAACTGCGTGGGAGGTGTACATCGGGCGCAATTGTCGGTCAATGGGTTTTAGTTGGCATGTGCCGTTCTAAGCCCTAAGTACTCAAACCTCAACGCCTCAAAATGTCGGCCATTCCACATCCGCGGCCGGTGGATCCCCTCCCGCGGTCCCCGGTGCATCCGCTGTGGAGAACTTACGAATAGCTGCACTTCGAGAATTCGACATGTAAACAGGGTATTAGTGTGATGCTGGCAGACCCAGTATCTGGAATTCAATTCCTGTCGCTGTTCTGAAACAGATGCAAGAGAAGCTGCGGGCAATGGGGATGTGGAATGACCATGACGCGCCACATACGTGGCACGTTGGGCTGTGCAAGTCCTCTCGACAAGTCGGCTGTTCGCAGGCAGAAGTCAAAAACTGCTAGCTGAGGGGAAAGTTCGGGCCTGGGGGAAGGTTCGGTGGCTCCCTTCGCCCTTGTTGGTGCCTTGGGCTGGCTGGTTCTCTAATGGGTCGCCGTGCATGGCGTAGACTAAGATGCCTTGTCTACATGTTATCTAGTAGAAGAGCTGTTGTTACATAGTTCTCATTACTCGGGTCAATGGATAGCTCGAGGATGTTGCGGTAGTATCGAAGATACCGTTGGGGATGGTCTAGAATCCGGAGTCCCGCATTCCGCAAAACGTCCTCATCTCCTAGACAACGAAGTAGTAAAGAATCGTTCATGTTTCTAGTAAAATGTGATGGTGTCTATTTTTGTCTATCCAGAGAGCAACGAAGTAGTGAAACACTTTTTTTTTGATGAATGCAAGAAAGAGGCCAGAGAATGCGAATGTTGGGTCATTGGAACACAGACAACACAAGGCGTCGTGTTCCTCTATATTGGATTATAGATCACAGTTGGAAAGGGATGGTTGTCGTAGCAGTAGTAGCAGGACATGATTCTGTCACACATGGTAGAGATGAAGACCGTTGATAGTAACTTCGTAATAAAACAGTGCAATGATAATACAGCACGCGAAATAGCGCGATCAAGACATGGAAGGAAATCAACGCAACGAGATGACAAGTAGGAAAATTAAAGATAGTTAGCTCGAGGGTGTCGAGTCATAAGTCGGTAGTCGTGGTCTCTAGGACCAGGCATCGTGTTCGGTTCGTGGCGCGAGATAGCGCGTGCAAAGAACGTTTTTGAGTGCGTCTGTGTCCAGCCACATTCGGGTCTGGAGATTCATTATTTTCATTTGGCGCGGGAAGCAGAATAGCATTTTTGCGTAAGGGAGTGGACGTGTTCGTAATCATCGAGACACATTGGAGGCATGATGGCAATGATATGAAATCGTTGGAGTGATCGTTGGTAAAGTCGGTATGTTGTAGCATGGTTTCGTCCGTAAAATTAAACCCAGAGAACCGGAACGCCGATTGAAAAAGCATCAGATGGTGGTAACATTGGTCTTCTTGTGAGACTTTGGGGGCTTCTGGCAATTTAATGAACGCAGGGAGCTCATGAATCGCTGCAAGAGAGGCCTTTGCTCGCGAGCTCCATTGATAGGGGCTTGGGAGTACTGGTCGTAGCAGAACGAAGTCAACTTCTCCTTGTCACCCTTGTCAGAGTTGGAATTGTTGGAGTATGTGGGGGAGTCAGAGCGCTGGCGGCGCCGGAACTGTGCTTGGAAAGCGGCAGCTGCGGAGCGGTCAACGTCGGAGCTGTTGGTACTGCTGTTCTTGCGGGAGCGGGGAGGGCGAGTCAGAGAGGTGGAGGAGGGAGCAACCAGACGCAGTGTATTCAGGCCGTTGTATGACCTCATGGCATCTTTGACAGTGCTGGGCCGGTCCATGCTGGGGCGGAAGGCTTCTGGGATAGGCTCCCCCATGATGTCCTCTGGCATACACGGGAACTGCTCGAAGGTCTGGCCATCGAGCATAGTTTGGTGAAGTCTAGGCTGTGACTTGGCACCGCGGAGTTTAGCACGGCTCCGAACCTTGCGCAGGGTGTCGATGGGCCGGCGGGACATGGATTTACGGCCAGCAGACTCGGACTCGGAGTCGGACTCCCAGACGGACTGCTCGCAGAAGGCATCGATGGTTGAAATTGAAGGTCGCTCCATTGAAGTTGCGGTCCACTGGCGGGAGATCGGTGGGGAGCTAGCCACAGGACTGGGAACGGGACTAGGGCAGTCGTTGGCGGGGATGAACAGTGGGTGGTCAAAGTGTGTCATGTGAGGTTCCATGGTGACGGGGTTGATCAAGGATGGAGGGGAGATCATGGAAGCGTCCAGGGGAGGGCGGGTTCCAGGACTGGATTGCTTGCGACGAGAGGTGTTGTGGAAACTCGCCGCACGCGACAGGTTGAGAACAGCAGGAGGCTGCTTCCTACGGTGAGTCCGCGATGTGCAGGACCCTGTTGCGTCCTCATAGCCCATGGTGATAGTTGTGGTAGAATCGTTGGAGTGTTGAAAGCAAGGTGTGGTTGGACGAGTATCCGCCGGAGTCAAAGCCGGCACCGGAGGGGGAGGGGGAAGAGAGTATTTAGGTGGTGTAGATGCAGGGAGATAGAAGCGGCGACGCGGCTCGCTCTGAACCTGGTTTGCGTGCTCGTACAGCTGCTGAGTAGCCTCGAAGACAGCGTCGGGGCAGCTAGGTGAATCGTAGGCAGAAGAAAAAGAGGTGCTAGGTGTCAAGTCTGGGGTGGTGCTGTCCGTGTGAATGGAGCTGAACGAGACGTGGCTGCTGTGAAGCGGACTGTCTTCCTCCGTTGAGGGAGTGTATCGGTGGAATCTCAAGCTGTTCTCCAACTCCACCTGTGCGAGTGTGGAGCGATCTGGTCCAGGGTATTGTAATGGGTTGTGGATGTCCTTGTTGTGGGTCAAGGAGAGAGGGTAATATTGGCTTTCGTCTTCAAAACTATCATTGCGCATATCCGATGTGTAAGGATTCCAAGACGGCGTAGCTGCCAATGATTCTTCGAGGTAAAAGGGATCGAGATTGGACTCTTCAAGGACCTTTGCGCCGGCTGTTGGGTAGTAAGATGATCCTCGCTTTGCAGGTGATGGTGATGGTAGACAAATTGTAGTCTCTGATCTATTGCGATCTTGATACAGCACGTCCAACTCGCCTGGACAATAAAGGCCTCTGTGATCCATGGGACTGTAAGCTCGAGTAGTATGAAAGAGAAGTAACACGAGGAATGCAAGATCTCTAGGATCTAGGCACAATCAAATACAGTGATGGAAGAGAGGAGAGTTGCCACCAGGACGAGACCAAGAGAAGGAATGAGGAATGAAATGACCGAAGTGGAGGCCAGGGTGGAGGGGATATGTTTATACCAAAAATAACCTTGAGGACCTAGAAGCCCTAGGCCTATGATCCGGTGGCTAGCGGGAAAAGCAGATGCATGCCAATGCACAATGTAAACAACACAAGCACAGACGATCATGACCTATCTGACCTTGCATGGTCCCCTTCCGTAGGGATGTTGCAGCAAGGACCCTTCCATTGGGTCCTCCAGCAAGGGCGCGCGGAACTCGACCCGTACAATTGGCACTAAGAAACATCCCGAAGCATCACAATGAGGATTGTATCTCCGTGTGTCTGTGTCCTTGTGTTCCTGTGTTCTCGTGCTCTGTGTTTCCTGTATGTCTGTGATATGGAAGCCAAGGAAGTGACGCGAGGTCTTCGTACCACCAGATCTCACTCCAAGCATTTGGAATATTTTCAGCCTGTCAGAGGCAAAAGTTGGGAAAAAGATTTTTACCGACATCTGCAGTGTGCAGAAGTCCTGTGCAGTGGCTGGGAGAAAATGTGAGATATCACTGGCCGTCTGGTGCGAAGTTCCCGGGATCAGCCACTAATGCTGCCGATCGCCTTGATCTGTGATCTATTAGCTCTGTCACTTTGACAGTGTACTTTGGAGAGTACTTTGGTCCTTTTCTCGGTCAACACCGTTGCACATTCTTCGTAATCCTAGCAACGTTAAATCGAGCCTCATAAATTCGATACCATAACGTTCCATCTCGGAAATTGTTCTCCAAGCACCTACGTCATGGGCTTATTCTATTTTTTTTTTTTGGTCCTTTACTTTCTTTGCTTTTGAGTAATGGCTAGAGAGCTTTAACGCTTTTTTCAAGCCCAGTGACATCAGTGTTAAACCTAGGAGTGAAGAGCTATACTTTCTCCCTGGTGTTTCTAGTCTTCCTACTTCTCCTAGTTTTGCCTTGATTCCTTTGGGAAATCGGTGCCTGGATTGAAGTTAGTCAGATAACCCATCATAATTTGCCACATAGATTTGGATGGTCGGACACTCAAGGAGCTGAGGTAGACCCTGACAGTAGACGAATCACACATGTTGTGCATCTGTAACTCTGACATTGTGCTGCCATTGGTTCTTCATCGAACTCTTTTTTCTTATTATTTTGTGATCGGACCATACAACATACAAATCCACTTCCAGCTGGTCAATGTGTTAATGTGTTTGCTGGGTCCAACCGCAGATGTTGCCGTATCTCATGGGTCTCAAAGCTCTATATTCTATAACCCCCGAAATTGCTATTTTTCTGTATCGTTGCAAGTCTGTAAGCCCTCAAAGAGACCAAAACAAAACAAAACAAACCCGAGACATATGCTCAGCTAAGTCCATGAACCCCACATTCCATCGAAAAGTTTGACCTGCATGCATCCCGCTACACGTACAGCCGAAGTGCAGCCATCCCGCCCATGTAGTATAAGTATGGACGCACTCCCCAGTAGAGTACCCCTGATCTGCAGGCCCAGTAGCTCTTTATCGTCCAGTTCATGCACTGTTTGTAATCTCTGAGCGATTAACTCACCGGGGACGCAGTCTTTGCAGAAACCCTCGCCTCCCGTCCTCCCGGTCACATTCCTTTCCCGTTGGATGTTGAGTGCAGACACATAGAGTTTTGAATAGATGTGCGCACAGTGTACTAGCAATCTCGAGTACAAAATAACCCAACATATCGACTACTAGATCGCAGCGAAAGGATTTTCCAAGGACGCAATGGCAGGACATGCAACTCCTCGATCAACAGACTCTTTCTAAGATTGAATGAGAATCAAAATTAAACTTGATGATCAGAACAATTCAATACCCCACAGTCAAACAGCTAGAACAGATCCCTTCCCAAAGGAATCGCATCCATCAATCCCGGAAGTGTCTCGCAAACCATATTTCCGTGATTGACCAATAGCCCCTATCCCAAGATCCCAGACAAAGGAACTGAAACATCTAAGCTCCCGCGGATCTAGGCTGCTGTAAGGCATGTTTGAAACCTACCTGGATACTGGGTCTTAGTTCCCTTCTGGACACTTTCCGGGTTTCGTTTTCGTGCGTCCGCGCTGCGGGAAGCCCTTCCCCGGCCCGACTGAGGTATCAAATTTTCCGGTTCCCAGGATGACCCTTGCTGTTGTTTTGGAGAGGGTCCAGGCCTTAGACAGAGGGGTTAATATTACTTTCAAGGTTGTAGTGCTTATAGGGCGCTCGTGTTCATTTGGGTGCCACGGTGGAGTCTTGTATTGGAGGCCTCCTGGCTTCAGGTATTGGCATTGGGGATAGCTAGGGGCTGTAGTCACTATTGTTGGGTGCATACATGTATTAGTTACTGCCCAGGTAACTAGTACTATGTACCTCTTAGATTGTATATTCCAGGGAAGAGCTGGAATGTCCCAAGATACCGGTTTGGCATTAGCACCGAGAATACGGCTTTCCCGAAAGGTGCCCGTATCCACACCTGATTGCTCTAGGCACATCAAAATAAGTCTACTCGCATCTAGAAATAGCTACATCAAATTGGATATGAAATAGTGTCAATGGAGTCCGAAGAAGCGATAGTCTGTAAAGCCGCCATAGATGAAGCTATTCATTCTGTAGTTGAGGATTTTCGAAGTTGAGCCGACACTACAGATAACCACTAGATCTTTGAGGCAAAATCTAACAATTCCGGCAAATATATATTTCGAGGCATGTTGGCTCTACGATTCTCAAACGGCCAAGTCCGCCAAAAAAACGGAAATGTCACTCAGCTTTTGGAAAAAATGGCCCACTTTGTATGGTGTTTTTGTCGTGCACGGGCCAGCACCATACAAAAATTGTCCCCCAGACCAATTTCTAGCCACTTGTACTGTTGTATGGAGGTTGAGAATTAAAATTGGGTCGGTGGGTATGTATAGAGAGGATAATCACTCGTCTTTGCACTTTCCCTGCCAGGTTGATCCACTTTCTGGCTCTCATGGTTACTGCCTCACGCACCTAAGAACCGGGGGACATCACCGTAGTGGTAGCACCCTGGACCTAGCAACGCCTGATCGTCCCTATAACCTCCTCCCCGCGCAGTTTTAGAGGTTCCTTGGGGGCTTCCGCGACCCCCGGGATTTTATTGGCTCGCGGCGCTGGGTCTTCTGTCCTGCGCACTTTATTCTCGATCCAGAGTTCTAGTGCTCAAAGGGTCCAGAGGCGTTTATGAGCTTGCCTTTTTATTGGACGTGAGTACTGATAGCTTTCAATCATTTGAAGGTTCCAACTAACCCTGGAAGACCGAGGTCAGCAGCTTTATTTGCTTAGTCATCGCGTCGAGAACACTGGAGACGATGTCATTGCGGGGGAGAGGCGGCACGATGCCACGTAAATGGACTTGGTACAACATCTTACTCATTTTAGAGGAATACCTTAACAATACGTAGATATTTAAAAGGAATCATTCAAGTTTACAGTTCAAAATTGATACCGCCCCGTTCCATGGTTACAAGCTGTGGGGAGAGTAGTTCGTTCCAAAGAACCGCAGCCGGCGCGAAAACGAACCAGTGGACCAGATGGAGCCTAACCAAGATCCGTTTGTAATGATAAATAGGAATGGCCGTAGTATACACACACGGGGTAGTAAATAATCGGCTAAGTAGTAAACTAGTTAGCCATGATATATAATTACCTAAGTATATATTTTGGCTACATTTCAGCATATATATATATATTGATGCCCGACATACACAAAACTTGGTGTGATTTGCCAACGCATATATTTAGTATCATTCCAAGGCTATTAGCCTTGAAAGTCAACCATGGCACGGCGAAATTAAATTCGCTTCGATTTCATCGCTTCCTAGCCCAGGAGGGCTCCTATCTTTGGATTTCTACACTACACATACGGATTACTCCGTATGCATTTCAAAATTGCATAGTTTTGGACTATTCGATCTCGTACCCACTATAGCAGTCTGTGCGACTGGCAGTTGCAGCTAATTATTGAGGTATTGCGCCCCCCTCCCCCCCCGAATTGGTTGCGCAGCGACATTATGATCTGGACGCATGATGACACTGGAATATTGAGATCTGACATACTTGAAGTACCTAAGGATCTACTTGGGGCTCCCTAATAGCCTTGCAAAAAAAAGCAAAGAGAAAAATAAATATTTGCCTCAGGGTGAATTAGGGCAGGCACGCCAACATTCTTTCCTTGGGAGAACATTACCCTTCAGCTTCGGGCTTCACAGGTTCAACATTCTTCTTCATCTCGACATATCTGTTTGAATTTGAATCCGGGCAGCCGGAGTGTGAGGGTTGGCGTTTCATCCCCGAGACACGTTTGGTGCGCTGTAGCTCGAGCTGCGGCCCCAGCCATCTCAATTAACCAGCCACCTCGCAATCCGATCCTTTCTCGTTATTTTACCTCTCCAGATTTCAAATCGCTTCAGTTTTCCTCTCAATTGCATTATATTGTGCATTGAGTATTGATTTGTACAGCCGTTGGGGCTGTGAATCTTTTTGACTCTCAGCGATCGATAATTTTGCGATCGCGATCCTTGAGAGCTATCTACTGCTTCAGTGACGCAACACTCGCATTGTCGTCCAATCCACAATTTTACCAACCATTCTTAGAGGTGTCTCGACACATCCCCAAAGCCTCTAACGAAGTCTACGACTCTAACGACCCATCAACGTTTACGACCTTTGCGCGGCAACGCCAGCCGACTGTTCAACGACCTTCTACATCAGCCGATCCACAATTCCGACCCCCAAGCGCTTCTGACTCTCAGCGTCCCTTACGTCGTATCCCTCGCCAGACAGAGGTCCGCCAATCTCACCGTCGAACGGTATCATTAGGCGCCCGGGTTCCACACCCCAATCGACTCCAACCGGCGCGTGCAACCCCGGTCTCTGTACAACACATCGCAGCCAGTGGCATCGCAGCGCTACGTCCGGCCCTTTCCGAAGCGGAGACCGACGACAACGGGTCTACAGTTGACGACCCATATCAGCTCCTCAATACCTCTTACTGGCCGCAGAGAAAGACCGGAGTCTCGTCGCGCACCGCGTCGGCAATCCATTTTGCCCTCGAGGAAGCTATACGTGGACCGCTCCAGCTCTCCACTGACTGGGACGAGGTGAATGCTTCCATGTCAGACATGGTAGGCGTCGCTGGCCCCGCTGGGCCTGTGGGCAATAGCCGTGTTCAAAATGGTGGAGCTCGTATACCCCAGAACCCCATCTCAGGGACATCACAGCCACCGAGTGGTATGAGGACCCCCACGGATATAATGAGACAGCGCCGGGATCGAGAGGCTCGCCGCAAAGCGGAACACGAGGCCCGAGAGAGAGAACAGGAAGAATTGGAACGACAACAACTGGAGCAAGAACAACAGGCTCAGGCTGAAGCTCAGGCCCAGATACAGGCCCAGGCCCAGGATCAACAGTACGCCGCTGGCGTTGCCACCGAAAATGCCTCCCAATCAAGAATTCGAGCCCCACGAGCATCAAGGGGCCCCGAAGGACAACCCCAGACCATGCCCGTCGCTTCAGGGCCAGCATCTGCTTACCGACCAGCACCAGATGCTGCCCCGAGTACCCGACCATCAGAATATCAGACTGCCCCAGCAACAGCTGGGACAGGACAACTGGCTAGCCAGTCACGACCGACACAGGCAACTGGTCAGCAGCCTCAGCACGGTCGGTCGCAGAGTGCGGCAGAAATTGGAGCTCAACCCAGACCAATTGGGGTCTCCAAATCTACCCAGGCCCTACCCGCAGGACAGCCTGGTGCTCCCCAAGCTCTTCAGCAGCCGAAACGCGTTGGGTTTCCGCATGCATTCGAGCGATGGGAAACACTGTCTTCACACTGGGAGGGTCTTACCAGCTATTGGATGCGCAAGCTCGAACAAAACAACGAGGACCTGGAGCGTGATCCAATCAGCCAACAATTGGCCCGTCAGATCACAGACTTGTCTGCTGCTGGTGCCAATCTATTCCACGCGGTGGTTGAACTACAACGTCTGCGAGCCTCATCCGAACGCAAGTTCCAGCGCTGGTTTTTCGACACCCGTGCTGAGCAAGAACGCTCGAAGGAAGTGCAGGCAGAGTTGGACCGCCAGCTCAAAGAAGAACGGCAAGGCCGAGCCGATGCCTTTTCCGCCGCACAGGAAGCCGAAAAGGACAAAGTCAAGGCCGAGGAGCTGCTTAAAGAGATGCGCCGTGAACTCCAAATATCCAAGGAGGAGGCACGCCGCGCCTGGGAAGAGCTTGGCCGTCGCGAACAAGAAGAGCGAGACAGAACCAACTCCCTGCGCAATGGAGAGCCGACTCTCGTCGGAGGCGTTCAGGTTGTGCCTATGGTTTCTGGCCTCCCTAGTCGTCACACCACTCGCCCGCAGACCCGCGAGGGCCCATACCCCGGTGGTCCGACAGCCACAACCATGGGCACCGACGCATACCACGGCAAGTCCACAGGGAGCGCAGGTGGACAATACTACGAAGATGGCACGCCGATGTCTCCCACAGGGTCAGACCCTTTCATCGAACCCAAAAAAGTAGATCCACCCATCTCCAAAGCCCCCTACCCGGGACCACTATATGAACACGAAACCACCACTGGCCCATACCCTGGACCCACAACCTCAGAACCCGACACGCGCTCCTACGTCGGTAGCAGTGAAGCCGGCGATGAAGAGTATGCCCCCTACTCCCATGATCAACATGGAAACCCCATCAGCTACCCGCCTGGCCCATCCTCAGAGGGAAGTGAAGAGTATGATCCAGAAGGCCATTACATGCCCGACGGCGCCTATACCTCCGCCGCCTCTTCCGCCCCCCTGCAAGCTCCGCATCCGCCCACCTCCGCAGCGGACTACAGCGGCTCTGGCTGGGGTCCTGGCACTGGGTGGGAGTCCGTGACACCACGCCATCGTCACCCCACGCGTCTGAGCGATGTCCTTGAGGAGGACGAGCCTAGTCGCACGAATCCCAGCCGCGCCACTAGTCGCAGCCAGGCCAGTCGAAGTATTCTTTAAAACACGTCATTGGCCTTGTCATGCGTCCTATCTTGGATCAAGGTGTTTAACGTTGAATTTTGGTATCTGAGCTTTTTGATGCGTGCATAGAGAACCCTAGGGAGGTATTCTCGTATCTCTATCGAGAGTGTTTCTCCTATTTTGATTTTCCAACCCATTCTTGTTCCATTGGCTTCCCTATTTGTTTGTCTATTCGTGTGATGCCTGTCCTTTCCCCTGTTTCTGTAAACTTGGCGTTCAATTCCCCCTATCCCCAATATCGTTATGTTCCTTGTTTCGTATGTCTTCTTTGTGATTTAATTTCCTTTACAACGGCGATAATACTTAATTGCCTCTTTGCTTGTGTACGTAGTACTATAGGGAAGTGTCTATCCTTCTCATCAACCTACGACATAGAGCAGAGATGATCAAAATAACTTTACTCGTACATATGTACATTCACAGAACATCTCCTTCCCTCCTGGCACTTCCCATACTCGTCGCCCGCCCCTCAGCCGACCCATTAACGCGGCCAACTGGGGATGGTTCATTATGGGAGTCCCTTCATTCCACCCCTCTCCCATTTTTCAAATCACTCTTCCATCTCATAACTATGAGAGTGCAAATCCTCTCAGTTCGCCTAGGGCAGCTTGACTGGGCCCTGGTTCGAGGCAGCACCTCCAGGCTCACCCTTCCCCCCTTAATTCGCCACATTGGCAGCATTCTTCCTCTGCTTTTGCATTTTCTCGTTTTGACGACGAGTCTCCTCGGCCCAGGCCCTGATGCATTCGGGCAATCGTAAACACCAGATCAGAATCTCCCTCGTCGCCGAGGCATCCTCAAGGGAACCATGTCCCTCACCATGGTTTTGGATCTCGATATCCAGTAATTCGTGCGCCAATTGCTTCAGTCGCCAGATCCGCGGAAGCTTACTTTTCGATGAGAAGTGAGAGAAGACTGCCTCGGAAGTGATAAGCGCCGTATCCACATTTCGGCCGTGGATCAAGCTCAATGCTCGTAGATCATGGTGGAGAGCATGACCATTGAACATGGTATCGCGATCGAGGAACCTTTTCAGTGCGTTGCGTGCATCGTGGTTCGAACTGAAGGCTTTGCCTTCAGAAATAGCCGCGTCCAGCTTTTCTTGGATGATCCCACTGACGGGAGTCAACCAGTCTGTGACAGGCACTGTCGGCGCGACGTAGCCGTTGACTAAGACTTCACCGGTGAGAAAGTCGATCGCGACAATGAAAGCTAGCTCGGTGGTCGACTTTATGGTTTCGACCATGTTGCAGTCTATGACGATCGCCTTTCGGCGCATTAAGCCTCGCGAGAAATTATGGCTTTGGTGTGGTTTGCCGCTCTCAAGACAGGCTCTTGTGTCGATGAACTCTGGGACGCTGTAGCCTTGGTGTCGCAGGCGTTGGACTGGGTGGCACCTTCCCAGGATGTACCGGTGGAGTAAGATTTGTTCGAGCGGATCAAGATTCGTCAGTGGGAAGACTTGTGTGGATGGTGCTGGCTGAATTAAGAGGGAGGAGGATGTGTTGTTCGTTACTGCCGTGGCAGGTGTGACAGTCTCGTTTGCTTCGGCTGTTGTGGTATTCTGGGCGGATGGGCATATTGGTGGTGAGGGAACTTGCTCTGCTTGAGCGGGGTCTTGCAGGCGGGGTGTGAAGGTCTGCGCTAGGAGATGAGGGAATTGCATTTGATTCTTACATTGTTGAATCTGGGACTCAGAGTCTTCTTCGAGGGACTCCAAGTTTTACACCGGGGGCCGAGAGTGGTGCTCAGGAAGGTGAGACGCCCGTCCTGAATCCTGAGAGGCAGACTCAGGGGGCACTTGCATCTGGGACTGGTGAGCTTGTAACTGCGGCTGATAGCCCCGAGTGGATGGTCCATGGCCCTGAACAGGTGCGTGGTAAATCCGATGACGTATCTCATAGACCTCAGAACGCGCTCGACAAACCTCCATCCGCAGTCGACCATCGTTCACTGATGATTGAAACATCTGAGCCTGTGCTTGATAGCCCTGGGCGGCTGCGTGCTGGATTTCCGCCTGGATTTCCGCTTGGATTCGAGCAAGCTGAGTTTGTCGTTCCAAAACTGGAACTGGTGCTGGAAAGACTTGATATTCTGACGGAGAGAGGTAGGGCTGGGATTGAAAGGCTTGTGATTGTGATTGAAAGAAGTGAGGTTGCGGCTGAACTTGAGGTGGTGGTGAAAGAATTTGAGTGTGTGGTTGGAAAACTTGGCTGCGTGTCTGATGGGACTGCTTGGGTGATTGCTGATGTCCCTGAGCAGTGTATTGACAACGGGTTTCGACAGATGTATGGGTTTGGGTGGGTAGTTCATAATGCTGGCCAGTGGATGGACGGGCCTGGGACGACTGTTGATGGAGCAGCATTGGCCCCTGCACTGATGAAGCATCTGCTCTCTCCAACATAAAAGCAGGCGAGAAAGTCGATTTTACTTTGCCTCCGAATGCCGGCTTGCTATGACCGGCGTCATTTTTGTGTCGAATCAAGTCATCCAGAGCCGCAAATATTTGGTCACATTTCGGGCATGAGAATATGTTATGTACAATCTTGACATGGTCATTGAACCCTTGCTCTGTGTTGAAGCTTCGACCGACGCACACAGTACAGGGATATCCCACCCGTTTCACAGGTTGGCTACTCGTTCCAATTTTCTTGGGCGTGTTTTGCAGCATGTTGACTAAGTAGGTAGGTAGTCTGATGGACGTATTTGGAAGTTTTGAGTTCATCTGAGTAAATGAGAAGAATCAAAGGAGACGAGTTAGATTGCTATTGGAAGCGCGTACGTCTTCAACGCGTCTTCGCGCGATGGCCACACAAGCAGCTGCTGGGTTTACTACGCGCAAATACGAGACATGTTGGTACCTATTTAAAAAGGAGACAAGCGATCGCCTTGTGGATCTACCTAGTGAGATACTACAAATCTGCGTATTCACGTTACTTGGCCGTCACTTGGGCGTTTCAGTAGAATAATGTCGTCGATAATGATATATAATCTATCAGACCAGGTCGTTATTTACGGTCATACAAGGAAGCTGAAATGATATTTGGAATGCCTAGAATGCTATTATTCATCTCCAGAGACCAGTGAGCAGATTGATTATCAAAAGTACAACCCAGGTCCCCGTTAAACCTACAGAATCTGTGTTAGCACATGAAGCTGAAGAAAAGATTAGGGGTTTACTTGAAGTACTGTGGACTTGTCCAATTCTGGGTGTATGTGACTGCACGATAGTTGAAATTTTTGCACGGGATGGCCTTAAATGACGTCGACATCAGGCACTGCCACGCGAATCAGGATATTGGGACTAAATAGAAGAAGATATAAAACGGGTCAATCGATCTCGCATACACAAAGTGCGAAGACAACGGCTTTGTATTCCCGAATCTTTCTCATATTTATATCTTGTATCTTCATGTTCGATCTGTTACCCGCATATATTTTGCCATCAAGTTCTGTGTAGAACATAGAGCGAGAGGTTTACTACGTTTTAGGGCTTCGTTAAAATCGGACAATTATAATTTCGCTTCGTCCAGCATTTGTGAGCGTTAGTTTCCCAATCATATCATATCCACATTGCATTTGCATTTTTGGGAGCTTGTCCTGCGTGGGTCACTACGCAGGAGAGGGTGGAATGAGAAACCTCATACTTCTAAAGAGCAAATCAAGACAGCTAATTAAGCTAGCCAGGACATGAAGCCTAAGGCACGCCTTCAGGCAAACGGTGTCCATGTAAACATATATAGCCCCCAGATGCCCAGGTATCGCCAAACCTCATTTTTCTTACATTTCGTTCAGAGACCTATGAGTTATATAGCAATATATTGTTGCGAGCACTTCATTTATATCATTTATCACTGGTGATTGTTGAAAGTTTATACAAGGTTGACTTGGGTCATGGCTTCATCAACCTCAGTTTGCTCTGCATTTCTGTTCGGATTATATATATCACTTTGAGCATGTTTGCTATTGGATTTAGCTCGTTGTTTTTGATTCCAATACTAGGATGAATGTGGGTTACAAACTATCCGACTATATTATAGATGTCGTGATCAAGGATGAACCAACCCACCTCTTTCTCTTTTGGCACTTGCACCTTCTTCATGAACACGCAGTTTGTTAATTGCTACTTGAAGATCTTCGACCTTCTTTTCATTTCACGTCCTCAACAACCCCACATCTATCCACCCCTACTACCAATTCTGTGTGAGACCCCTTCCCATAGGTAGGGCTTGTAACGAAAGAGATACTGATTAGCACTTGTTGGCTTAAGCCGAAAAGCACTACAAAACCAGCGAGAGCTCACCGCTCCATCTTCTATAACTAATTCTACCACCGTCAAAACATGGCTGACAAGTAACACGTGATAGACAATAGCCCGATCCAGGCGCCTACCGACACACAATATGAGCAGCCTATGGAGCTGCCGGCCGGTGCTATTATACGAGCGAATACAAGAAATAAAATTCGACGTGAGATTCAAATCGTTTTACGCATGCACATAAGCTTGAGGTGCATTGAGCCGCACGGCGAATTGAACAGCTTGTCCATGGCATGCCTGGCAAGAGGCGAGGTAGAAGACGATGAGGCTCGTACCATAGCTTATAATATATTGGATCGGGTGGGATAATGGGATCATGAAGGCCCAAACTCTATGGGGATTGAACTGCGGTCCGACTTTGATGGTGAAACATACCGAGTAAGGGAATATTGCAGAGGATTAGAATCTAAGAGTTCGCCACTTTCCGAACGTATAACGTTACGTCTCGTCTCCGCATCAACTGCTCTCAGGACTCTAGTGAGAGACTAGACTATGATTCCTGCGCTAATCGTGATACTAACTACGAACAGATTCCCGCTGGTGCCGAAGGCCATCGTTATAAGCTCCTATCTCTTCTTTCGTAGGTGAACCTTTTCTGGGGATTTAACCCCGGCCTCGAAGGCTCGTTTGGCGTCAAGGCTCTTCCAAGCAGTATCTTATTTCTTTGCGGCTTACAAGTCTATATTCCCATAAAAAAAGCCCCCTAGAGTCTTACCTATAGCAATACATGGCGTGACCCACTGTCCTATGCCTGCAAGTTGAGACTGGGCTAACATCAAACTACGTAACAATCCTATCAGATACAGAGTACTTGTTAGGTTCCAAAGCGAACGAGATCTTGATCTGGATGTTCGGACATACTATGGAGGGATTGCTTCAGCAGAAGCTCAAGTTCTATATTACAGACCCTGTTCTAGTTGATGGAATCTAGTATAAATATCTATCGGATCATTATATTATTGAGAAGTAGAGCGAGGTGTGCATGATACAATATCTAGACTAGTGACGTAGTAGGGATTGCTAGTACCCCTTAGTACCTTCCTACACCAAAGTTGGGCACACGGACAATATATAAAGAATTGATAGCAAATTGAACATTTATAAAGGGGTAATTGAAGAATGGTTGTGCTGAAAAGTGAGGGCTCTTTTTGAAATCCTCCGTCACTTTGTCCCTTTTCCCTTGGTAATCTCCCTGCATTTATGCGGTGTGGTTACCATGAACCCAGACTGACAGCCACCAGAGGTATGACCAATAGCCAATATTTATAACAACACCATGGCCCAACAAAGACTGGGTACTTTCTAAACTCACGAGGCTTTGAAGTGTTATTTTCTGGAAGCGGATACTGACTAGAAAACGGACAGCCATGAAGACCACCTCAATGCCGTATGAGTGGCCTCGACATTGTGCCGCAAAGACTTTCTCGCCTTGATCCCAAACCTCCTCAACGAGGAGTCAAAAGGCACCAAAAGAGCTTAGGAGTTGTTCAAGAAATCGCCTTTTAATCTGTGGTGCCTCAGGATAGAGATTATCGCTTATGCCATAAGGAGGGTGGAATCCGACAAGGCCGTCATTCCGGCTTCCGACTTAGTTACTATCAACCTGGAATATTGGAAACTAGTTCCATTTCCGATAGGTACACCAAATTGGGCTGGCTGATCTGAAAGGGGTGAGACAGCGTATTTGGGCAACGCTGATGTTCTTTAATCTCGGCCCTTCCAGATCAGCGAGGCCGATTTGGAGCATATCGCGGGAAGGGAGAGTAATTCCTAGGTTGAGAGCACACACCTCGGAAACCGGAACGACGACGTTGCCGGATTCTATCCGCCTCATGAGGTTAGTCGTGATCTCTCTGCTTGCCGCTATTGCATGGAATTCGCGTTTTGAGTAACTCCTTAGCTAACGGAGACTTGACTTAGCAGTCTTAACAGTTTAACCATCACCACCACATTCATCTACACCTCTGACACTCCCAGTATCGCCCAATGCTCCATTGACTGCAACTCTAATCGAGACCGCGGAAAGTGACAGACACTCTCGCCTCGATCCTCTGTTCCAAACTGCGACTGAAACGCAAAACAGTCAAGAAGGCAATGGTCCAGGATTTTCTAATCCCTTTAGCTAGAAGCCAACCTGCCCTCGAAGAGATTGCGGGTTGTGCACTCACCAAGGAAAAGCCTGATGGGGCGTTGAGGCGACGCATTTGGGGTCGTGTTCGCTAAGAATGAAGACAGAAGATTAAACATACGGTAAAAATGAGAGATTTTGATTTCTTAACAGTGACATCTGTCAAACGACAGTCCATTTTGGCCTGGACAGCGTCGGTCGTTACCAATGCTCTTCATCCTTAGCTTCGTCTCCTACTGGTAGAACTAGGTTAGTCTTCGATATCATGTAGGCGGCTAGTTCAGTCATGTATATCAGCGCCAACCGAATGAATTTACAGACGCTAGGAATTCGCTGTTGCTGTGCCTCAAATTGTGGCATCAGTGTGGATAGTAGAGTGAAAGATGTGCCTCATCTAGCAGATGCTGGGCTGTATGGTCTATGTACACGAGGACTGTTTCAAGCTTAGACAGACCCATGGATTCTGAAGACCATTACTCGAAACAGGGAAAGTTCCAGTACAGCATACGGCTGCAGTTATACCTCAAACTAATCTTAGTTTGTCCTTACTTTGTAGTGAGAAGTCATGGACCATTTTTCTAGGAGCGCTCATTGCAATATCATGTTGATATCAATTATCGATAGCATGGTGCCTAGGTATCCATGGATGTATTATCAGTAGACAAACTACATGTACTGATTAGACCTCACCGATCTTGCTCTTTCACCTTCTGGCGAAAGCGCAGTTTCTCAATTACTATTTAACATCATCTCGTATCTCATTTCTCTCTCACTCTCTCACTCTTTCTCTAATATCCACACGTTTTGATCCAACCCTCACCCCAAACTCGAGGTGAGGTTCCTCAGTACTATACCTACACTAGGACAGAAGGCTAACTGGCACTTGGTACTCAGAAGTTGAGCCATACTATATTTTGACAAATCTGCAACCACAAACAATCGACTGTGACCATTGAGATACATGTCTCATGGAAAGACTAATCCCCCTACATTGGCCGAAGAATGGCCAATCCGAGTGCCCAATGACAGGCAACTGGAGCAACTTACTCAGTTACGTCTCGCAAGGGTCAGGCAGGCCCGGGTTCGTAGAAGAATCCTACACGAGACAGGACACATCGTGAATTTGGTCCTACCTCTCCTCCGTCCGCACAGCTACCCCCATCATCCGACTGCGCTCCAGTGGCTGCAAACCTATGAAATTAGAATACTCGTCCTGATGAACGAGATGAAGATCCTGCGGGCGGAGGAAAGTCTTAACCGTGCGCGGGAGGCGGTGGTATTCCTGCGGGTGACCGGGTGATTTGAAATTGTGAAGTTTGTGATCTGCCAGAGGATGTGGGGAGTGTGGAATGGAAGGGAGGTCAGCCCTCCGAGAGTACATCAATGCACCGTTACCAACTTGACATAGTCAACTACAAACCTACGCTCGGAGTGTGATCATACCCGAGGCGAGACATGTCATAAACTCGGTCCTAAACCTACTTTGCCCATACAGCTACTCTACCTTTTTATTGTGGTCCAGGGGCTACACGATTATGAACTCGGACCCATAGCCAATACGGCTGATATGAGGAGCCTATGGACGGGGGAGCGACTTGGCCGTGCGCGAGAAGCGGTTATCTGGAGCCGGATGGGTTGATATCTTATGATCTGGTGAAGAACATGGACGCGGCAGGGATAGAATGGGGGAAGTCTCTGAGAGCAAATCTATGGATCGTTCCAAACTTGAGATTGTCCTGCAGAATAAGATACCGTGATTGATCATCGCCTGTCCCGTATAATAAACAGTTGGCATAACTATCGCCGGAGATTCATAGCTTCCTTCTGTGTCGCATCGAGTCGTCTTAGCCCAGAAGGTCTATAGGTGTTCAGATCGACGAGATTGAGGCCATGGGGAGTGGGTTGGGACTTGGTTAAGAACGATGTTTGATCGTGATAGGGCCCACCTGGTTATGTATATTTATATTTTAACCAAAGAGATTTCAGGGGCGCTTTCCATATCTGAATAATGCAAACTACGTATATGCCCTTTATTTTCCTGTTGCTTGAAAGAATATGCTGGCCCTCCTCACGACCCTTAAGATTGGATTTTGAATATTCATTGTTTCGCTCCTAACTGCTTGGATATTGTTGAATCTTACTTTCCCCTTGCTCTTCGTCGATATAATCCTATAGTCCCTATATCGAATATCTATATCTAAAATTTTAAATGTTATCCCACTATAGCTAAATTCGAGGGCATACAATGTATTTAGCAGGTGGATTTATGATCAGGCATTTTGACTCTACAAGCGCTGGTTAGCCCTTCACCAGTCTTGCGCTTTCCGAGACATACTAATCCCTTCCTCGCAAAAGCGCAATGTTTGTATTGCTGTTTAATATCTTGTCCCTCCTCGATCTTTCTCTCTTTCCTAGTCACACCATCTCAATCTCCACAACTCAATTTTATCCCCACATAGGCGAGTGCCTTTCCCCCATAACCAATATTGGCGACAGAACAAAAGACCTTAGCTCCAAGGCTCTTTAAATATCGGGCATTTCCATCAAACCGTTGCGCATACTCAAAGGTCTGTTGCATTCCGAACCAACCATCCACTCAGCCGATTTCGATTTCCAGAATCTAAGATGGAACAGCTGGAAAACCGTATCGAGCTCCGCATACAGGTAGCTGGGCGAGCCCAAGCTTTCTGGGCACTGCTAAACGAAGCGTCGCAAATGATGCGATGCGTCGAGGCAGCGCTTTCGTCCGGCCACACGCTGGAGGATGGCTACTCTGATTCTTTCACTCTCTGGGAATTTTAGCAGAGGATGCTGGAGCTCGTCTCAAAGTCGGACCCAGCTTGGGTTGAGAAGCATGTATACCTTGTCCTATTCAGAATACCATGGAGTATCATCCTCTGTCATTAGTAGAGTTTTGTGATCGGGGCTTTATGTCAACATAACATAGAACTTAATTCCAAGGTTCCTTTTTCTATTATCTTTCTTGCTCATCAACACATGCTATTTCCGCATATCCTATTTGCCCATCCTCAGTGAACCTCAATATCAAACCTCAGACGTAAGAACTTGTCCAGCATATAGTGGCCCTACGGACCGCAGAAATGGATGACCGTGCCCGCGAGCGCCAGATATGGCGACAAATCGATTGAGTTGACAAGTACTGGAATGCTGGGACTGGAAACACCATGAATAGAAATGTAATAGAGGGAAAAATTGAGCCAATCATGAATATTCATGTCCCACAAATCTAACATCAAGATGGGTGGTCTCTACCGACTCAAAGCAGAGTCAAGTTGCAGCCTCCAGTTCTACTGCCAGAAAGCACCAAGCTACCCTCGACATCATAGGAGCTCATAGTTACTGCAGCTCTTTGTTGTTTTATGGCAAATCTCAAATATGGCGCCTCTAGGCCCCGTATAAGAATCTTAGTCTTTGTAGTGCTCTAGTGGTAAGATACGCTGTATTTATCCTCATACATTGATCATCGAACATCAATTCTTATTGTATACTAACAACCTAGCGCTGCATTGACTGCAGCCACATCCCAGTAGAATGGCCTGAGTTCCAGTATAACTCCCTTCTCAAGGTCCATAGTGAAGGCCTGACAGAACGGAAAATCCATCTCTTGTCCGGTTGATCGCACCCTCAAGTGAACATTCGACAGCACGACAACACGGTTCGATCCAGGGCGTTCAAAGATTTCAGGGTTCTGCACGTCCACAGTATCGAAGTAGTCACCCATACGAGTGCTCCAGTCCTGCATTCCTTTGGGTCCGATGTAGACACCGGCGTACGGAAGGGCGGAGGTCTGCTCTAGACGCACATCAGGTGCGAGCGTGGCGGCGATGCCAGAAAAATCACGGGCTTCAGGCTCAGCGGACATGTATGCTCGTTCTGCGTCGTAAAACGCATCGAGGACTGCGCGTGCTGTGTATCTTGGAGTAGACACCATGTTGCTAGTAGGTTCCTTCTTGGTATAGGTAGAGGTGGGCTTCCGGTTTGATCTGACGGTTCAATTTGAGATGGAGTATGTTAGGGACCTACCGATAGCCGGGCACTTTATATGCGATAATAGTTTAATGTACTTTGTTGAATACTATGCTCATATCCATACCCGAATATGGCAGATTACTAATACATCGGAACCTTCCCGCACCCTTAGAATGTTGCAACTTGGAAGGTTGGATGACATTGAAGACACTTGGATTAATAATGGTATACCAGCACACTTTTAGCTAGCTACTTCACCTATTATGTTCCTGGTATCTTCTTCTAATTAGCCTATGTATCACATAAATTATTCCGGTATCGCTATAATAATTCACACTCTTATCACATAACTGTAGTCAATGAAAGCCTATTACCGTTAACTTTGTCTTTCGATGAGATTCAATTTGCCTTTCTTCAGGCTTATGGGGGCTCACGTCATATTCTGAGTCTCTCCGCGAGTAACTGTATAGTTATATAATGTCAAATCTTTCTTTGAGTTTCCTTTTCATTGATATCATCTTTTAGTATCCCTTTACTGTAACGGGCCAGTGAGATACTAAGAGAATCGCATGGTTGTCATTGGTTATTGTCAAATACCGAGTCTGCGTACACGGTACAATACACAGGTAATATTATGCTACGCCAAGCATACCAGAGGATTTATGAATCCTCTTTTGTTTTGATTAGAAAATCATGCTCCATATAACTAACTAGTTAAATTGTAAGGAGCTCGTATACAGAAATACAGAGAGTTTGATATATTGAGTTCATACCATACATTTCATACAGACCGATTTCTGTCAAGAACATTCATACATCACATGACCGCAGTTCCAGGTTGACACGCTGTCAGCGACACGTACCCCACCCGCATGTTCTTCCTGAGTTCCAAACCTGCTACTATCGTTATAATCATGGCGTCTTCGCTATCTTTTCACAATCCTAATTTCGGAACTCAGACAGGGATTAATAATGGGACGATTAATGCTCAGTTCGACCTGCGTTCAGGTAGGACATGAGAGCTTTAAAAGGGCGAAATTTCGTTAACCGGATGCAGACCCTCTTGACATGTTACCAATTGCGGACGGGGCAGTGTTCGACTCTTACGCGAATCAGCATCAGGACAAATGTCTTCCAGGCACTAGGAGCGAACTTCTCAACGAGATTGCACAATGGGCTATGTCATCGGAGGGAAAATGTATCTTTTGGTTGAATGGGATGGCCGGGACCGGGAAATCGACGGTTTCTCGCACTGTGGCTAACCGCTTCGAAGAAGAGAAGTTACTAGGAGCAAGCTTCTTCTTTAAGAGGGGCGAGGGAGATAGAGGGAATGCGATAAAGCTTTTCCCGACGATTACCAAACAACTAGCGAAGGTTATTCCCCAACTGACCTCTGGTGTTCGAAAAGCAATTGACAACAACCCCGACATCGGAACTAAAGGGCTGAAGGAACAGTTTGACAGAATACTCCTTCAACCTCTACTGGACTTGCATTCATCCACTCTCCCGACCCTGATTGTAGTCATAGTGATAGACGCACTAGACGAATGCGACGTGGATAATGACATGCGACTTATACTCCAACTACTACCACAATTACAGAAAGCAGAGGGTATACGTGTACGAGTTTTGTTAACTAGCAGGCCTGAATTGCCGATTCGTCTGGGGTTTGATAAGCTTCCTCACCATGATCATAAAGACTTCGTTCTACATAACATCCCTAAGGAAGTTATTGAAAATGATTTATCATTATTCTTGAATCATCGAATTTCAAAGATTAGAGAGGAGCGAGAACCCCCCCTACCTATCGATTGGCCTGGCGCGATAAATATCAGAAAACTAGTGGCGTTGTCTGTTCCGCTATTCATCTTCGCCGCTACGATATGCCGCATATTTGAGGACCCTGACTGGGACCCAATGGACAGTCTTCCTGAGATTCTCACACATCAAAATGATGAATCTAAACTGGATGGAACGTATCTTCCTGTGCTTGATCGGCTTCTTAAAAGACAATCGGAAAAGAAGAAAAAGGAGCTGGTCCAAGAATTTCATGAAGTGGTCGGTGCAATCGTGATACTAGAGAGCCCACTCTCAATTATCGCACTTCCAAAACTTATCGGCCTCCCGCAGAGGCTTGTTCATACCAGACTCAACTCACTACACTCAGTTCTAAGTGTACCAAATGATGAGACCTCGCCGATACAGCTCTTTCATTTATCATTTCGAGACTTTCTTCTTAGTCCGGAAACCCGTGAGAAGACAGTATTCTGGATAGATGAGAAAGAAATGCATCATAGATTATCCAAACGTTGCTTTCTTATATGTGAGAATCTGAGACGGAATATTTGCGAACTGCCAAGTGATGGAACACAACGTGAGAATATTGATCGCCAGACTATCAATCGTTTTCTTCCTCCAGAATTGCAATATGCCTGTCGATATTGGGCACATCATCTGGTACTATGCATAGACATGTATACTGTGGTGCAAGATGTTCTCTTATTTCTCAAGAGGCATTTTCTGCACTGGGTGGAAGCAATGAGCCTGTTAGGCCTTACGTCAGAAGTGGTGGGGATTATCAATCGCCTAGAGGCGGTTATAGCAGTAGGTTTCTTGAAGACTCCTATGCAATCTATACTAATCGGCGTAGGGCGACCACAATGCTGAAACGTCCGAATTTCTGCATGATGCAAAGCGTTTTATACTTAAAAACCGCCAGATAGCTGACGAAGCGCCCCTACAGGTTTATTGCTCAGGACTTATCTTTGCGCCTCGAAAGGCAATAATCCGCAAAGAATTCAAAGTGCAGCTTCCTAGTTGGATATATCAGTTACCACAAGTTCAGGAAAGGTGGAGTGCAGAATTGCAGGCACTCCAGGGTCATTCTAGTTCAGTTCAGTCGGTGGCCTTCTCGCCCAACGGCCAGTTACTGGCCTCTGGCTCTCTCGATAAGACACTTCGGCTGTGGGATACGGCGACGGGCGCCCTACAGCAGACTCTCGAGGGTCATACTGATTGGGTTGAATCGGTGGCCTTCTCGCCTGACGGCCGGCTACTAGCGTCTAGCTCTAACGATAAGACAATCTGCCTCTGGGATACGGCGATAGGCGCTCTACAGCAGACTCTTAAGGGCCATACTGATTCAGTTCAGTCGGTGACATTTTCGCCCGATGGCCAGCTGCTAGCGTCTGGCTCGGACGATGAGACGGTTCGGCTCTGGGACACGGCGACAGGCGCCTTACAGCAGACTCTTAAGGGTCATACTGATTGGGTTCAGTCGGTAGCCTTCTCGCCCGACGGTCGGCTGCTAGCGTCTAGCTCTGACGATAAGACAATCCTGCTCTGGGACACAGCGAGAGGCGCCCTACAGCAGACTCTCGAGGGCCACACTGATTCAGTTCAGTCGGTGACATTTTCGCCTGACGGTCAGCTACTAGCCTCTGGCTCCGACGATGAGACAGTTCGGCTTTGGGAAACGGCGACAGGCGCCCTACAGCAGACTCTCGAGGGTCATACTGATTGGGTTCAATCGGTGGCCTTCTCGCCCGACGGTCGGCTGCTAGCGTCTAGCTCTGACGATAAGACAACCCTGCTCTGGGACACAGCGACTGGAGTCTTACAGCAGATTCTCGAGGGCCATATTAATGGGATTAACTCGGTAGCCTTCTCGCCTGATGGTCGGCTACTAGCGTCTGGCTCGGACGATGAGACGGTTCGGCTTTGGGACACGGCGACAGGCACCTTACAGCAGACTCTCGAGGGTCATACTGATTGGGTTCAGTCGGTGGCCTTCTCGCCCGACGGTCGGCTGCTAGCCTCTGGCTCTCGCGATAAGACAGTCGGGCTTTGGGACATGGCGACGGACATGGCGACGGGCATAGCGACGGGCGCCCTACAGCAGACTCTTGAGGGCCATACTGAGTCGGTTCAATCGGTGGCCTTCTCACCCGACGGCCGGCTGCTAGCGTCTGGCTCCGACGATGAGACAGTTCGGCTTTGGGACACGGCGACAGGAGTCCTACAGCAGGTTCTCGAGGGCCACACTGGTTGGGTTCAGTCGGTGACCTTCTCGCCCGACGGCCGGCTACTAGCGTCTAGCTCTGAGGATAAGACAGTCAGGCTTTGGGACATAGCGACTGGCGTCCTACAGCAGACTCTTGAGGGCCATACTGAGTCGGTTCAGTCGGTGGCCTTCTCGCCCGATGGCCGGCTGCTAGCGTCTGGCTCAGACGATGAGATAGTTCGGCTCTGGGACACAGCGACAGGCGCCCTACAGCAGGCTTTCGAGGGCCACACTGGTTGGGTCCAGTCGGTAACCTTCTCGCCCGACGGCCGGCTACTAGCGTCTAGCTCTGATGATAAGACAATCCTGCTCTGGGACACAGCGACTAGAGTCCTACAGCAGACTCTCGAAGGCCATACTGATTGGGTTCAGTCGGTAGCCTTCTCTCCCGATAGTCGGCTACTAGCGTCTGGCTCGGACGATGAGACAGTTCGGCTCTGGGACACGACGACTGGAGTCCTACTACTAACTCTTAAGGCCCATACTGGTTGGGTTCGTTCGGTGACTTTCTCACCCGACGGCCGGCTACTGGCGTCTAGCTCCGACGATAAGATAGTTCGGCTCTGGAATATGGCGACGGCTCCCTTACAACAGAATCCCGAGTACCATACTGGTTGGGTTCGTTCGTTAGCCTTCTCGCCTGATGGTCAGCTACTAGCCTCTGGCTCCGACGATGAGACAGTTCGGCTTTGGGAAACGGCGACAGGCGCCCTACAGCAGACTCTCGAGGGTCATACTGATTGGGTTCAATCGGTGGCCTTCTCGCCCGACGGTCGGCTGCTAGCGTCTAGCTCTGACGATAAGACAATCCTGCTCTGGGACACAGCGACGGGCGCCCTACAGCAGACTCTTGAGGGTCATACTGAGTCGGTTCAATCGGTGGCCTTCTCACCCGACGGCCGGCTGCTAGCGTCTGGCTCCGACGATGAGACAGTTCGGCTTTGGGACACGGCGACAGGAGTCCTACAGCAGGTTCTCGAGGGCCACACTGGGTTGGTTCGTTCGGTGGCCTTCTCGCCCGACGGCCGGCTGCTGGCGTCTGGCTCCAACGATAGGAATGTCCGGCTCTGGGACACAGCGACTGGTGCCCTATACGAAATATTCCGTATCCACAGCGTGGCCACTGACCTCGAATTCTCCCAGGACGGTACATACCTAAGCAGCAACCCAGGATCTCCCGGTATTAAGTGTCGCAATCACACCCCACATCTATCTCCGGTAAATCTGAAGAAATCTATACTGAAAATTCCCCGACACAGTTCATACACAAGCTGTAACTCGGGATCTCTTGGTATTCAGTCCAAGTGTCGCAATCACACCTCCAATACACATCAGGCAAATCTGGATATATCCATAATTAAGGCGCAGTGGATAATCTTCAATGGGGAAAAGATATTGTGGCTTCCTCCTGACGCTGGCCCTTCTTGTTCGGCCATTAAAGGCAGTACACTTGCCCTGGGCCACGCATCAGGGCGAATTTCCTTCATAGGATTTCGGGTATAATAGACTTCAATATTTTTATCCTTCATCCCTCTATTGGGTGTTATATTAATGATCTCTTAAAGAAGTAGTGAAGGGGAGAAGTGGAGATTTTATTCGGCGTTATCGTGTTAGTGGAAGGTAATATAAAGTTTGGTACGGTGCTATCCAGTGGATGGTTCCGCTCGCTTAGTCAGCGGGAGACACGAAAAGAGCTGCTGTATTGTCTGTACGTGTAAAGTATACTTGGTGTATTCGTGTTTTGAAAGAACCGTATAACTCCTACAGTCAGTGATCATTAGTATTTGCACCCCAGTACATAAGACCCACTTCTTTTCTGCCAGTATAAACCCCCTGAATTCCTATCTACTTAGTAGCTAGTATGCCAGCCTTCATATTTAATAACCTCTTCCACACGGTGCGGCATAGTCTCAGCTAGATTGACAAAGTGACGAATTGTTAACTTCTCCCATACTTCCTGTGCAGCATCTACTAGCTCTCCCCACGTATTCTCATTGTTAGGCATATCACGGAGATTTAATGTGATCTTTCTTCACTTTCTGTTCCTTCTTCTCTAATTCTACCTCACTTCCCACCCCAGTCCTTTCCCCGAGTGGAAAAGGTACGATCCATTCGACATAGAGCACTGTTTACGACACAATAAGCAGTTAATGAAGGCTGCCTATTCAACAGACTGACATCTACTAACATACCGCAATTTCCACAAAACACATCTCGAAACCCCCATTGACAAGTAAGATACACCCTATGACTTTAATGAGTAAACAGAGTCACCAGTAAGACAGTAGCCGCCCCTCCCCCAGATTGATGTTCCGTGTCACACTACGTCTCAAACAACATGCTAATATTGACATCAGAGTGGTCAAGCTAGTACCACCAATCTCAGAGCCCACTGGCGAATAACCGGTGTAGCTAATACAGCTGCGGTTATAAGCTATCAGGCGAGCATTTATATTTATTGCAATAAAATCTCATTATGTGTATTTGTCTCTCCTTTGTAGAAGCTTCAAAGTGGCTCTTAACGTGCCCACAAAGAGAACCCATTGTCCTTCAATGGTTTGGTACTAGAACCCACTCTGCCTCCCCTAGCACCTGATGGCTGCTTCCTAAATCTCTGTAATTGGCCCGCTCGCTGCTCAGGTAGAAGATTTTTAACCCTTACTTTGACCTTACTTTTTAATAACATCGTTCTTCAATTATCACTGCGTCAAGTATCATTTTGCCCGTAAGTTCTGATCAGTATATATCCCGTCCCTATAGGGAACCTGATAGGATGAAAATGTTAAGCAGGTTGCTGTCTAGCTTATATTATGACCTTTCTGATACAAAATTATGGCAGGAGCACGAAAATATAAAATGGTACACGATGCTATGTTTCTTTACCGTCCCCTGTAGTCAATTAAATATGGCGCTCTATGGGGGAGGCGGTGGAAAAACGGCAATGCTGGGTACTATGTGGCTTGTAAATAGTAGTACTACATCTCGTGTAGAGAATAGCGTGGTTGTGTGGGATAATATATTTTACATACCTGTTTTACCCCAGGCTCACATTGCATTGATTGATCTTTAAAGGACCCCAGCTGCCTAGACATGATCAAGACTTATTTGACACTGGCCTTATCTCTCAGCAGGTTGTCATCCTCCCATGAGCCCTGTATCAAATATCACTTTGCCTTCAATTATAGCCCACTATATTTATATACAATCAATATCTATACCCGAGTAAGAATATCTGAAGCGTTGATAGTGTTGACTTGAGGCTAGTACTACCACATAGGGGTCAGCTACCATTTACCATGTGGGCTGTGTTGCTCTGTCCTAATCAAGGTGAGGTGAGAGTCGCACCTTCCTCGTAAGGATGTACTTTCTGTCGAGGCAAGTCCGATCTAAGATCCCCAACATTGATATTATTTCCTACTTCGTTCACAAACTACATAACTAACATGGACTTGCTTTTTTCAGGTCCAGGTTTTAGAATCCTATGAAACCTCCCTCAACATGTGTTTCGACTGTCAGTGAGTTCCACCCCTGCTCTCGATTCTCTCTCTCCACCTTTCGCATATGAAACGCACGAGCATTAAGTCGCCGACCGTGGACATATACCAACCCCCAATGACGAGCATCATGAGATACTCACGAACATGCGAGTGCGCCGAGGCTCCCGCGCAAGCTCCCGTCGGCGCATCATCGCAGAAGCCCAGCGGATCATGTATTCAGCTCAAGCTTTGATAGCCTTGTCGCACAGAAATCAGTACGTTGACTGGAGCCTTCTGTTATGACTAAACGAAAGCATGCGCGCTCTTCTGCGCCAGATGGGTCAACTTAGGACCCAAAAGGACGCCGAATGGGATATCTGGCGCATGGTTGGCCGAGTGTAATTTGTACTGGAGGTGTGTGCGAATGCCGTACCAAAGGCTTTCAGATTTGACGTCGTGACAACGCGCTTCTCTAGACCTGAAATCATTGGCGAGAATTCAGCACCAAAGGAAATAAACGAAAATCCCAGGAGAGCTTTTGGACATATAATTTCAACCAAAACGTTTACCGTATCCTGTGTGGCCTTAAGTACTACCTGCCAATGTTGCTAACCTTATTTTACTTCATCTTATATCAACCAGTACATCTCATTAAATATCGCTTTTATCTCACTTCCCGCTCAGATACTCATTCAACGGTGCTCGATCTGATATTACCTTGGTATAAATTATACTTTACTCTCTGTATATGTTTAATAAATGTACCTGTATTTGGGTGTATTGAGACACTTAAAGGGTGGTGGCTCTTACGCAAGTATTGGTCGTGCTTCACCATCTGGGCAGCCTTGCTATTTCCCTTTTAGGGTTACGTGATAGTCGCGCCTTTCTTGTAAGATCGAGCTTGGTATTGTAGAAATTTCCGTTTGAGATCCCCTCATTGATATAATTTCCTCATCCCTGAACAATTTCGCACTTTTACCTCTTTCTGGCGAAACCTTACAAGTTGTCCAACGCAAGGTATGACCATTTGGCCCATAAATAACCACAACCTAATGAACTAGACAATCAACATAGACTTGCCTTTTTTAGCTCCACGTTTGGAAATATCATCAAGTCCCTCTGACCATAATCGACCGTATGATCTGAGTAGTGAGATCAACCCTTTCCTCTTCGCGCTCTATCCTCCGCCTGCCTTTCAAACACAAAGCTGACTAGGTAGAAATGGCCGACCCCTACAAGATACCCGCTCCAAATAACTGGCATATGGAGTGGCTCATGACCCTCCGCGCACGCGCGGAGGGTCCCAAACAAGCACTCGCCGCCGAATCTACGCGGAAGTATGTGAGATCATGCAGTCCACCCGAGTTTTGATGAGCCTCGTGTACGCAACTCAGTGCGTGGACGTCACCCTGTTTTGACAGCTGGAGTCCAGACTGCAGTGAGATGTGTCAGCTCAATGCCCAGGGGCAAATGGAACGTGACATCTGGAGAATGGTGGGTCATGTGTGATTTTTACAATGGAACAAAAGACAATGGATGTGGATGATACCAGGGTTTTCTACTCCAAGATTCAAATGAGAACGTTGACAGCGGCCTAGTTGGCCTGAGCTGCTATAAATCGTCTTTATACATGTTCCTTGGTCGTCTATCACTAAAGCGTATTAAATCTCACTTTTCCCTCACTTCGCGTTGACATAATTATTCACCCGCCCTCCATCGAATATTATATTGATATCAATTATAGATTACTCATTCCACATATATCATACGCGCACATCTACTTTTGAAAGTGACGGGATGCTAAGAAGCTGGTGGCTTTTACTGCTAGCAATGATTGGTTGGGCTTCATCACATAGACAGACAAGGTTCCATTCCCTCACTCGACAACGACTGAGTTATACAAAGGGATAATACCGCATCCGACTAGCCGCTTAGAAATACTCCACCTCAAAAGTATGCAAACCCTCCAGCCATTTTTTAGTACCTCCCTGTTTCCCAACCGGTCCCTCGCACTCCCTAACAAAAGTATAATTATCCCCCGCAATCCGCTCATCCCCTAAAAGAACAGCCGGGTCATCGGGATGCCGATAGGAATAGTAGACCATAAGGGCAAGCGGGTACCGAGTATATCCGACATTCACGAACAATGATCGCACCGCCGTGTGAGAGATCTCAACTGGCCAAGCCTCCTCATGTATAGCATCCCTGATCCTGATAAGGCCCTGTTCACTTGATAGCTCTTCCCGGGTGTTCGGTATCACATCCGTGATATCGTCGAAGGCCGTGGCAGTGCAAATGGATAGAACCCGCAGGTTTGATATACCGGCGACCCATGATATAACGTGCATCCAGTCTTCCTTCGCTGTTCTCTTAACACAGTCCCAGAGTGAGATGGTAAGTTTACTGAGGTACGGCAGTAGATCTGCAGGTACAACCTCTGCTAGGAATACTGCCGCTGCACATCTCTCCGGTGCGGCTTCGGCTTCCGCTGTGTATGAGTAGGACTTATAGTGGGGAATCTCGAATGCGTTTTGAGAGAAGAACACTCGCTGTGTTTCTTCTCGGATGGCTCGAGATGTGCTGAATAGCGCGACGGGTGGTTTCCAGCAATGACATGCGGGGGAGTACGCTGATGTCTTTGCACCGCAGCAGCTTAGACCTAGGTCTGTACCGTGTGCAGGTTGGGCTTTGCATGTGTTAAACTGGCAGGCGTAGTGTGTGCATGTCCAACAGTATGGCATTCCGCCATGCCAGTTTGACAAGCCATGACGACAGTGACAGCGGGGGACATTAGGGGACCCGCAGTCCCTATGCACGTTAGGATGACAGGTATCATAAGGTGGACTACATTCTGGTGGGCAGAATGATGGGTCAACTGTATAGCCATGGTCTGGGTCCCATTGGAGCTTGTTGAGCGGGCTGATGAGATCGGTGTACTGGTAAACAAGTAGACGGATTTCAGTGGGGAGATCAAAGAATCGAAATGGTTGCACAGGGGTGGGTATCTGGCCCATGGCCTGTTTGGCAGCTTTCATGGCGATCATCTGGATAGCATACTTGCGACGATTGAAGGAACCGAGCCTGATGTGGCAGCTAGATAAAACAGGGAAGTGGCGCAAAGGTTCCACCACACTTTTGGCGGTTCTTTCATTATACACAGGGCATATAATACTCAGGTCAAGTCTATCGCCGGCCAAATGCGGTGCAATTTTTTTCATCGTCCAGTTCCACTGCGAGAGGGAGGAGCGATCCCAAGGGCTAACCACGCCGAGGACTATCTTGTCTTCGATAAATTGGAGGGGCGTGCAGGTACATTCATTGCGGGTATTCGCGCTTTTTGTAAGGCAGGGGATGAGTTTGAGAGAGGTCAGCAAAGCGAGATATGACGGGCCTAGGCGGCCCAATGTTTGCAGGTCGTGCGCGACAAACGTGTTGGCGGAATAGAAATAACGCGACACCTCATCATGAGTAGCCCGACAGATGACTAGAAGGGCTGAATATATGGCCAAGTCCGCCAGGTGTAGATTGAGTTTGCGGTCAGAGTATTCCCAAGTGGGGGCAGATTGTTCCTCGACGCGATGTTTGCGATCGAGGGGAATGAGCCTATTATTGGCAAGCCCTGCAAAAATGTAGATACGGATTCTAATTGAAAGTGGCAGATCGAGAAGGCTGTAGGATAGTTTGGTCATGGTGTTTGCAATATGGTAAAATCTAGGCGGGCAGAGGTCCAGGCAAGGCTGGCACTAGCCAGTGATATGTAACGAAAAATCAGATCACCGCTTTATAATCGTGAAAATACTAACTACATTTATACTAAAAATTAGTCACAATATGGCAATCGGTAGGCTGTTTGCACAACTATATGCACCTATACGTACCGGATTTTCCCTAGCGGGTGGGGCTTTCCTATTTGAGCTGCCGCCGCTTTTATGAGGGTGCTCAGGCTCACTGAGTAGATGCCAGCACGGGCTCAGATCAGTGATCATGCTCAGTTCAACGTGCAGAATGACCGATCATCAGTGAGTGCTTAGTAAATGCTCATTAGATGCTCTCTGATTATTTAGTGATGCTCAGTGTCCAATCAGGGAGTAACACTGATGCACTCAGCCCGCCGCAGACTATACCCAGAAAGGATTAGCCCACACAGGGCCGTTTATACTGTGATAATTAGTTCGTTATTAGTATTGTTGCTGCCCTCATTATCTGAAGTATGATAGAAAACTGGCTGTACGATAATGTATGGTAAAAATGGCAGATATGGATGACTCTAAAATGACAAAACCCGCTGTTTTTTAACAATCTGAGTGGATATCGATGACTAACTGTATTATGCACTTTTGTATAATATCCGGTTTCAACTATGTATTCAACCTTGGACTTTGACAAAGCAATTAGTGAGATATATTGCTTTGTCAAAGAAAACACGTCATAACCAAGGGGCGTAGGAAAAAGCGGAGAACTCCGTCCGTTTCAGAATATTATCTCCTTTCGTCTTCTAATTGAGAGCGGCTCGAGGTCAAAGCCTCAGATATAAAAGCAGACCATATGCTAACATTAGCATGTAATCAAGCCCGATGATCGTATTCTGACCTCTCAACCTAGAAGTGTAGCTGGGATCCTCGGGCTATGCCTAGAAGAATCAGCCCATGAGTGCGTCAGGCAATCTGAGCATTTCAATAGTTTTTCGATTGTGACGTGCCTACTCCAAAAATGACGGGGAGAACTAACTAGATAAGATATAAAGTACGTAATTCACCCAGTCTGCTCTGTTGTTAATCTGTAGCAGCTTTTTACATGTGCGGTATGCATCATGGCGGCCTAGTTATGGGGGCTTTTTATGGCTCAACACGATCAATTCCCCCCACGGTTTCATTCTCAAGATTTCATTCTTATCTGACGGCACGACCCAGCACATAGAGAAACCAACTATCGAACGCAACCCCACCACCACCCGAACGGAATCAGTCTATTCCATCAGGACTCGAGGGTATAGAATGTTAACGGCCCCTCAAGAAACACCAACCACCTGGAGAAACTGCCTCCGGTGCCGGGATATGTGGACACGGGATGTGAGGTAGTAAGTGTCACCTGAGGAGGATTATGTTAAGAAACCTCAAGTGTCAATACATTTGAAACTACCGTAGTTGAATTACATAGTTCTTTTGTTGCCAGGAGGGTTTAATATTGGGACTCTCAGTATGTTAATAGTTCCCATTTTACATTGCGAACTAGATGAAAGCTAGGAATTACATCTGGATAACCCGATGACCTAGGGTATTACACAAACATCTTAACTAGGTCCATGTTGCATTTTCTATATATAAGCGAACATCGTTCTTACTTTTCTCAATATCCCTTCTGACTGGGTTTTATCTCAACACCTAGTCCATGGCGAGTTAAAGGCAAACTCTCGGCTTTTGTGGCCTCAGGCTCCATTTCTTATCTCATAAAAGGATTCTAAGCTTGCGTTGCGTTGCATTGTTGAACATTTTCTATAAAGGTAGGCAAATATCACTTTACTCTTACATTTATATCATATTTGTATAAATTATGACTTTATATACATAAACATACACATTTATATTTCGACCATGTTAGTATGCTCCTACTAATAACTAATAACTAGAGGGTAAGAGTTAGTTAAGCTTGGCTAGCCTATGGTCCTCTTGCCGGTTTGAAGAGGAGAGCTGCAGCTTCCTCATGAAGGCTCAGTATCTCGATTACTATTTAAGATTTCTCCACTCCTCTTCCCTGCTTTCTCCAACAATCACATTCCCTCTTTATCGCAACTCTTACCTCCCATCAAAGGTAAAATCCCCCATCCCATACCTGATCTTACGAGAACAAAAGGCTGACTCGTACTGGCTGTTGACAGGCTGATAACTTCAACCAGTGGACCAATCGACATTTCATGTCCCATACTACACCTACATTATCAGTGAGATACACTCCCTCAATTCTTCATGTCCACCTACTTTTCAAACACAAAGCTAATAAAGAAGAAATGGCAGAGGATCAAGCAACGAGGAAGAGCGCGGCCAGGAGGAGCTAGGGCTCTAGGAAGATTAGAGCGAGGCAACTAAAATGACCAATGTTCCAACATCGTCCTGTTGTCATGCAGGCATTCCAAGACTGATTGAGATATCAAAATCTATTACGGAGGCCTATCAAAAAGCTGCTACCGAGGGCGGCAGCAGCTTTTTGAGGGGGGAACTTGTGAGGGCACCATGGAGGGTTCCATTATTAAGACCCATGGCTAAGCATGGGAGATAGTTATCTTATGTAGCGATACCATAGGAATAGGATCATCTTTGACACCTCCAGCCTTATTCTGTAACACTGTCATACCTTCCAATCTTTAATTTTCGTTACGTGGCTCGCGTAAAGACCAAGCTTTATTTAGTGAAGTTCTAAGGTTAGTGAGATTGCAATCATAACCGGCAGATACTTCCCAGGTTGGTATGTGAGCCCAGGGAAGATTGAAGACCGCGTAATTGCCCATGTTTTGGATGTAGACTGTGACAGTATACGCAGTCAAGGGGATCCAATCAGATCATAGAACAGATTATCATTTATGTTTGAATATTGTCAAAAGCCAGATGTACATGAGAAAAGAAATGTATGTGGATTTTGGTATGATAGAAGTGACAGTCCACTCAGTGGAAGAAAGAAGAAAGAAGAAAGAAGAAACTGGAAAGGAAATCAAATCAGAAGCAGCGTCCAGTGCTTTGATCTGGAGTAAAGCTAAAAATCTAGAGAAACTGTTGCTGTACATCGTTTCCGCCGGCTGCTATACATTAGAGTTGAGGCAGAGTACAATTCAGCAACTAAAGAACACTCGTCTCCAACGCCTATGGTTTGTGGCGGATGTTTGAGGACGAGACGAAAGGTCGGATTGTCGTCTCAAGAAAGAGCATGTATGGAGGAATGGCAAGAAAAAAGACACCATAACACCATTCCCCATGAAATCGAAGAGAAAAAAATGTAATCCAAATATAGCCAGAGAAGCGAAGAAAAGCAAAGGGTATCGCAAAGCAGGGGGGAAGAATCGTGTCGAACATGACTGACACTTAAGAAGCTAATTAAACTGGGAGAAAGTCAGCGAAACCCCATCAACACGTGTGATATGTGGAGTACGTACAGTGAGTACCTCCAGGCGTCAGAGAGGAGGGGATCACAGAGTCATTGGCTGGTGATGGTCGACGAGCGAAACGGGGATCCACGTCTTCATAGTAATTGGCACCAGTGTTGTTAGATTGGAGGGGTTGCCCCGGCGGCCGCGGGGACACGGTACGAGGATCATTTGCACCCCAGCCTGAGCGAGCAGGAACGTAGGAGCTAAAGATGGAAGGTTAGTAGTCAATCCAGGGACGGTACGTGTAACAGTTTGACTTACCCAGGTCGGCTGTACATGCTTGTCGGGCTTTCGGGGATGGCGCTGGTATTTTCTGCTGACAGCCCCTGTGGTACGCTGCTCATTGGTTGATTTGACTCATACATATCGTACTGCTGCCGAGCTTGCGGAGTCATCTCGATGGCTTGGCCGACCGCCTCCGGGGACACGGCCATGCCAATGGGCACGGGAGGTGACTGGCGCATCTGACCCGGTGGGCCATAATTATAAGGGTCATCCATAGGGGGCGAATGTCGACCGTACGCGTCGAAGCCGCGATTGGGACCCCCTGGACCGGGGCCATAGCCGCCTGGTGGTCCTCGAGGCGGCATCATTCCACCGCGACCTCCGCGGCCTGGCATTGGACCCATGTAACCACCCCGGGAACCATTGGAAGGGCCGCGGTGAGGTCCCATGTAAGGTCCTCCGCGTCCACCCCGGGGAGGATATCCACCCCGCCCGCGTCCATTGAAGCCAGGCGGTGGTCCTCCTCTTCGAGAACCCATGCTACCATCGGAATATTGGGGACGAATCCGTGGATCGGAGGGGTTCCGTGACATTGGACCAGCGCCGTACGGACCGGGGCCTTGAGGCGGCATATTGCCAAATTCATCTTGTGGAGCGCGATGGGGGCCACCCCGTTGGTCCGGGGGTGCTGGGATATCGCCTATGGGAGTCCGCGAATTGAGAGGCGTTCGATCATCATCACTGTCCTGTCTTTCTGTGTGAAAGGATGCGAACGTTGGGCCCGTGTCGGAGGTGAGAGAGTGAGACGCAAAGGCTTCCTTGGGTTCGACAGGGGGCGGAACAGGAGCCGCCACCGCAGCCGCAGCGGCATTCTGTCGGTTGTAATAGTTCTCTCCGCTCATCTCGGCATTCTCTGCGATCCGGCGTTTCCTTGCCTTCCTGCTCACAAGGGTTCGGCGCATAGCACAAGTGACCACCCCGCAAGAGGTCAGGATGATGGTCGCGGCCAGCACAATCCAACCACCCCATCCTAGATGTGGCACAAAGAGCAAAATATCGACGAGGAATGCGAGGAGAGTCACGAGTAGTGTTGGCAGCAGCAAGATGAGGAGCGCCAAAAGGAAGCGCGGCGAGTGCGAGGGCGCATGGAAGTGGGCCGCGATAGCCAGACAGAGGCAGATGAGGGTCAGGAAGGCGGCGACTGGATGGATTATGAGGATCGAGGATAGTGACTTTCGAGTACCGGAGGGGAGATTGAAGTCATCGCCAGTGCTACTTATATCATCTGCATGAAACTTAGCGGAGAGCAGGCAGAAGCGCAGGGGACAGACTTACTGCTCGTATATCCCAGATGGATATTGGTACAGGTATCACCCTTGCAATATCCAAAGACACCATAATCGACATCTTTGAAAGTTGCGAGAGGAATACCTTTAACAATGGGAGTTGAAAGACATGAGATTAGCAAAAGCGCAAAGGCGACCAGGAGCAAGATGGTGAGGGGCGTCGCAGGTTTGAGCAACATGGTGAGGGGAGACCCTGGAGGTCAACGTTGTTTGTTTCCAGGCAAGGAGAAATCAGATGGAAATACAATAAGCGATTATTTCCAATGGCCTATTGGCACACGCGACGCAGGAGTTGAGGGTCTAACACCGCATTGGCCAGGGACATCTGAACCCAAGATCGAAACAAAAGCTTTCAAGGCCAAGAGAGGAAAAGAAGCAAATGAGGGGAAAGACCAAGAAATTGTGGAATCAAAGGAAATTTAAAGAATCAAGCGACTCGAAGAATAAAGGAATGACTAGAGTGCAGATAAGCCACTGGGGGGAGACTCCGTGGAGATGAGGTTTAGATTATTGGCCTCAGGCATCAGTATAATCCCACTCTATTTCTACGTCTACTTTCTCTCTACCCATCTACATTTACTTGTCTATTGTATGAAGCTTTTCATTCTATCTTAACATCTTTCAACTCCCCCATTGAACGTTGGAAACCTGAGGCTAAATCATGCGCCCACTGCACGGTTCCCCTCTCTAGAAGCCGGGGTTTTGTTGGCGCAACGCTATTCTGCCATTTCATTCGCTCTGCTCGTTTGAAACGCCACTTCGGGACAGGTTGCCAAGCCCGTGCGTCGGAATAATTGCGGGCAGCGACCGAGACAATCTCGAGCTTCTTGATACACATGGTCATTGGTCATTCCCCCTGGCTATATTGCCAACTTCTGGAATCCTCGTCCCTTGGAAAAAAAATAAGACTTTTCCTCTGCCGTGCTCGATTGGGTCGTGCTTTTGCTATCGCCAGGAAGCCCATTTCTGCTTTCGGATTAAGCTCTTTCGAGGGACAAGGTATGCCCATGGTTTCAGAAACCTCATCTTGTTGATGAAACGAGATTTATGTTTCTGGAATTTATCCATATGATATCAAGGATATGATGCAATCTATCAATGAGCACACACTCTCCCTACGGAGTACTCCGTACACCCTTCAAACATAGCTCGCAATCTCGCCAGCCACTCTCTGCTCCACTATCACGGCACAGCACTTTCTGTTTTAAGTCGGGATATTTGGCCCCAGAAAACGCTTGGACCTGAAATCCGGACTCTACCACCGTTGGAGGCCCACAGTCCCACATGTTTTATCATGAAACAAGCAGTCTCCACCTCAAAGCTCTACCCCGATTTTCAATCTCCATTCCATTTGCCAGAGACCAGATAAGGTTGATCGCCTTTGGTTATAGCCAGCTGATGCTCTCATGCTAGTGCAAAATACCGCGCAGGCTCTTTCCAAACACAATATCTTCAAGTCATTATTAAGCTTAAGCTTGTGACCTCACGGACCGATAGCCTCCCAATAGGGTTTTACTACCAAGTCACAGCTGTGTGGCTACTTATAACCCGGACACATCACTACATCAATTGACCCCTAATGGACTCCACACTATGATGGAGATATCTATCAATGGTGATGTTCAACATTGCTTTTGAGGTACTTAGAATGGAAGTCCTTCAGGGCATTTCTCGATTCTAACCATGGTTTGGTCATATTGCTTTATGGAGGCTTTAATAAACTGTACAAAAGATACTACAGGACTGTGTTGTTACACATAATGGTAGAGTTGCACCCGTTTCTTGGGCCTGGTTGCATGCATCTCCTTATCAGCAAAAGTTATGAACGCTTTGCTCATATTCCAAATGTGTGACTGGCCTATCTTCAAGGGTGGATTGAATTATCATATATTCTAATATGTCAGATCCTCGTTGTGGAGTTAGATCAGTACAATCATGGTCAAGTCTTATGATATCAGGGAAATTCAAACTTGGTGGGTTGTACAGTCTCTGCGTAACCCGTCGTGTGAATCACAGTAAGGGACCGGCTAGTTAGTCGTATAACTAGCTGTTATTCCCCCATATGACAGGGTTATGCAACCAGTTTTCAAACTAGATGAAAGCCTTGAGGCAAGCGTAAGTTGAATATATCAAGACAAAGATTTGAAAGGCTAATCTGACAAACTGCTCCAAGGCTGTTTATCGTCTGTCTGGGAATACGAAGATACCAGAACGGCTTCCTCTCTATCTGCCGGAACATGCGCTGTCTATGGAGATTTTTCAGTTGGCCGAAACGGCAGAAATCCGAGGATGAGGGTCAACTACCATTAAAAACCTTTGACAGAGAGACTCTGCTCCAGCCATTAGAGGGCTCTCGTCTCAGTGGGGTCCAGGATAGCCAGCCAACATCCGGTTTTCAAGAGCGCTATGTTAGAGTTGGAATTGGAGGTGCTGGCAATACGTGCAAGTGCTGCTTCCCTTTCCTGGGTGTTCATCGGCCACTAAGTGCGTCGGACCTGCCTCTTACTGACTACTGACAGAGTACTTTCCCATAACGAACGAGAAATAAGACTTGGTTCGTACTGAAGGTTGAGATCTGGCATCAAGATCATACATACTAGATGATATATGTATATTCACATTACACGAAGCCGCAAAATGAAGCAAATCAAATGATGCGGCCTACTTGTAGCAATGGTAGAATATAATAGGAGGATAGTAGTATTCTAATCTTTCCCGGGCCTCGGTCAACTCTTTTCTCGTAGCCTCCGGAAGAAATGAACGGACATCGTATTCAAGTTGAAAACAAGCGCACAGCTGCGAGCTACGAGTGGGTTCACATATTTCAACATCGATCAAACACGCCAAATCCCCACTGTTCCGACCCCAATAGGCCCTCCTAGACCAGCGCAGCGAAGCATTACAGGTATAATGAATGGGATACGCTTGAAAAGGGCTTTGATGCCGCCATTTAGTTGGCCCATTGCCGAGTTTAGCTGGAAACCATGGCTAAGGACGTGGGTGGTGAGGATAGTTCGTGCCATAAGTTGATCTTCGGCATATTCGGCTCTCGGATAGAAATGCGACATCTTTGATCCTTTTTTAAACGTCACTATGGGAGGTAGATTGACCGTTGATTGTCATTCAGGAAGGGGAGATTTCAAATTCACAAATTTTCGAGGCTCTTACGCCCCCTTGTGGAATTGGGCTACTTTAAGAGAAGGAAAGCGGAAACCCCCACGCAGAGAAACTCTCGTTCCGTTTGGCCACTTCGACAGCTTGTTGTATAATCAGATAAAGTCCATCTCAGACGACCGGTCGCATGGACCGTGCAGAAATTTTCACCGTCCAAATAGCAATCGCCCAGGCAGCAGTGGGAATTGGCAGAAACCAAATATGGACGCCAGTAAATTGGTTTCAATTGTCATTGTTCAAGACCATGTCTGCCGATTTGGAACAGGAGAAAAGGAGAGCTCTGGAGATACTTATTGAGCTCACAACCGCCGACACTTAATCCCCATTGAACCCTCTTGACCACTCACAGCCGCGCAAAGCCAAGAGTTCGATCAGTTAGGCAATTTGCTGTCACGACGTTCATTAACTTCATCTTTCCCACTCCTCAAACAACCCGCCAGACCAGCTAGTAGATGCAGAAGCCTATCGAGTCCCAACAATCACGGAGAGCAAGACCGTTCATTCACACAATATATGCTCATGGGTATTTGCGTTCGATACTGCAGGTGGTAGATCTTCAGATATTTGATGTAGCGCTTGGGATGGCCCAAGCCTTGCGATGATGTGGTGCCATCGAATGCGGATACTTTATATTGGGGCGCAACGAAAGTTTCATTTTCATGACAAGCGACGCCTCAAGTAGTGTCCGCTTCTACGGAGCTGATCTTTTTCTCAATATTTGAGCTGACTCGTCGATATGCTTCATTAGTATCTTGAACACGAAAGATAATTTGTAGACTATCGCCTTTCTCGAGACCAGGAGGGCTGTAGTAAGGCTGATATGACGTCGAGGACACGATGCTGAATTGCCAATACTCTCAACTCATCATCCCTAGCTTCATATGCCTCCATCTGAGGTTACATTATACAGCCCCTGGTGTCGCAGATCTGCCCACAGCTCCCTCGAGCGCAGTGGCACCCGGTCATCATCATCGGTCACTCCGGGATCTCTTCCAATAAACGTTGTCTTTATGTGATGGTATCCGCCAACAACGAATATAGCACTACCTTATGATGTGCTACGTATGGTTTACACTTGATCGGGTATACAATGTCCTTCGGACATCTGAGAAGTGCAACCACATTTGGGCGCTATTTGAACGCATATCTTTACTTTCCCGGAAGCCGATGACGGAAGAAATATGCTCGATCAGGCAGGGTCTCTACCCAGTCCCCAATGGTAAGAGCGTGTTATGATTTTGTTAAGTTAGAGCTAGAGGCTAAAATCCGATAGACTTGATGATAATGCGCACGAACAGACAAGCCCCTATAGGAGGATATTCTTGCAAACTTATTTCGAGGCATGCACATAGCGAGTGTCAATGCCTCCAACATGAAGCTGAGCAGGGCCCTTTATAAAAGATTCGTTGCTTTCATTAGTGCTGTATTTTTTACTGTGGAGAAAGCTAGAATATTTCAAAGGCTACGCGCAATTTCAGGATTTTGACCCAGCTACATGCCCACTAAGACTGCATCGTCAGGCGGATGTGTTTATTAATCTTGAATGTAATTGCCTCACCAGAACTGAAACAATTCCACTCTCTTCGGTCTGATTAATAATCTAAAAATCCGAGTCAATAAGATCATCGGTTATGCAAGTATAGATCACTAATCATCGGGTACTAACACGAATATCGCTCCCTTCTTGGACGTGAAGGGACTGACAAACATTGCAAACTAACCGCCTGTGGGTGGTATAAAGCACCTCGTCTTTTCAATGTACGCACAATAGCCTCTGGTTCATACGCATTTTGACAATTTTGTTCACCTCGATTCACTTCCACTATGCCGGATTGGAGGATCTATCACCCGACAGGTACCTTTACAGATCCTGATCACAAAGAACAGCTCTCACAGGCAATTACCTCGATATATACACATGTTATTCCCGCCTTCTACGTTGTTGTCTTATTCATTGAGATGCCTGCAGCCACCATGTACCGAGCTGGGATTCCATGTGTAAGTCCAAGAGGGTTGGACTGATGCTCAAAATGCTAATCATTCTATTAAGCAGCTGACAGAAGGAAAGAAACCCTTTGTCAGGCTTACATTCAGCCATATCGCTAGGCACTTTCCTCCTGGCGAGAGCCCTCAGAGGACTCGCTTTATGAATGCCGCCCATGATGCCTTGAAGCCATTTATTGCGGACAAAGGCTATGATTGGGAGGTCAACGGCGAGGAGCTCGAACGCGAATTTGTGCACATTAATGGTTTCAGGATTCCTCCTACTGACTCTGAGGATGAAAAGAGGTGGATCCGCGACAATGAACCGTCTCCTTGGGGTCCTTATCTCCCAAACTAGCCTGCAAACAATAATGTGTATGCGTGACCTCCTGACGGCCCACACCATTCTCGGATGTTGTATTATTTGCTGGGATTGAACAGAGATGGGTTGACGAAGCGACAGCCCATTGACAAGCATATGATATCTTATGTAAACAGGCTGCGATACAAATTTGCCCTTGCTTGCCGTATTTAGTTTTTGCTATTCAAAGTTCTTTACACCCAAATGAATGCTGTAGAGTACTCAAAATGTGGGGTTCTTACTTCCGATAACTTTGGCTACGTCGCTGTAGATGAAAGCTTCCACACGGAGTTCTCTCTATGCGGGGACTTTTCTTGATTGTGTCAAGAGGGGTGTTAAATACAAAATATCATTGGCTAGCTAGATGATCCGTTTTCCGGTGGATAGATTAATGCACTCTGATTAATTCTACAGTGCTGGTGTCGGTCGTGGAAAGCATCGTTAACAATGCGGCTCCCAAATAACCGTTGCATCTTGCCGTTCATCATGTTGCCCGCACTTATTGCTGCAATTTGTATTTATAAAATTAATAGCGTATGTAGATCCCGCTTTTTATCTTTCACATAGTCCAGGATTCCCCTGAATCCCACTTTCCTCTGGCAGGAATTAGTCTTGGCACATATAGACAATACATTCTCGTTCCTCTCCAAGTCATTGTATCTTACCCGGTTGACAGGCCTTATACCTGAAAACTGCATACTCTTACAATGGCTTAGGGTACCTTCGGGGTGCTAGAAGACGACTTCTAGCAGCGTGCTAGATACTATATACCTGTGACGATCTGTTTGGCTTGTTTGTTTGCGACAGGATCCCACAAAGGATCCTGCCCAGTAGATCTTTTTCTTTCTTTTCCTTCTCTCTCTATGCTTAGTATTCTGAATAAAATGCACTCTTTTTGTTGAAGAACTGGCAGGTCACAATACCGATATAGTAGTCTTATTTAGTGCGAACCGGGCTCCCAACTGTAGGAGTAATCCGTATTATGAAATGTATGGGTCCAATCAAAGGTGTTCAACTCTCTGTAATTCTGCATCCACTATTCTGGTAATTTGTATACTATCCCCATTACAAGAGAAATATTACTGCATACTTAGGATTAATAAATCCTCAGGTATGTCGGCGTAACTACGCTGACATAATTACCAGAAATAGGGATTTGGCAGCTGGCGCCTATACCGCTGGGTAAGCGCTAGTTCTATATATCTCCCTCGGCAATAAGACAATGGTCACTGATTGGTCCTCGGCACTTACTAGACCAACCTTATCTACATATATTCGGCATGATGACGCGACGAGTCAAGATTCCCTTTTGACTAGGGCAATGTTTGAAAAGATCCTGTGAGCCAGATGGAACTAATGGTGGTAGGCAAAGCGTTTCTCTGACCTTTTAGCCCCCTTTATATACTACGATGATCATTTGTTGCAAATGTTCATTAGAATATTGTACACCCCAAAAGCTAACATGGGATGTCTTATCAGTTCCATCGCTTCTAGACACACTGAGCCAAATCACGGGGTGAAATTGCGTTACGCCTGGATCATGAGTTAATACGGGCTGCTATCTCTCGACTTCAGTGCGGATGTGAGATACGTGGATATTCTACATTTGCCTGGGGCTAAATGAGGTGGATAATACGTTCTAGACTGTTATTTGAGATGTGAGTGTCATAAAACATGCTTAGGATTTCCTAACAAGCAGATATTGCCATCATGAGACACTGAAGGTTAGGTGAATTGTTGAATAATAGTTTCTTCTGCTTGGGCTCGCATGATTTATTAACGAAGTGTGAGGATTGGCAGTTTCTCAGTCGATGTTGAGCAGTATATAATATTTTATTTTAAGGCGAAAGAATCGTCCAACATAGATGCCCTCTCGATTCCTTATAAATAATCTATTTAAGCTGATGCAGTCTATTATTGAACGTTATTGAGCTGGAAATTCTGATCGAGATACTGTTAACGGCATATTTAGTCCCCGGTTCTTAGTCCACCTGAGAATCAGTATTTTAGCTCAATGAACGCTTTAAGTACTTGTTATCAAACGGATATCTTTCACTTCCAATCAATTTTCAAGACCGTGTAATAAGAGCTTAACAAAGGGGTTACGTAATGTGAAAAGATGATTGCAGAGCAGACTCTATGAGAAGTGGGGTTTTGTGAATTCTGAAGTTCTGATCCATTCTCTTTTTCTTCAGAGTTGCCAAAAAGAGAGGAGCAGAGTGTCGAGGATCTTACTCTTCTCCTTCCGCATAGAGGACACCGCGGTAGCGGGTCTTTCCCGTCCTAAGCTTCTCCAACCCACTTTGAACTCCTTCGACAGTCAATGCGTCTCTCTCAATGACTGGGCTGATTCCATGTCTGGCTGCAAAATCGAGCATTGTTCTGTATTAAATCATACTCGGTAATGAACTGACAACCTTCATTCCTTTGGTAAGGAATGCCATGTAAGGGATGTTCAAATTAGCATCCATACCCATGACTGTCAGTGGGAAGATTGTTGACTTTTTCGCCATGATCGGCATGAACAGGCTCCAATTGGGCTCTTGGGAGGCAGTGACCAGAAGATGGTTGAGCTTTCTCGGACAGTCAAGTTTATCCTTGCCTTTGGTGGTTACGAAGTGCGACGCACCCAGCTCCATTGCTTGTGACCGTTTCGATTCCGAAGTGCTGAACACAACGACTTCACACCTCATGGCTTTGGCAAATTGAACGGCAAGATGGCCCAAACCACCAACACCGATGACACCAGTAACTACCGGCATGCGGGAAACTTAAAATGATATCAAAATGCTACGATTAAAAAAACCTCATATCAGGCTACAGAATGACCTTTGAAGTAAATGTGGGATTGATTGATGCGTACACACAAATGGCATCCCATTCTTCTTTGACGTATGGTCTCATCATGGTTCACAGACTCTCGGCCGTGAGCGGTAACTGTGGATCACCATCGTATAATACTAAGAAGTTAGATCTCATAGAATATAGCTTGATAACCACTGCCCTCTATTAATAGTCTTTATTGTATTATACTTTGCTTTATGGGATAACCGCGTGAGTAAGATCATGTTCCACGACATCAAACAATAACATGCTATCACATGATTCTTTGATTCTTCTAACATGCCTGACAAAGTCATGCAGCTTCAGCATGCATATGCTCTGTATGGGAAAGCGGCGCAGATTTCCCAGCAAGCCCTCGCCCGGGCCTTCGACTTCAAACATGGATATGAAAAGAGGGAATGTGACGGGAAATGCTCCGGCACTCTGCATATTCGAATGGGCAAAAAATGACGAGATTTCTTGAAAAATGCAGTTAGCGTAGGACTGCCCGAGGGCATCTTGGACACCAAGGGGGAATCGCAGGCGATGAATGACGAGCAAAGCTGCAAGGCGGTAAGCGTTGGCCTGGGTCGTCATCATTTGCCTTTCTACCTCATCGTAGGCAGTGAAGAAATCAGGTGGAATGTTTGGTTCCCAAAGCTCAATGCTTCTCTCTACGTCCGTGTAGCAATCTTCAGGGTGCTCTCGATCCGTTGAACCCCAATCCATGGTGGCCGCACCGGACTTGGCTGCGTGACTCTGTACACATAGACGGTATAGAAAAGGTAAGAGAGTTGCGCATAGGCCAGCGTAGCGATCCACAACAATCCGGTCTTGAACACACATCCGAATTATAGGTACCTTGCGATATACCAGACAACTCACTATGTCCATAAGAACTGGACAAAAGGTAACTGTGTCGAAGGCAGGTACTCTGCTGAGAAGTAGATACCACGGTTTGGCTGAGATAAGTGCACTCTGCAAAATAGAATGCGCTGAGGTCGTGAAGGAGTTGGCAAGAACCTCAAAAACAAACAAGGCCTGACCGAGGAGAAGGACGCACAGGGCGTCTTGGGGATGCATAATCTCAATGTTCCGTAGGTTCTGCAACGCTGTTGCCCCCCTGCATAGGTCGGGAGCGGTCCAGTGTAAGTGAGAAGCTTGGCAATGTGCTACCAGCCCTAGGAAAGCAAGATAGCCGTCTGTCACGACTGGGCCCGAGTGATACAGGACCGAGTATATTGCCCCTCGGAGATCTTGCATGAAGCTGCGTCCCATGGCAAATGGAATATGTATTTTCGTAAATTTGTCGTCATCCGTCAGGATTCCTATCGCATCCAAGGCAGTTTGTGGTATGAAGCGGAGCCGAAGCACCTCCCCCAGAAACCCACCTAATGCCAGGTTCTTGCTGCTCTCACCCAGTTTTACAGGTAATGACGTATTGCCAAAACCGTTGTTGACCTGGCTAAAATGGCGATCGAGAGTAGAAGCACCTGGCTTGGCGTTGTTCGCGTCTGCCTCGTCGTCTCGTCCCGGCTCCCAGATCTGTAGACTACCGTGACCAAAGGACTTCAAAACTGGCCGGCGACCCTTCCGCTTCTTTTTACGTGACATATAACAGATAATTCCCAGATGCTGGCACCGTATGCATGCCTTCGCCTCAGGGCCGAAAGAGCACTTCTCTTTACTCTGGTAGCAACGGTCGCAGGCTTTCGGTGTCATGGTGGCTGACGAATATAGTGGTATTGTGTGAATGGGTAGTTTCATCCGCTAATAATCCAGTCGGGATAGCATAAGAGGTCGGCAGATCATTGCTTGCGAGTCACGAGAACGGGAGCACGCGAGTGATCTGGCCGATACCCCAGATTCCTAGTCTCTGAAAACCATCATCCCCGCATGTTTCGATCCCCGCAGAGACAACCAATAATACCTAGGTAGCGGCTGTCTAACCTAGTCTTAATCCAGGTAAGTTGGGTTGATCCCAAAAATGGCAGGTCTAACCGGATATGGAAAAAAGGGTCCGGTCACAATTGGTCCCGTTGACCGAGGAACACGTTGCCACACCTGCTTGGAATATATCGAAATACAGGAGGAATCACGTGGTTGAGACAGGGTAAATTACCCGAAAAAAAAAAACAAAAACATACAACAGCATTTCTATGGTGGTGTTCACCTAGCGCCCACGGTTCGGGTGAAAGCGGCACGCCGCCCTATTCAGCCCTCTTCAGGGCCGTCCGACCGGATTTCTCCCACCTTGATATTCCCGGCCAGCGAAATATAGCTTTCCGCCTTTTAATCAAAGCGCAGTAAGCGACTACCATCCCCTCGCTCCTCCCTTTTTCTCCCCACCTCATCTGACTCACCCTGAGGCAAAATACTTGCTGAGTATGAGATCCAAGGTCGAACTACGCAGGATTTGTCGTGGACTTCGCGGAGCACTACAGCGATGAAATCAAACGGGAGATTCTTCCACGGACGGAGAGGTATTACCATCGCACCTTGGTTCTCTTTGATAAGCGAGTAGCACGTGGCAGCTTCCAAGAGAATTTGCACTCTTACCACTCTTAGCTCTACCATCAATGAGGTTTGATTCGCTATATGTTCCCTTTGAATTGCAAAGTTTGATTTGCAAAGGGGAAAAGCTCATATGGTATCAGTATATTAAGGGAGAATTGAAGAGGAAGATGGGTCTTTCAACCAAAGAGGTGAACAAACATGGCGTAGCGCAGAAGTAGCCATATTGATGTGTATAAATATTAAAATTGGTGTACAATTATCAACAGTCTAAATAAAATTCATTTTTGAAGCAATTCCCCTTACCTTTATGTCAATATATGATTTTGACATGGCTTTCAGCACGCGTTTTAATTTATAAAACCTCTTAAGAATGTAACAAAAAAGGAGAGATGCCACGCAGCTTCCAGGAATTAAATGTGAGAAGAGCCATCTTTTCATCATTCATTTGCTCCCATGTGGATAGGAGAGGACCATGAGATCATATCTTCAGACCTGGTTGTTCTATGTTCTTGTAATGCATCGTGAATCGCATAAGCAACATCTTTGCGTGGCCATTGGCCATCAGTTGCTTGCTCAATCAAGTTCTTGTAGAATTGTGGGCTGATTTCAGCAGCTGCGTTATCACCCACTTCCTAAAGAATTCTAATGACGTGAGGAAAGCCGGCTGTTTGAAAAGCACTTGCGATATGTATTACCTCACCTATGAGCTCTGGCGAAGAGTTTTCAGCTGTTGAGCACGCAGAAAGATAAGTAATTTGGGCCTTTTCATGGTCTAAGGCCGCTAGATCGCGGACAGCGAGGGAAGAAACCTCATTGGAGTTCTTGCGGAATGAGAGCCACAGAGCGCTGTTTGAGGGATCAATCACATTTGAGTGACCATAGCATGAGAAGTGAACTAAGTCATGCTACAGAAGTTCCTCTAACACTGTTTCAGTATTGGCTCATCAAGTATGTTCGGGCTTGTGTTGTTTAATAGGGCCACTTCTATTAATTCAATCTCCTTGGTTGTTTTTATATCCCTAGAACCTGGCTTTATCTTTTAAGTTGGACATCTGAACGTTCTAAGAGAGCCGGACTTCATCTTAACGTACGATCAGGGCGTGTTTATACGCTCAGAAAGCCAGCAGTCTGGTTTGATAATATTTGTGGGAATTCTGAAGTACGGGAATGGTTGCAGCGTCAGTTAGAAGATGGTCATGAGGTTCACTTTGTTGTCGGGCTCTATACCTTGTTTGATGCCGTAACTGCAGAGGGCTTAGCATTGACTTTAAAAATGGTGGTAGTTTTTTGATTCCTTTAGATGCGATATCGAGCGTCCCGTGTTACCCTTCTATTAATCCTGGAATTTCTGCAAATGTGAGGCATGGCTATTCGAGATGAAATCGCTGTACAGCTCCGGTAGAGCAGATTTTTACCATTTGAACGAAGAAATTGGAGTTCCGTTTTGGGAGAAAAAAGACGTGCAGAATGCCCGTCTGGAAAAGAATAGTCATTGTGTAATATCTTCCGATAACAGAGGCTCCGATGACGACTTCTCCGAGATTGTGAAGGTGTCGCTCGGCTCTTTGAGCGATAATGATGAAGACATGGGACAAGACTTTGAAGGGTTTAAGGATGATGATACACAGTTTTACATTCTTATTCATTGGGGTCATAAGGCCAGTCTGTATAATTAGACATTAGAAACTGTTTCTACATTCGTCACTCTTAAAAGGTTAGTCTTGTTATTGTAATATAAAAGTCGCGAAATGTACGTTACGGAATAGTTGTCGTTTAATTCATCAATATCCTCGCTAGATCTAGACATGTAATGTGATTAAGGGTGGATTAGAAGGTCATGGATGCGAACACATACGCGAAAACCATATCGTAGCAGGGGAAAGAGACGTTAGCCCTATGAGTATCTGTGGGCTTATTAGGAACAGAATAAAAAGTTTGATAGGACTCGAGCGAGGACCGGGCTAAAAAGTCCCATAGGGCGGCAAGGGAACTCTCTCCACACGGATGAAAGACTGGAAGAGTAAAATAAAGATACAACAGCTTATCTTGGGTTATGATCATCTAGCGCCCACGAATCGGGTGTGGGCGCTGGCGACTCGCTCCTCTATTCAGTCCTCTTTAGGATAGTCCGGACAGATGTTCACTCACCTGATTATGATTTAGGTGAAGATTTAGCCACTTCTGATGGCATTTAGAACGCCGGATCAGCGTGTTATCTTTGGTGTAGCTAAGACCCTCTACGGCTAGGCCAATGCGTTAACGCCCATGGAAAACCGTGGTCCGGACGATAAAATAATGTTGAAACTCCAATCGTAAAGGCGTGATTACATCTCATCCCAAATACGTAATCTCTGGACAAAATAGCCCCGGCAGCCTTGCACACTAGCTCGGGGGCCTCGAAATCTGCTTTTGTCTAGTCAAGTGGTCATCGTTGCCCCTTCACTCCGCTAAATATAGTTAAGTAGCAATTTTTGGAAGACATGACTAATATCCGCGGTCAGGCTTTACGTCCGAGAACCATCTGCGGAGCGTTCCGAGACTGTGGAGTATATCCTTTTCGATCCTAATATCATTATTGGTTCACTTCAGGCTGAATTAAGTGACAAAAGTGAGCCAATCCTTCAAATATGGGATACCACTACTCCCGAACCACCATCATCATCAGTCACCTCACTACCTACAACCGTTCAAAAGCTATATCGGCCAACTCGCAAGATCGATAAGCTATTAAATAATCCAAAGGAAATAGCTAATATTGATATTAATCGAATCATTCAATGGTCAAATTATATACACGAGGGTGCCCTAATCCAGGCTGAGTTCGCAGAGGAAATTACACAAAAGCTTACAGCTATAGAAGCTCGTGGTCGACCAAAAAGCACACCCAGAACCAAAAGACAACTTGCCAGGATACATGATATCAGGCCGTCCCAATATGTGGGTCCTGACACCTTCAGTTTAGCCCGAGATGGCATAAATCGCGCTGATCCACGCTGCAATTTCGTAGAACGGTCACCTTCAATATCGTTTTGCGCCAGTTCCAGCCGAGCGCGCCGGTGGCATCTCAACTGATTTAGAGCTTGTGAGCGGAAGTAAAATCCCTGGAGCAGCTCTGCCTTTCATGAAACGTATCTTCATGGAATAGAGGCATTGTAGCAAAATTTGGCCTTATAATACTGAAGAGCGGATAATGTTATGGCCTTCTAATTTTTAATGCTCTCAATTTTGAAAGCGCTTCAAATATCGAATTTCTTAAAAAATTTGTGCCCAGAATGTTGAACCATTTGGAAAATTAAGGGCTGTAGTTTTTAAAATGACTCGATTATTCCTGTATTCCTAATATTGTTTATGTAAAAATTTTAAAGTGGTCGGTTTTAGCCGGATGAAACGAAATTGTGGCAATAGCACCAAGGCGAAAAAGCGCAATGTCGACAATGTGCATAAGCGCTAGTATCTACTTATATGGTAATAAATATTAACTAGTGACTTAGATAATAATACTATATATTTAACAGTTCAATCGCTCTATATATCCTCTAATATAGGAATTCTTTCCAAAATTGCACAGAAAAAAGGACTTATTGGCGTCCTATAGACTGTAGTGAGCCCCGTCGTCAGAGCGATTCCGGAGCTAAAAATATATTTCGCGGGCTTGAATAAATCCTGAAAATGAAAACACTTGATGAAGCTTAAAATTAGCTTCAAGTGACCTTTGATGCTTCATTACGAGTCGTGTGTCATCATGGCGCTTATGTGCGTTATCTATGACTAATGTTTTCAGATGTTTGGTAGGCTATGTCACGATACTGAATCTTGATAGAAAGGGAAAAGGAGAAATCGGCGTTAGACTGATAATATCGATTCTGGAGAAGGAAAAGAGAAAAGAAAGCTATCCACCTCCTCTTCCTCAATTCAAATTGCTTTTCAGGTTCAATCCACGCCCTCAAACGATTGGACAACCAGGGAGAACCTTTCCAAAATACCTGTCAACACTTCTGAGGACCTGAGATGCGTAGTAATTTCCCTAGGGGACATGTTCTCCGGTATGATCTCGAGTTGTTCTCTCAGACATGCAGCATCCTCGTCACGACCGAGTTGATCCCAGCTAGCCACCAATGCTTCAAGTAGATCTGGTAGCATATCAAACTTACTTCCAGATTTCATGCATATTTGAAGAATTTCCTGCTGCAAGATAGCAGCATCATATGGCTTCTCCTGTGCATTAAACTCCAGTGACAGTGCGAATAGATTTAGAAGAGTCTGAGGGTCCTCTCTCCCAAGAATAGTTTCTCTTGATTTGCAGAGTTGATTTAGCATCGACAACAGTGACTCAGAGCTGACTAGGCCACCATGCATCGAATAAAGATCTACAAGCCATTGAAGACTTTCGAGTGTCTTTGGGTCTTCGCTACCAAGAGTTCGCTGGCGAACCTGATATATATGGTGATAGAGAGTCTCAGCCTCACGAAGTTGACCTTGCTTCTCGTGCCATAATGCCAAATTATGCTGGGCATCGATCACTTGATCATGCTCTTCACCGTAAAGCTGTCTCTTTCTTCTAAGTGAGTCGGTGATCATCTCTCTAGCTTTCTCTCTCTGACCTTGTGCTAAATATATATGCACAAGTCTAACTGAGAAGACATGGGCAGAATTGGCATCTGGTTCAAGAATGCTGATAAAGCTTTCGGCTAGACATGCAGCGGCTTCTAGCTTGTCATTTTTAACGAGTAAGTCGACCAGTAGATATGCGGTGTGCGTTGTTTCCCCATGATCTAGTCCAAGAACCATCTTTTGCTTTTCAAAGACCTCCTGCATGAATTCCATCGCTTCCCAGGTATGACTTTGGCCTTCCATTGCGCATGCAAAACTTCTCAAATTCGAGAGTGTTCGCGGATGATCTCGTCCAAATTGACTTTCCTGGAGTACAAGCACCTGCGCCAAAAGTGTGATAGCATCTTCATACCGCCCTTGTCGTCCATAAAGAGATGCCAAGCTCTCCATGTGGTAGCCTAGGTCCTGACGGCGATCTGTTTGAACTGATTTGTGTGAGTTTAACAATTGTCGAAGTAGAATCTCCGCTTTGTCAAGACGATTTTGATCTTGATATAGTCCGGCTAGAGCTGCCTTGATAGAGGTAATGGCCTCTTCATTGTCCGGTTTCTTCTGCTCCCAAATCGCCAAGAGTTCTTCATATTCAGATTCAGACTCAGCCCATCGATGAGGTCCTTGTCGATGGTGTATTTCGGCGAGAAGCTTGCGAAACGTAAGATAGACTGTGTAGCCCGTCTCCAGATGAAAATTCTTACATGCTTCGATTGTTTGGAGACATCGCTCCTCCGCAGACTTTGTGTCCTCGCATTTCATTAATGCTTTCACTTCGAAGGCGGAGGCAATTATTGTCTCTGGATGTCTCCATCCAAGAAGATTCTCGGTTTCCTTCCGTGAAATAACGGTCATGCGTTTCGCTTCATTTGGTTTTTCGCAGGAGAGCACATAATCAGAGGCATGGCGAATAAGCCTAGCCCATCTTAATCGATTGTTGGAGTCTGGACCGTGTAATAATGCTGACTGAATGTGTGGGAGCAAGGCTCGAGATCTTGTTATGTTGTCGAAGTTGGTGAATTTTGGAAATTCAAGATACAGATTGCGTATAAACTTCTCTTTCCAATAGTCAAGCTCTTCTTGTGTGTTCAGCCACTCCTGGATCGAAAGTTGCACAAGACCATGCATCGCGAATGTAAGCGTCTCAGGATCGATGGAAATGAGAGAGTAGTCTTTGAGCGTGGCGATGCTGTCTTCAAATTTTAATTGAGATAGACTGAATGCAGCTTTGCCTTCAATGCTGCTATTGCTGTCTTCTAGGACCTGATTGATATTTTTCCCTTTCTGATAAGCAGGTCCAAATGGCGTATAACCCTCATCAGTATCGCTCTTAGCCTCTTCGTCACCATCTTCATGGACTGATGTGTGTAGTAGAAAATCCGGGATCCCTTGTCGATCAAAAAAGCTCATCAAGGAGAGAAGATTTGTGGCTTGTGGATTCTCTCTTCGAATTGATTCAAAGGATATTTGCAGTGTTACTATTATGGAATTATCGGTTCTCCGACCACGATGTAACAGTCTTGTTTGGCGCTTCAAAAGGCTCGCTCTTGCTTTGTTGCTCTCTTGAAACATTTCAAGGTATTTTTGCACAGAAAATCGAGGAGAGTGCCTTGCAATGAAAGTTGCTGCTTGAACAATAGCCAATGCTATCCAGTCAAGTTCCCGAGCAAGACTTTGTAGACTCAATGCATCTGCGACGACTTTGTTTTGAAGCTTTTTCTGAAGTAAAGCAAATGCATGAGTCTCCGAAGGCTCAATTGTCATTATATCGCATTCATTAACAAGCTTCATCGCAATGTGCTTGCTACGAGTCGTGATTATAATGGACCCATGCGGTGCCCTTGGTAGAAAATCAAGGGGCGATTTATCGGAAAGACCTCCTTGTTCACTGAGTACATCAGCTCGTTCATTGTGACGGGCTGATCTGGACTTCTCGAAGGCTGGCTTGTGAAGAAATTCATCATCGTCAATATTGTCAAGAATAAGAAGCCATGGTTCTTCTTTTCGGTCCTGGAGCCAACTACCGACAAGCTGAAATATATTGGCAGCTGGGTCCTGACGGCGCGGAATTTTGACAAGCTCTGCGATATCACGGAGGCCCTCTTCGTATTGCACAATGTCACTCGCGTGAACCCAAAAAACCCAAGTTCCAGGTGACTGCTCTCGGATCCAGTATGCGTATTCGATGGCAATCTGAGATTTTCTAAATCCTTATTAGAAAAATGTGAGCCCTCATTAAAGTGTGTTCTATTTACCCGACACCGCCGAGGCCAACTAGTGCCAGTCTCGCTGAAGGCTCGGAGCTTAGCTCATGTACCCGGTCTACAAGAGATCCTGGGTCCACGAAATCAGGATTACGCCCAAACGGAATCATGGCAAAAGGCTGTGGTCTCTCTTCTGGAGCTTTATTCACATTATCAGAAATGGGTTGTTTTTTAGAATCCAGGTGTCTTTACCTTGGGGTAAGTGAAAATGCGCATTGATCTGTCCATTGTTATGTGCAATTTGTAGCCCGGAGTTCGAGCCAGTGGAAAATATCGATGAATCCATCACGTAAACCGGAGAATCCACATGAGGCAGAGATACTGAGGATTTTCCAGTACGACTGACGAAACGAAGACGAAGACGAAGACAATCCCTTACGTTCTGCTCTGATCCCTGTCACTAGCCACGTGATCCCCTGCGGCTAGCAGGGCTTACGAATATGGGTGCCTCAGGCAGAGAATCTCGCCAAGACACTCAGGCAAGTGAGTGTCTTCGCTTGGAAGTGCATTATGTAATTTTGTCATATTATAGTTACCACACTTAGATCTAGCCAATAACAACCATGCGATCCTAATAGTATCTCACACGCTGCACAGCTGATCACGTGAAAGTACAACCAAAGGCCTACCAACGGGAGGACTAGACCGTCGTGATCGCAACAACGCATTGACTTGGAAGATGTCAGCATGAGGAGGGGCAGGACACGTTAGCGCTTCAGGGGTATGCAGGATATTCAGGTGCAAAATAACGTTGTTCAGGTGATGGGCTGAAGGGGGTAAATATTAAAGCAGCAAGAGGGACTTGCGAAACAAAAAAAGAAAATAAAAAAACATACAACAGTGAGGATTCGCTGGTGGTCACCCACCCAACTACTAACTCACCGGCGTGTGGCTTAAGTACGGCTGAGCGGACGGGAAGCCCTGTTTTCCACACCCTATGGTCGTATGTACTTGATATACCACTACAGAGGACTATATAACATGAGCAGTGGATAAGAGGGTGATCGTCCTAGTCCGTATTGTGAAATGTAGTCCAATCAATGGTATTCAACTCCCTTATTTCTGTATCCACTATTTTGGCAACTTAGTTATACTATCCCGATTACATAAGAAATATTATATTATAACTAACAAGAAGAGTGTATTCAACTAAAAGCGTGCAGGCGTGGTGTTTAGGGCATTCAGGTGAACGGGCTGGGGGGACTGAACGGTAGGGCGGCAAGGGCAGTTTCAAAATCATGTGACAGGTGGTACTCGACATACATACCATACAAAAGTGCATAATACAGTTAGTCATCTATCTCCGAGATTTTTAAGGTATTCAATTATCTGTATTGCGATATCCACTATTCTGGCAATTTATACTATCGCGGTTACATAGGAGATATTACTGCATAACTAAATCCTCCGGTATACCGGCGTAACTGCGCCGACACCTTTGTCCTATGCTGGCGTCAGACACACCTTCGTCCCATTCTTGCTCGCCAGAGTCAGATTCAGGCCCTCTTTGAAAGGCTGCCCGTCTCGACATTCAATACTCTTAAATCGTCGAAGAACTCGCATAATGGTATAGCTGGCTTCTGTCAAGGCAAACTGTTGACCCGGGCAGATCCTTGGCCCGCCATTGAATGGGATATAAGCCCATCCCGGCTTCAGACTAGCCCATCTTTCTGGACGATATTCTGTCGCGTCCTGTCCAAATACTGCCGGTAGACGATGCATGCTGTATACGCTGTATATCACCTCCTGGCCCTTGGGAACAAAAATGGGGTCAGTGCCATCTGGACCACCGCCAACGGGGAGATAGGTGTCCTTGTTCGCCGTCCGCGAGTTGACTGGTACAGAGGGATACAATCTCAAGGCTGTCGATAAATTTTAGTCTCGGTATCATTTCACTATTTTCTTCTTTGCATATCCCGTATTCACGCGCATTTTTCTCTAGGTTGAGGGAGGGATAGAGACTTACTTTCTTTGAGGACCCAAGTGAGATAGGTCATTGACTTCAAGTCTTCAAAGGATGGTCTTTCTCCCCCGACTGTCAGTACTTCGTCTCTCAACCTGTTCCAAATATCAGGCCGCCTAGCCAAGATGAAAAAGGTGATGCTCAGAATACCCGCGGTAGTGTCGCGTCCAGCCAGCAGGATATTCAAGACTTGATCGGTTAACATTGTCCGGTCCCCACTTTGCTTGGACAGCTCATAGATGAAGACGTATTGCTGCCCCTGAGCCTCGGCAGTGTCTTTACCATCAAGATATGTAGCTCGATAGTCTAGAGCCTTCTGAACGAATTGATCAACGAAGCGACGGGCTTCGACTGTCGCCTTTGAGAACGCCCTATCTCGGTAAAAGATCATTAGAGGCCCGAGTCTAGAACGAATAGCTAATCCGTCCTGAGAAGTGTTGAAGTCTTTTGCAAAGGATGGCTGATTGTCTCCGGCACCGAGCGAGTCAATAGACTCTCCTAAGAGAAATTCGGTAGCAGAGTCCATAGTCTGCCCCGTAGTTTGATTAGCATAAACAACTCACGCAAAAAGGGTCGGGTTGTAGGCCTCACCATCTGAAAGAATAATTCTTGCAGATCCACGGTCGACCCATCAAGGGGTATATTGTCAATGAGATTGGAGACATGTTTTTCGTAGACATCGGTGTCAGCGACTTGATTCCGGACAAAATTTGGCCGTATGAGAGCCCTTGAGTGTTCCCATAACGGACCATCACTCGTAAAGATACCCTGTCCAAGAAGTGGTGACATTGCCTTATTGCGAGGGGAGCCAAGATCAAAGTCTTTAAACTTGAGTGCAAGGATGGCTTGAACATTCTTGGGCTCGATGGTAATGGTGACAATACGGCCTAGTGACGTCTTGAAGGTGGTCCCATTTTGATAGTGCCAGCTTCGCATCAGCTCCAAGGACTCGCATTTCTTCATTGCTAACACCAGAGAGGCTACTCTGCCAATACCAAAAAATCCGGAGGATGCCACTCGTGGCTTTCGACATTGGTGCTCGCGAGAAAATTTCCACTCTGAAACGCTCGGTTAGCCTCAACCCTACAATTGAAGCGAGGCCTAAGCAGCTTGGGTAGTGTCCATACCTGCCGATAGGCGAAGTCCTGCGTTGATTGCGAGGAACGCAAATATTACCAATGGAATAAAGTATGCAGCCCTTTCGAAATCTCCCATCCCTTTGAAGTCCATCGTGGTGGGTTTCTGTTGTTCAACTTCTAACAATAGTGAGGCAGCAGAGGGTGGAGGTGGAGAGCAAGACGATCTTTCTGATCGAAGGTGAAGGGTTCAAGTTGAACAAACTCGGGGTCTGAACTTGAGATCACTCTAGAATTTAGATGGGTCTTATATCGAATTATATGACGTTACACGTGTCTGGTGCCTCTTTTGAGGATCTCAAGCTGTAGTTCCGAGGTTAGCAAAATTTAGGACTGCTGCCGGTAATGGTCGGATATATCTTTCCTAATACGGCAAGCAAACAATTAACACTTATGATTCATATGTTTCCCGTACAAATGGAGAACCATCGTTTTTCGGCTGAAGACTAATGTCGTTTCATTGGGCCGGATAGAAGTTTCTCAATTTGGTAAAGTATGCGTGCATCTTTCGTATCCCGTATTCGCGGGGAACCCTATATATTAGCCTAAAGCTTACTAAAAAAGCGAGGGATAATAGCGAGAAATATAGACCATTACTTTAATTTAATAACCTTCGTACGGTTATAGAGAAGCATTAATTCCTACCCCATAAGATCTTTAATTAGGATGAAACCGGCTACTAAATTAACCAGGGATAGACTTTGACAAGTGCTGCACATGGCGAATTTTGGTGCTACAATATGGTGCTGCCAGGTGCTGCGGGACTAAGCCAATTTTGGTGCTGTTATATGGTGCTGCGGCACCAAGTGCTGTAGCACCGCCGTAGCACCAGTTTTAGCGCTGCACTAGCATAATTATGCTAAGGATTACTGATTTACTTTAATAAATTACTGTTTTTTACTTATGTAGATGACCATGGCCGACTTCCATCCAGAAGCGATAAAAGAGGAAAATCATCTGTCACTAAAGGGATGCTTGCGGAGCATGACGCCGAGATGGATGCCGAACAGGCTTCCGGGGGTCATGAAGTTTGGCGAGATGTGTAAAGAATCATGCGTTGTCCTGGATCTCCATGCCGCCACGAAGGACAGTATTGCTGGCAGGACCCATAACGGAAAAAGCACTACAAATTACGCACAAACCACTTGAAGATGCTCACTAGATATGTGTAGTACGGAGGGATCATCGAAACACATGACGACATTCCCGATAGTCTTCGTGAACAGCTTTATGCTGAGGAGAATCAGCGGCTTGAACGACGGAAGAAAAGCTCGGACAGCTCTACATGTGGATCAACATGTCATCCTGTCCACCCTCATCTCTCATCCCAAGTGCCCCCCTACACTTACCGCTGATGCTGAATGTACGATCCCGGCTTCTAAGCAAACCGATCCAATTGATCTTCCTGGACTTCTCGATATAGCCGTCAAAGAATATGCTACCTGGCATCAGTCACGCGTGAGCAGTGAGACCAATAGGGTGTCTGGACCTCAAGCAAATCCACGAATATCAAGACCCGGATTTTTTTTTGTCAAAAAGGCGTCAAAGCAGGAGCCGCCCCGCGGTTTGTTCGCGATATTGCCCGTTGGGTGACGCGAAATGGCGATACGGTTGGAGTTGAAGAGTAATCGTAATATGTTCAGGCGCTCTATAGTCTAACATGCAACCATATCACGTCTCCCGCCCGGCGGGCGTTGTTATCTCGCTTTTCTTGGCTCAATCGCTTGCTCCTGGTGTCTCGCTGGGGCGCGTCAAGAACTTTTGCGCGCGAATATTTCCGTCTTTAAGACCCTTTAGGCCTTCAGACAATCCCTCGAGGCCGTTTTTGCCTATAGTATAAGGATGGGCTGTGAGCCAACCCTCGCGCAGACCCCGGGCAAACGCTGCGCCCCATGTCACGCCAATGAGCTTGTCGTTCTCATCCGCGTAGTGAACCTGACCGACCATGGAGAAGACGATATCAACACTCGGGTCAGAGTCCTCGACCTCAGTTTTCAGAAAGATGTTAGTCACCTTTGGCCTCCGACCAGCAGCGTCCGGCGGGCCAGCAATGACCTTAGTGACGAGCCTGACCGTGTCATCTTCGGAAACGGTATCAAAAGCCTTCCAGCAGCGGCCGTCGGGAGCACCTCCCTTCTTGACAGCCTCCTGGATCGCTTTGATCAGCTCCTCCTCAGTAGGATAAGCGGTGTAATCGACGAGGACGTCTCCCTTGCTCTCATCGAGGAAGGGTTTGATAAATTCGCTCCGCTTGCTGCCAACCGTAATGATAGGATGGATATTGGCGGCCACTGCAAGCTTGATAGCGAAAGCTCCTGTGGCAGTACTGGCTCCATAAATTAGGAGAGGACGCTTAGTGCCCTCCTTGCCCGCGGCCTTGGAGAGTGGCGACCAGGGTTCCGGTAACTCGAGCTCCTGAAAGAGTGCGCAGGCGGATGTGTAGGCGGCCAGAGGAATCGTGGCAGCCTCCTCGAAGGTTGTTGAGTCGGGAATGTGGAAGGTAGTGTAGTAGGGTGCAATGGCGTACTCGGCGAAGGCCCCATGCGAGGTCATCATCTCGTGGAACGCGGCCACGCGGTCCCCTTTCTTGAATCCGACGACATCCTCTCCCACGGCTTCCACGGTACCGGCGATATCGTCACCAGTGTTCATATCAGTACCGCGCATGATGGGGATCTTCCAATCCTTCGGGTTGGAACCTTTCAATAATTCGCGTTAGCTGCGGATCAAAAAACTGGGGCCGTGACGCATATACGCCGTCCATGCAGAGACGAATAGTCTAGTGGTACAGATTGACCACTGCAGGTCCTCTAAAATCTAGTACCTACCGGCGACGATAACCTTGATCAACACATGGCCAGGCTCCGGCTTTGGGATGGGTGAATCGACGATATCGACTGATGTGTCCTTCCTAACAATCGCTTCCTTCATGATGAGATAGCCGAGGTTCCTTCGTACGCTTTCAGGTGGCGGGCTCGACTATGAGACAAAAACGCAAATAGTTTTGGGGATAGGGTCTAGTGTATAAGACCAGCATGGCTACTGTGATATTTATATAATTTACAGAATACTTTAACCAACTAATGACAGCATCATAGGCTAGTCAATCGGTTCAGGGTAACTAGCTAATTATTAATCGCTGAATCATCCGAAAATTCGATTTCCGCTTCGGGCATGATAGGAACCCTCTTTTGTCCTATGTAAAAATAACGAAGTACCTTCCTGTCTCCCTCATAATCCTTGGTAATCAGGTGGTACCCCCTTTGTGTGAATTCGTATCTCTTATGGATGTCATATTTATCTAAGTACAATTATGCAAGCTAAAGCCTTGAGTCTCTTTATTTCTTTCTTGGTATTAATCACGCTTTACATTTGACATCTTTTGTTTCCAGCCGATATGGCTCTCGAGAAAAGAACGGGCGCTGCAAATGACATAATGAATCCTAACATGAATCTCTAAAGAGAAAATTTGGGACAGCTACTGACATATCTCCAGCACTGTTCAATATTATTTGAGATTTGGAGAGATGCCGGTGGGATACCGGTGAGAGCCGAAGAGAAATTGTCAGCTCCAACAGCGCTATTGTAATCCCATCACTAATTCACTTGGAATTTAGGAGACGGAAATGTCATCATTTTTACCCTAACCGAACGTTTCCTAACACCTCATAAAGATATTTAGCTCAGCGACTCCCCTCATTATGCTAATTGTGAAGAGACTCTAAATTTCTCGAAATCTTTTCATCAAAAGCCAAAACCAAAAACCTAAACATGACACAAATGAAGGCCGTTTACCTAGTAACACCCAGGTAGGAATGAATGGATAGAATCAGCGATTAACGTAAACAGAAGGAGAGAACGCCGTTTCGCAGCTAGGAAGAGAGCTCCAGCCTGACTTTTTGGAAGGAGAGGAGTAAGAGGTAGAAAAAAGGCCTTTTAAGAGCCTGGAAGGAGTGGAAGTGCTGGCAACTGAACCCCTGTCCCTTCGTAAAGGGAGGGTCCCCTAAAAACATGGTGAAATCGTTGAAATCGTTGAAGTCGGCATAATTGTAGTCCGCCAGGAAGAAGAGGGCTCTATGACAGAATTCGATATGGAAGATTTGATCTTGTTCAAACAGACCCACGGAGATGTGTCGTTACAGAGCCAGATGGCTTTTTAAACCCAGCACCTAATAGCAAACGAAACAATTATGTTAGTCTCTTTCTCGACTCTCCACCCCTTGGTACAACCATTCATTGCGGTCACTATATACGTTAGTTTCTATCAATTTGTTGATCCATAGTAACTTAGCCAGAAAGATTTTAGTCAAGATAAATACACGTAGCCTAAACACTGTCTGATAAAAAACCATTTGCCCTCGATCAGATGTTTCATGCTCGCCTGGGTATGACCATATGTTTTCATGTGTTAAGCGGACCGCGAAGCCCTAGTTCCAGCCACTTATACCAGCAAGGGAGAAAAACAATTCCAACCCCACGCTGCATCATTGAATTGCGACCATTGACAATTGTTTGAACACACCCTGCTTTTTTATTGCCTGTAGTAGCTATCTAGGATAGTAATTGTTGGCAATTATTGCCGTAGGGCTCCAGCGAACTTGTAAGGGGATGCGAGAGTCCAGATTGTCACATTGTAGTTCTGCGGGGTCTGACAGGAACGTACAGAGCTATAGTTCAAATGGTCACCGTGGAGATTATTATTGAAATTGAAATATTGAAACAGAAGTTGGTTGGTGTGAGACCTAGTGAGACTTGGGGATCTGGGAAAAGGGCCAAGCTTTAGGCTATGGATGTGCTGGTGATCGGGCCGCGAAACAACTCAACCACCTCCGTAATTGTTCCTCGAGTTTTGATTCGATAGAATTTTTGATATGATTTATCAAATTAATATTGTCTGACTTCACAATCCCTATTTTAATTCATCCTTATTGGCCTGTTAAGTGCAAATCTCAGTGTGGTGGCTGGGGAGGCTGGGAGACGTCACCCAGCACTATGACAGACAAAATCTCGCTGGGCAGCTATTGCTGGTCCTCAAAAAAATCCCTTCGCATCTCAAGGGCGAGAGCGAGGAATGCTTCTGGATTAGTTGCCGTTCCGCGTGGGATCAATATCCGCATTCCAGGCCTAGCATGACGGACCCGATGAGAAACTTCAGCCTGCGCAACGTTAACAGTACGTGCATATAAGAATCCCTGCCCCTCTGCCTTTTTAATTACAGACATCGCACAGCTTTTGGAAGACTCAAGTCAACTGACTCCCATTTAGCAAGTAAACCGCAACTTGCTCGGACAGAGTCTCAACAATCTGCGGCTGCATCAGACGACTACTATTCATTCTCAGATCAAGATCTCTCTAGTACTGAGAGTCTAGCAACTGTCATGCGATTCAGGACTCCAGACTCACACGCACCATCCCCCGCCATGTCGCAAACACGGCTTGCCCAAGAAGATCTCGAGTCCCAACGCCCACCAACATCCAGCACAGTCCGGTTCGCAGGAGACAGACCGGCTACCATCAGTCCTGTATCCGATGCGTCAAGATCAGACGGGACCTCTCGTCGATCTCCCAGTGATTACCCGGGACCGGCCCCGACTCCAGGCCTGGATGACTCCCCATACGTCCGGTTTGCAATCGACCAGATCACCCAGGACAGAGCTGGGGGGATCCAAAGAAACGACTCAATTTCTACCACGACGACAGGTGACTATCCATCCGATCGGCTAGTATGGGATGAGGGACTTGGTTATTTTACCCGCACACGCACACCCATCCGACATGACACGCCGCCAGCGAGACCCTCGTATACATCTCCTTCGCCACAGGCTTTACCGCAACGGCCAATGTCAGTGGATCCCGAGTCATTTATGGCCGTTGATGCGCCGGGGCAAAACTTGTTATATCCTCCCTTGGACTATTTGCCTCTTGTCCTGCGTCCCTGGGCTTTGGCGCTCATGATATTTTGCTGTCTGCTCATGACGGCTGGTATAATCTTCTGCAATGTTTGGTCCCGTGGCGAGGAGGGATTATGGGACTATGCGCGTCAAGGTGGCTCGCGATATTTTGTGCTTCAGTTCCTACCACAGATTGCTGCTGCACCGATCATCATCTGGTCATTCGTCATTCAGGCTGCAGTATATCGCATAGCACCCTTTTCTATGATGTCAGCTGAGCGACAGCAAGGTCTGGTGATGCATCGTCTGCCCATACTTTCAAAAAGCTTCATCTTCCCCGACTTCTCCCATTTCAGACACGGTGAATCCTTGTTTGGAATCTCTCTATTTACAATTTGGCTTTCGAACTTTTTCGCCATCCCTCTCCTCAGTTGTCTCTTCCAGGCAAAGTACTATATCATCGACGGACAAGGTGTCTGGAGATGGGCTTCGGTTCAATCTGTGGGCTGGACATTGGTTGGACTATATGGTGTTTTGACACTGGGCATAATCATGCTTTTTGTCCGTTTCATTAGTGGCTGGTCTGGCTTGATGTGGGATCCCACCAGCCTGGCAGATTTTATTTCTATCATTCAGCGGTCAAACATCCTGCACGACTTTGAGCACTCCGAGACAGTCCCCTCAGTGCGAGAATCGCTTGATCCCCGCATCCTTCGGCTGGGCTACTGGAAACTCTCAAGCAAAACCGAGATCTTCTACGGAATCGGCGAAGTAGATGCTCCTGTACGCACCCCATCTCTCCATCAAGCTGGCAAAAGCCGAGATAACCAGCCACATGGACTTGCCAAGGTTTGCCATGATCTTGAGCATAACGGTGCATTCGCCAATGACTCACAAGATAACCACCTTTACTCACAATCTGCCCGTTACCGCTGGACACCTTGGTTCCTGCGCAAAATTTCAGTGTTTATTTGGATTGCCATTGTTTTCGCCCTCTTCATCGCTTTCGTCGCCGTTAGCTTCATCAACGACGCCATCGAGGGCGGCTTCCCTCCCAAGCTCCCAACACTCCCATCGACAAGTGCATTCTCCTCCTCCAATTTCCTATACAGTTTCCTTCCCGCCCTGATCGGCAACGTCCTCTTCCTCGCCTGGCAACCCGTCGACGTATACTTCCGAGCTCTCCAACCATACGCCGAGCTCTCATCCCCCAGCGGCGCATCTGCCGAAAGGAGCATTCTACTCTCCTACCCGTCTGCCTACCCAGTCCAAGTCACTATCCAGGCTATCATCAATCGCCACTTCAAAGTTGCATGGATCTCTCTCATGAGCCTGCTATCCCTCGCCATCCCCATTCTCGCCGGGGGCGTCTTCATCGCCCTCTGGTACCCCTCTCACGACGACATCCGCATCTCTGCCTTTTTGCCCGCATTCTACGCTTTGATTGGCGTCTGTGGCCTATATGCCGTGTCTTTAGTGGCAATCTGGCCGGGTAGTCGTCGCTATCTCCCACACGACATCTCCACTTTGGCTGATCTGATGAGCTATCTCTACCAGTCGCCTCTTCTGTCTGATAAGATCCTGCGCGAGCCAAGGAGCAAGACTGACCTCGTCACTCGTCTTATCATTGCACCGCCCTCTGAGCGTGAGATGCCTTCGTACGGCTTTGGCATCTATGTCGGTCGTGACGGTAAAGAGCATCTTGGTATCGATCGCTTCCATCGGCCTGGTCGTTCTGATATGCTTATTACAACGGCCACTATGAAATAATTTGCTTGATGGCTTTTTTGATGGCATCTTCTGCGAAGTTTTTATGATTTACATTTTTTTATGAGTACAGTATATTGATGATCGTTTGGAAGCGCGCTGAATTATGAACATATGAGAATGATTTTTGAAGTGTTTTTGATGGATTTCGGTTTTTGTTATTCTGGCAGTTGCATTCTCGGCGTTTTTGCTTACTTTAGATATACTTCCGATTCAGATCCTGGATTTGCGCAGCGCTTTGCTGATACATAGAAGATAATTCGTTAAATGACAACCTGGATCTACAGTTTCCCTTTGAATCCATCACACAATGATAGCCTTAAGGTCAATACTTAGATATGAGGGGCATCTCGAACATCCTGCAAATCGATCTTCGCCATCTCTTCCCACAGAGGCTGGTTGAAGTTCCTCGGCTCGGGTGATCCTTTTCATGATTCAAGTCAAAATGTCTCTCGAACTTCTGTACATGAGAAATGTAAGAATACTTGTCATTGGCGCATGTCGGACAACTAAGTTTCTGCCCTGTAGCCGACCTTCAGCCCCATACTATCGCAATTGCTGTGGATTAGGCTTGTTCAATGAGATATCCGAGTCAACCGATGATCTAGCCCTAAAAACTCCAATTATCACCCGACCTCATATACGAGGTATCCATTCGTTGCCTCATAGTGTCCTGTACCGGGAATTTCTATTTGATAGCAACGCTGTCATTCTACAGAAATATGAGTCCAGTTTCCACCAAATTGTTGTCATGTCAAGGCCTTAAAAGTGCTCGGTGAAAAGCCGGTCACGTGCAAGGAGATCTGCAATGTCTCCGCCTCCACACGGATTTCAAAGCTTCATTCACAACAGCAAGACAATCCTCCCAATACAGTGTGCTTTGAGTTACCCTCGTAGAAAGCCATACCCAGCCATCCTCTCCATTCAATTGTGCAACATTCGCTCCTTCGGCAATTTTCCTTTTCCAGCCCATTCAACTCTGCCTTACATTCCCATCAACAACCACACACTCCTCGTCCTCACACACACCGCACATAGCAATGGTCTCACTATTCGGCTGGGGCTCAAGCCCAAAACCAGAGTCGAGCCAGCCAACACCTCAAGAAAAGCCAACACCCGATGAATCCGCAACCCCAGCACCACCAGCACAAACGCAATTAGCGCAACCAGCCTCGCCCCAAACAAACACAAACCTCAAACTCTTCTTCGGAGGAATGACTTTCTTCGCGCTCTCGGTATTAGTCACACGTCGTTCGTTCCATAAAAAACGCATCTCGTGCATTCCGCCTTTCTACACAAGCTCGATATACCACCAGCCCCACTCGAACTCCGCGGGTGATGCGTTCGAGGCTCTGAATCTGGCTACTCTCAATGTGATCTCGTTTGGTTTGATGGCCGGTGGTGCGGTTGGGTATGCTTTGAATATTAATGGACTTGAGGATATGCGGAGATTCGTGCGAAATGGGTTGCAAGGTGGTAGTGATACGCCTGTGAAGAGTGATGAGGAGCTTGAGCAGGAAGTCACTGAGTGGGTTGCAAAGATCCTCGGTGATAAGTTTGAGAAGCAGTTGGAAAAGGAGAAGATGAAGAGGGGGATCCGAGAGGATCAGGTTGATCAGGATACTAAAGCGAAGTGAACTGATTGCGGGACTTGATTTTCGAAATACTCACACATACCAACTACACTCTACTCATGATTTGATACCAGCTGTACATTACATTATGCATTAGTGGGCATTCCTTGCCATTTACAATGGAAAGACACCCGAATGGGTGCGAGCAAGATTACTTTGTACAAAGTTCATTACATGTCATTATCTTACATTTAATCGGCCACCCAGTTGTGGCACACAAGGTCAATATCAGATGTCCCCTCCGCTCACTCTCACTTCACATCCTCCTCAGACTTCAACCACACCCGCCCCTCCACTGTATCATACATTCAACCGTCCTGTATTGATCAGGAACGATCCATCTCCTCGTAACGCTGGCGTGCGGCATCTTTGGTCTTCGCCAGGAATTCGTCATAACGACCCCTAGTGTTTCGACCAGCTTCTTCGGTTGCCTCACCCAGTCGACTTCCCTGGGCACCCAGTCCCACACCCTGAGCATAAATTTCAGTAGGAATTGGCGCGGTCACACCAGTTCCTTGAGCACCGAGGCCAGATCCTTCGGACCAGCCCATCTTGCTGAGGAGAGTAGCACCGATCGAAGTTGTCTGCACAGGTGTCTCGTCTTCCTCCTCTGGTTCGGAGGGTCTTTGACGGGCATTGGAATCACCACCGAACGCCTTGCGGCGCTCCTTTGCGCGGTCTCGGTATTCTGGAGTCGCCTGTGCGATACCGGCCTTCTTAAGCTGTTCCAAACCCCATTTGACTTCGTCTTCCTTTGTCAGTTCCTTTCGGTGGTGTTCACTCATGCGGTCGTGTGTGAGGAGCTCTGCCGCGGTATCAAACTTGCTGAAGCACAAGAGGCACCAGTTCCGGTTCAGGTCTGCAAAGGATCGAGATGTTGGAGGGAGGGAATATTCTCGCTCAAGTTTGTCACGATATTCGTCTGTGCTGCCTTCGTAATTTGGAGAGTGCACGGGTATGACACCATAGATCATCATCCAGCATACGCCGCGTTGCCTCAGGAAGAGATCCTTCAGGTTTTCCCTGTGGATGTCACTTTCGCGCTCGTGGTATTCGAGTTGCTCCGCATCCTTAAGATATTGCATGCACAAGAAGCAACAGATCTTTTTGAAATCTGCAAATGATGGAGCCGGTGGATCAGTCGTTTCAATTGTCGCAGTTGCGGAGCTCGAGCTCTCCGCGGGGTTTCCAGCAGCATCTCTGTTGGTCCCATGTAGCTCTGCCTGGCGGTCACTCCAGAATTTCAGCTGAGTTGGCATTGCAAGTTTCTTGGCATTCGCACTGGCGGTGGCATCGGCTTTTCTCTTTTTTTCCTTTATCGGAGTCCTTGGTGCCCTTGGATTGTGCGTCTCCGTGGTTAGAAATTGTCTTGTTGGCAGCGGCATCGTCTTCCGGGGTTGACAACATGAGTTCGGTCACATATGCTCCATCGTCCCAGTACATCAACTGCAGAGATGGGTTGTTGGATGGGCTGAATGTGTAGTAGTTAGGACCAGAGGAGGGGTTCATGACTGGAACAAACACTCCGCCGTGAATGTAAGTGACCAACACCGCCTTCGAGGAGATGGTAAACTTGTCGAAAGATTTGAGCCGCGTCATTGCAGCTTGTGCATCCTGAGGTCCAGCGTTAGACATGAAAACGATATAAAATATGAAGGGTAAGCGTACATTAATTCCTGCAAATTCTGCGAATCCGTAACGCCAGCTTGCGTTGGTTTCGCGATCACGTACAAGAAGCACACGACGGAGAGAGCCTTCGCGGGCACCCAAGTTGCTGTCGCCAGTCGTCGAGGCAACCTTTGATCCCTTCTTCTGATTATCAGGGGCACTGTCATTGTTGCCAGATGGCCGATACAGCTTAGAAACTCCTTTTGCAAGAAGCTCCTCTGTAACAGACGCCTCCAGGCCACGGATCAGAAGGAACTGGGAAGGCTGGTTCTCAGGAGCGACATCATTATCACCATCATTAGCTATCTTGAGAGCCGAAACTCCAGGGGGGCCGATAGGATCCATATCTGCATGGATGGTGAGGGATGGTTAGAGATGGGAAGAGGGGTGCATGCGGGGTGGTGAAGATGTACGTACTGGGTCGTGGAGTACCGCACTTGAAACAATGTGAACGTGTGGAGAAGTTGAGAACGAGACACTGGTTCTGTCAGCGCAGAACAATAGGAACTCCTAGGTCCCTCCCACCTGGGAAGGCAAGGCCCCCCGAAGCCACCGCGTTGACTTACCTTCCTGCAGTTCCAGTCACTTGCACCTTTTGCGCGAGCTCGGTCTTCCCTCTCGCGGGTGTAAGTAATGCGCACTTTGGTGCTTTTCTCATTGGGACCATAAAGGAATATGGAAGGCTGGTTGCGTTCGAAAAATGTACGTGATGCGTCAATCGAGGAAAATCGTAGGAAGCCTATTTGCCGCGACACCTCTGTTGACAAAATATTAGGTTAAAACAATGCACTTTCTTCGGAAGTAACTACGGCTTTCACATACTGGTCTGTCGATCACGAATGACCCGGACATCTTCCAGCCCATCGGCACGAAAGGCACTAAGTTCGGCTGAGATCTGTTGTTCATAAATGAGCGCATGGTCAGCATTTGTCCACAGCGGAGATATTCAAACGTCTGATCTGCCTAATCCGGACATGATTTCGATAACTCACATCGTTTTCTGTGATGTTCACCGGAAGTCCTTCCATCATGATCTCCCGGCTGACCTGTACCATATTGGACTGGCGACTTCGACTTCGATTGCCGCTTCCGCTTCGATAGCCCTCTCGATCGCGGTCTTTGTACGTGTTTCTGCCTCTATGAGGGGATGAGCGCGAATCGCGACGGCGGTAATCATCTCGATCATTGCTTCGGTAGCCTTGTCCAGATTCCCGGTCTCTCGGGTACTCGAGTCTGCTATCGGCCGCTAGTCTTCCAGGAGGCGAGCGTGCACGATCTTTATTCACCAATTCAAATTCAAATAAAGTTAGCCACGTTTCAATAACATGTGGAGGACTTCGTCGTGCGAGAAGATATCTCTAGGCCAGTACCCGTGGACTCCATCGACGTACGTGCGGGGAGACGCTTACCTGGCGAGCGAGATCGAGATCGATCATCATACATGCGGCCATCGCGATCATTACGTGAAGGAAAGGGTCGGCGAGCTGATCCCGAAGGAAACTTGTCATTCCGATATGGAGGCGCCATGGTTATGCATGGATTAAAGAAGTTATCAGCGAGCAACAAATTGTGACGGAGAACAACTTCCTTGGAACCTTGCCGGGGAATAGCTACGATAACGATAACGTATCTCCAATCCGGCTCTTGGATTATCCTTATTCCGATACCAAGCTGTATACTGACTGGTCTCTCCGGATAATCTATATTCCGAGCTATATTCCGAGTCTAGGTTGACAAGACTACAAAGAACCTTTGTTCACCATCTGCATCGCCTTTTGCAAGTCCTTGGACGGTAGCACAATACTACCAAGGTAATTCCTTTCTGGATAGTGACTCTTAGCACTCACGTTCAATGCGAGTGCCAGTGACTTGCAATTGCTTGTGCCAGTAGTGTCTTTTCAATCATACCCAGGTGCTTTTGGTTTGCTTCTTCAAGGCGCTCTAAACTACTCCGTATACGCTATCATGTAGCTCTATCAGCGAACCTCCAATGAGTATCGTGAGTCTCCAATTCAATCTGAATGCAACCGATTTGACACTAGTACAATGTTGAATTCTAATCCATGAACGTACATATAAAGTGTAGATGACTATCTATATAACCAAATGTAGAAATACAGATAGCAACATTCAATTCGAAACTTCGTACTTGTAAACTAATGTACTCTATGCTCTATATCAAATACTAACCGAGAGAAATATCAAGGGAATATCCCGATTTGGTCCGCCAAGAACCCCTCCCGCCCAGTTGCATTATTGGAGCCGTTGCGGAGTCCATATCACCCATGTGGAGAAGATCCACATACATCGTGGCTTCTGATTCAATACATCCACCCAGCTGCATTCCAACCCCCCTTGGCAGACATCTCGGGCCGACATATCAATCACTAAGAGCACCGATGATTCTCCGCATCTGCCCCGCGATGGGATGAACATGAGCGATTGGTCATGCTCCAAGTGTCGTTGACAACACATCTTTTACAGCAAATGATATATATAGGCAGTGGTGCTCCAGAATCCTAAACCCTCTCTTATTTCCTTTCAAATATCCTAGACTCTTTAAATCGCCATCCAACTACCATGGCTACCCCAGGAAATTCCAACCACCGTGCCTGGTGGAAAGAGAGCTCCGTATACCAGATCTGGCCTGCTTCATTCAAAGATTCGAATGATGATGGTATCGGTGATATCCCCGGTATCATCTCCGAGTTGGATTACATCAAGAACCTCGCCGTGGATATCGTCTGGCTGTGTCCATCGTACAAATCGCCGCAGGTGGACATGGGCTATGATATCTCCGACTACTACAGCATCGCCGATGAGTACGGCACAGTTGAAGATGTCGAGAAGTTGATTGCCGGATGCCACCAGCGGGGTCTGAAACTCTTGATGGATCTAGTCGTCAACCACACTAGTGACCAGCATGAATGGTTCAAGCAGTCGCGCAGCTCCAAAGATAACGAATACCGTAACTGGTATATCTGGAAGCCGGCCAAATATGATGAGCAGGGCAACCGCCACCCTCCCAACAACTGGGTTTCTCATTTCCAAGGTACGTATCTCCATTCTCGTTGACGAAATTCATCTCATCTAAACTCTACTCCAGGAAGCGCCTGGCAATGGGATGAACTGACGCAAGAATACTACCTGCACCTATACGCGGTCGAGCAGCCCGACCTCAACTGGGAACACCCACAAGTCCGCGAGGCAGTTCACAATATCATGCGTTTCTGGCTCGATAAGGGCTGCGACGGGTTCCGTATGGACGTCATCAATTTCATTAGTAAGGAGCAGAGCTTCCCTGACGGACCCATCAAGGACCCGCGCACTCCCTGGCAATGGGGTGACAAGTGGTACGCCAACGGCCCACGCTTGCATGAGTACCTCCAGGGTCTCGGTAAGATTCTCAAAGAGTACGATGCGTTCAGTGTGGGTGAGATGCCGTTCGTCACCGACGAGAAAGAGGTGCTCCGTGCGGTGCAGTTCGACCGCAATGAGATCAATATGATCTTCAATTTCGAACATGTCGACATTGACCATGGCAAATATGACAAGTTTGAACCTGGCAGCTGGAAACTCACTGATTTGAAGGACTTCTTTGAGCGTTGGCAGACATTCATGTATGACAATGATGGTTGGAATGCGCTCTACTGGGAGAACCACGACCAACCGCGTTCTATTGATCGTTACACAAATGCTAGTGAGGAGCATCGACTGGTCGCGTCTAAGATGTTGGCTACTGCCCTCGCATTGCAAGCTGGTACTCCGTTTGTTTACCAAGGACAAGAGCTGGGAACCAGGAATGTGCCCAAGTCATGGGGCATTGAAGAATACAAAGACATTGATTGTCTCAACCACTGGAAAAGGTAATTTCAATCTCCTAGTAAGACTTGTGGATGTTGGCTGACGAGGAACTCTATAGAATACCAAAGGACGACACTGCTGCGCAAGCAATTGCTCTGCAAGAATATCAGAAGAAGTCACGCGACAACGGACGCACTCCAGTGCAGTGGTCAGCTGCCGAGAATGCCGGTTTCACCGGACCTGGCGTCAAGCCCTGGATGTCTGTGAACACCGATTACCCGCGTATCAATGCCGCAGCGGAAGTCAAGGATCCCAACTCAACATACCACTACTGGGCGACTGTGCTGAAATTGCGCAAGGAGTACCTTGATGTCTTTGTGTATGGCAATTTCATACTTTTGGATAAACCAAGCCAAGAGGTCTTTGCGTACACTCGCCAGTATGGCGACCAAAAGATCTTGGTTGTGTGTCACTGGACAGAGAAGACTCTGGAGTGGGATGCGGCCAGCAACGGTATTGCTGGCGTCAAGCAGGTCTTGCTCAACACTTATGAAGGTGTTGAATTGGCTTCCCACCGGTTCTCTGGTGATAAATGGGCACTTCGACCATATGAAGCTGTGGTGTTGCTCCTGTGATATATATATATATGAGATTCGCAAGCTGGCCATAAGCCACTTCCTCCATAAATTGTACCTAGATTATTTACTACCATGAATAAACCTGAGCACAGCCCCAAACAATATAACCCGAATAAAAAAAAGACACGAGTTCAAAGTATTCAAAGCTGTCAACTCCCACTTTCCGCAGATCGGGGCTCTTATCCGCTCCTCCCCGCAGCAGATAAGCATCGGGAAGGGCGAATAGTCACAACTCCAATTGAAAACCGAAAAGAACCCGATTCCCTCAAACCAATCTCGCTTCACAACTCCAACACAAAATGGCCTCCTCAGAACCATCCTTGCAACCAGCCCAGGTCCCCGCCCACCTTGACCCAAAAACCTACCCACGCACCCACCACAATCCAACTCAAAACATCCACATAACTCTAACCTACGAACCCTTAAATGCAAATACGTACCTATCGCAAACCTCCTCCCCATCAGCGGGCGCCAACATCCTCTTCCTCGGCACAACGCGCGACACCTTCGAAGGCCGCTCCGTCTCTCAGCTCAGCTACACGACCTACCCGCCTCTAGCATTGAAGACGCTAGCTGGGATCGCCGAGGCTGCCGTGAAGACGCATCGGCTAGAGGGTGTGAGTATTGCGCACAGACTCGGGACTGTGCCGATTGGAGAGGCGTCGATCGCTATTGCTGTTAGTGCGGGACATCGGGGTGCGGCGTGGAGGGCGGGTGAGGAGGTGCTTGAGGCTTGTAAGGAGAAGGCGGAGATCTGGAAGAGGGAGGAGTTTGTTGACGGGGGGATGGAGTGGAGGGCTAATGCGGATCGGGATGCTGAGGGGAGGAGTTTGGGGAAGGAGGGTGTTTAGTTTGGGTTGGGGTTTGTTGGACTTGGCTGGTTGGTGGTTTTCAATTGTGGTTTGTGGGTAACGCTGATGGCATCTTTTACAGTTGTCACTCAAAGAGAGTTGGTTCCTCGGCCTCTATATGTTGTTTGTTTCCACAAGTTTCGTCCGGATAGTATACGAGCATGGCACGGAAAATAGGAGCATTTGGAACGCGGTTCCGGCTGAGTAGGGTATTCAGATATTCGAATGACTATATTGTACAATTTCCATACATACGCCTGGCGCAAGACACTTACTCCGTCTTGAGTGGCTTTCCCTCCCTCTTCCAGTCATTGATGTGCTCCAAGATCACCTTGGATGCAGACTCGGGGGTATCCTGGCGGCCGATACACTCAACAAAGTCATTGTCGGGGTCTATAATAAACGATTAGCATAAACTAGATACCCCGGTTATAGTGTTTTATCAGCCCACACTCACCCATCAGGTAGAAGTAGATACTGTGATCCACGAGGTAGTCTTCGCCGGGCTTCACATCCTTGGGAGTACTGAAGTACACACGGTACTGCTTGCAGACGTGCTTGACCTGCTCGTATGTGCCAGTCAGGCCGACGATGCCGGTGTGGAACTCCTTCAAGTACTCGCGCAGCACCTCGGGCGTATCACGGACGGGATCGCAAGTAATGAAAACGGGCATGAAGAGCTTCTCGTCTCCGGTAGCAGCCTTGACCTTCTCGATAATCTCGGCCATCTTGTCCAGCTCATCGGGGCAGATATCGGGGCAGTGAGTGAAGCCGAAGTAGACCTGGTGAAATCAAGCGAGATTGTGTCAGCGAACACCGTTCCATTATATTAAATCCATTGATGCTCTTTTATTCCATTATCCGGGCAACTCACAAAGCTGTATTTGCCCTTCAGGTCCTCCGCCGTAAACTCATTCCCGTCAAGATCCTTCAGGATGAACGGACCGCCAACCTTCGGCTTACCAACACCCTTGCTCATCTCGGTCATGCGCTTGCGCTCAAGACGGGCCTTCTCAACCCGGAAGTAGAGCATCATACCGGCTCCCGTCAACACAAAGAGCAGTGCGGCCTTCCACGAGAACGGGCCGGTCGAGTTGCGCTGACGCATCTGGCCCATTGTCTTAGGGCCTGCTCGGAAGGCGGAGGTTGAGAAATTGTTCCGTGTGGAGATCATGGTGCGCATGGCTTGGTCGCATCGTGGGCGCTGTGCTTGGGTGTAGGCGCGGCATGATGCGGTGTTATTTCGGAGGAGAGGTAGAATGCGTTGTGTTGGGGCGGATTCGACGGCGATATTGCGGGTGGATCGGGTCAAGAGACCACTTGCTAATCTCATGGGAGAAGCCATTTTAATTGTTGTGAAGCTGTGGTTGGGGAGAGGGAAGATTACCAATTGCCAACTCCGGGAATTCGAGAATCTCCAGATCGACACCTCAATTGAGTTTAGTGTGTCTGCCTCAGGCGCCAACGTACACTCTGTATAGATTTCTCTACCACGTAACTGGTTGTTAAGATAAATTACCCTCTACAATTACAAAAATGAAATGAAACCCAAGACACTCGTATATCAAGGTACATTCTAGAGCTACTGACAAGGTAATCAAGGTGGCAGTATGTCTACGTCATATTCAAACAGTAAAGAATCTCTCAAGTCGGTTACAGGAACTGACCTTTCCATGCAAACTGTGCATTAGAGCGATCAGAGCAATATGATTTGTGATGAAAGATGCTCAGTTTTGGTGGCGGTATTAGCAAGTAAGCTTCTCCGTTCAAGTATCGGAGTACACTTCCCGAGGATAGCTTTGAAGCACTGGTGGCCATGCACCCACTCGATGGATCCTTCGATATTTGCTTTTGCATCATGTGAAGCTACCCCAATTCTGTCGAGATAAGCTGTCGAAGAAGTGCGAATGTCCCAGCCTCAATAAGCAACTGACAGTAACGCAGAGCAGCGTACCATAACATGGACATCTGCACCCCGCGCATTGCTTCCCGAAATCCATCCATGAGGCAATTTTCATAGTGTAGCTCTTTTCCAGTTCTGACCACTCTTTTTAGGATAGCCAAAAGCTCAAGAACCTTTGGTGCGGCTGTGATGAAGTCCTTTGAATCATTTCTTGCAACACCACTTGTGACATCCGCTACCACTGATACCAAGTTCCAGGAAGTTTCCAAAAAGCTGTCCATGGGCCCTCATTGTTTACGCCTCGCAGTGCTCCACGTGCATAGCTTGCTGCCTGTGCGAGACGGGGTTCACATGAATCGCATAGTTTGCTGAGTTTCTCGCGCCATGGGGCATGCAGCCCATAATGAGCCTACATCACTAGCCTTGGCGTCAAGAACAATGCTGATAGTGCTGAGCAGATGGTACTGCTTCTCAATCTAATTTTTAGCTACTTATTCCAAGGAACATTTAAGAGTATCTAGAAAGAGACAAGAAGAGACATTGAAAAACAAATTGCAGTAGAATTTTTGTAACGTTTTGAACATCTCGAACAAACTGGGTATTCACTAAACCAAGCCGAAGGCTAGTAGGAAACCCCCTTAAAAGCTGCAAATCAGCAACGGATAAAAATATAGCCTCCCATCTCGCAAGATACAGAATTCCACCATTCGTCTATATCACATCAAGTCCCACTCAAGCTTTTAAACATCATTAGGGAACACATGGGGGTTCTTAAGAGTCTTGGGAGTAGAGCGCGTCTTCTTTCCAATGAGATGGTCAAAGGCAGGCGAGTGCTCGACACGAGGACTCATATCCTTCAGATCCCACAAGTAACCAAGAGTCTTCAGTACCGAGGTAGCACTGTAAGCAGACGGCTTGCCAGTGGCAGGATCGGTACCGTATCCCTCAACGTGACCCTTGGGGGTATAAGGAGACAGCAACCAGGTAGGAATACGACCACCAAGACGATCGAAGCTGAAAGTGTACTGGCTGCCATCGTATGCCTTCTCGGTGTAGGTCTTGTTGTCGGGGCGGACGGCGAGAGGGGGCGCGACATGGTCATAGAATCCACCTGTCTCGTCGAAGGTGATAAGGAGAAGGGTCTTGTCCCATTGAGGGCCGGTGCGGACGGCGTCGTAGATCTGCTTTAGGAGGACTTCGCCGTAGGAGACGTTGCCGGAGGGGTGCATGGAGTTGGTGTTGGCACCGCAGCAGGAGGGGTTGATGTAGGACAGCTGGGGGAGGACGCCTAGGTAGGCGTCTTGGTAGAAGTTCTCGAGGGGGACGACGTTCTTCTTGGCGTTTTTGGCGGTCCAGTCGAAGAACATGGAATCGGGAAGGAAGGCGCCGTTGGTGCCGTCGTAGTTGAGCCATGAGATACCCTTCTCCGTGGCAGCCTCGAAGATGCTGGTGGTTGGGATGGCGGAGATATCGAAATCGTTGTCGTTCTTGCCGTGGCCATCGGTAACACCTGCGACCGCGCAGAGGCGGTTAGGGTTGGTGGGCTAGTTGATGGTTAGTCGGATGTATTTGGCTGGGTTAGGACATGGACAGTACTTACACCAGGGACACAGGAGTGCCAGTTGTTGAAGGTGGTAAACTCATCAACCATATCAACGATAGTGGGGATCTGGCTCTCGGTGTAGTATCCCATGACCTCATCGACTGCTCGTTGGGCAGAGATCTTGGGGTACTTGAGCATATGGCGGTTGGCAAAGCCCGACAGGTCGGCAGTCAAAGAGCCATTGGCGATGGCTTCATTGTCAGGGCTGTACTGGCCGTAGAGCTCAAAGTTGGTACCAGTGAGCGAGTGGTCAGGATCATTGAGAACGGAATCGTAGTTCTTGCTCTGAGTGGACCACTTCTTGCTGCTGGGGTTGCTGACCTCCTCCCGGTTGTAGAAGGGACCATTGTTGACGACATTGTCCAAGCCCTTCTTCTTGATACCACCCAGGATGTTGTCGAATCCACGATTCTCCAGAAGGATCCAGACAACATTCTCGATCTTGTCCTTCATGTTGGCAATGGACTCCTTCGAGCCGGACTTGTAGCCGAAGGGCTCGCTTGTGGGCTTGCTCTTCTCCACGGCCGCACCGATGGCGGCGCCGGATAAACTGAGCAAAGAAACGAGGGCGGTAGTCTTCATCGTGCCAGGAGATGATGTGGTAAAGAGAGTTGGACTGAAGTGAGGATGAAGATCATTTCCTCGGTCGTTGCAAGGCTTTTATATCTCTTTCCCTACGTGGAACGCGCCCTGGTAGCGATATTTGGTGCTTGAGTATGCAAGGCTGTTATTAGACGCCAGAACAAATGAAAGGTCGCCATCTCTGGCACATGTTCGGTCTGTGAGCGCTCAGCGGTCGATCAAAGGACCTAACAAACCCGTGTAGAATGTGGAGTTGGGGTCGGATGCTACCGGTCCAATGCTCAGAATCCCAACTGTCAATTTGCATGTCGACATTGGACGCGGAAAGATTCCTTAGGGCATTGGAAGTATAGGTGGGTCTCATATTACCTTGCAGAACCATGGTTAGCCCCGCAGGTACACCAATCAAATCATGCACTAATGCACTTTAATATATGCCAAGTCACCAATCACGCTTCATCATTTTCGCATGCTTTCAAATGATGAGTATGAAGACCATGTGGCTCCCTTATCCCATGTGCATCCTGCAGAGTTATCTCGGAGTGAGAAACGCACACTATGTAGAATCTCCTAAATGGGAAAATAACGGGAGAACGAGACATCCACATGAAACTGCACGTGGCATAGAAATGATAAAATAACCGAAGTTGCGAGAAAACATAGTGGAGAGCTTGAGATTAACGAGTCCAACCTATACCTAAGTGAAACCCCGAGAGAAGTACTCGGCCAACCCCTCAACGGACGGGCCCTCAAAAATCCCTGCAATATAGTGATCAGGTCGCAGCAAGTAGACGGCATTCCTAATCAGTCCAGCTCTGGCGTATTGGTCCTGCCAAAGGAATACAAAAATTTTCACACTCATCTTCCGGGCCCACTCTTCAAATTGCGGTAAAGACTCCCCATAGATATGGAGCTGCCAACAAATCCCTCGAAGGGTGGAAAAATTGTCCACCTGGTTGATTTCAACCCACGGGAGACGATCGCCGGGCTGTATGGTCCCTTGGCCAGGCTGACAAATACTGCTCCCCCTGTAGTTACAAATGAGCTGAGACCCGCCCCGGAAGATTCTCGTCCTGGCGAAATCAAACTTCAAAAGCAGTGGCACAAGATACGGAATCAGCCAGTTTCGAAGAATGTATGGGAAGAATCCTTTTGATGTCAATGTCGTAAAACCCGTGTCGGTAGACTTAACTATCATCATGGCGAAGGAGCGGCGTTCGGATTCATATGATTCCAACAGTTGGTGTTTTGCTTCTTCGGTCATGTTTGTCTGTTTGAGGACCGTCGCTAACTTCCACGCTAGGTTGATCGAGTCCATAATGCCTGTGTTCATACCCTGCCCACCAACTGGACTGTGGATGTGAGCCGCATCCCCAACAAGGAACGCCCGATTGCTGCGGAATCTGTCGGCTACACGGTGGTGGCTGCGGTAGGTAGAGAACCAGTTGACCTTTGTAATTTCCAGATCCATCGCTTGCATAATTTTGGGTCGAACGTCTTCGAACGTGATCTGGTGCTCATGCTCTGGTGATTCACGTGTGTCACCGTCATCCTTATCCGGGATCAGGATGCCAACCAATCGCGCATGGCCTGCTTTGTTGTAGGGGACCACCAGGTTGAAAGTGTCGTCCGTGATGACCAGGTTACCTTCGCCGTTGAAGAATCTCTCGCTTTTGCCTTCGATATCGGCGATGTAGAACAGCGGTTTGTATGTCTCGCCCTCGAATTTGGCACCGATCCCGTGGCGAACAGCCGAATGTGCTCCATCACACCCGACTATGTATGATGCCTCAAGTGTGGTTGAGGTCCCATCTGTCTCCCGGAACAGGGTAGCAGTGATGCTTGTCCCGTGGTCCACAAAGCCTTGCAACTTCGACCCTCGTTCAACATAGATGCCGATGTCGTTCAGTCGCTTTTCTAGCATTTTTTCGTGGTCGTCTTGTGGTGCAGTCAGCATGAAGGGATACGGAGTCAACTCGCGGCCGAAGTCTCGTAGCGAAATGTGTGCTTTGTGCTCTGTACCAATCCAGAGATTTGTCGCCGGCAGCTTGTACCCGAGCGCCAGCAAGTCTTCGGCCAATCCAAGCTGTCGATACAGCTCTACTATCCGTGCGTGAACGACTATCGCTCGTGAGTCTTTCGCCGGTGCCTCTGCCTGGTCGAAGATGTGGACATTGACACCTTGGTGGTGAAGCCACAGAGCAAGGACAAGGCCAGTTGGGCCTGCGCCGACAATGAGAACATCCGTTTTTGGTTTTAGCTTTGGAACCATCTTCGGAGTAAGGGTATGTAGGTTGAAGTGATTTATTAAGGGAAAAACCTCGTGATCAAAGGAGGATGGCAGGTAGGAAGTTGGTGATCATATATCCAAAATCTGCACCAAACAGAACTGACTTTAAATAAAAATTTTACCAAATACCATCGCCCTGTAAAAGAGATTTACCCCAAAAAGCCAACGTTGATCATCACTGGTCGGCTCTTTAGTGGCCGACCCCGAGAATTGGGGAGGCCAAGACATCTATACGGCATCGGAGCGTCGCGTGCCGATCGGCGCGAGGCTCTCCAGCGCACCCCGATGTTGGAGTATACTTGGATTCTTCGAATACGAGAATTTTTGTCACACCGTCTGATTTGCCACAAAGACTAGCGTGAGCACATTTCGAGTAATCGACAACGTCGAAAATAATGCTTGGCTCACGACAGATATGTTGCATCATCTGTAAAAGATCCTTGAAAGTTATTGAGAAGATTGTCCCATTGATTCCAATCCTTCGGGCTATCACCCAGCATCAAACCAAAGTTTTCAGCCTCTAGTCCAAAGTGTGAACTATAACGGTCTTGCCTGGGCTGATATTGTGGACTAGCATCACGCTCGGCAACTGTGGAGTTCTCATCTTCCTGTTGTGGGCTAGAAACCCCTGTTTCATTAGCTAGCAAGGATGCAACGATGGTTGGACATGGCGTTGGTGTGCGACGGTTGATGTTACACTCTTCAATGTACGCCCGCCAGGCCTTGACAATTAAATTTTGAATGGCCATGTGAAGAGGCGTTCGGTCATTCTTGCTCATCGCCTTGATATGCCCAGAGTACACATTTGCAATCAATTGCCAGACCTTGCTCTTCTCTTCGGAGTCAGTCCGGTGCCGCATCCCCGAGAGCATGAAAATTATAGCGTCCCACGGCATATGATTCACCATGTGCCACATGAATTTCCGTACAACTAGATTGTTTTGGGCGTAATCAGCATATTCTGTCATCTTGAGGGAATTCTCGAAGATGACGTTTTTCTCTGCTTGCGAGATGCGAATATTGGGATCCTGGTATTGACGAGGATGGTGTGCCATCAACCGGGTATAGTAGATAGCTGAACGCGCCATCATTGTCGTTGCCATGTGTAGCGGGATAGATGTATCGCAGTGTCGGAGGAATTTGTCTTCCATGTGTGCTTCAAGTTCATCAATTGCCTTGTCTTTATCCTTCAAGGGCATCGAGGATGATGATAAGAAGGTCCATGGCCCAGCATTAGAACCTTCAGCCTGATTTGACAAACGAAAGAGCCATTTTCCAAATGAACTCCGAGCCAGAACAAACATCATTTCTGTCGGTCCTAGCTTCTCGCAGGCTGGCTCGGTCATACGAGGATCGAGGTCACTATCATTCGCATTCATTGGTGGTTGGACATCAATTGTGGCTGGGAGCGGCGTTGATGCCACACCACAGAATTGCGCAGATGTGCCATCTATGACCATGAGCTGGAACCAAATACGACGGCGCATCTCAGTTTCGAATACTGAAAGTCCATGTGCAGACCCGTCACGGTGGATCCCAATTCGTTGCGCAATTCTAACTGCAATCCCACATAATGTCCAAATAGTATGTGGGTCGGAGAACGAACGCATGCAGAGCTACCGAAACATCGTTAAAATGGCTTAGATCTCATCACAGGAAGATAAACACACTAGGTATAGCATAAACGCCTGGAGAACCACGGAGCTTGATGTACGAAGAATCGATGCATTCTTGAAAGCGAGTTGGGCTCCTCGTCTGCACTTTGATAGGAGGGCTTTCTTGCTTTCTCCAAATGACCTTTCGGCATCTTCTGCGTGCAAGGAAACCAATGCTATGCAGTATATTGCAAACATCAATGCTTCGAACTCCCGGCTTACTTTTGGCAGATCACTCATGGCTTCCAAAATTTGTTGTTGCACAGTTGGAGCATGTATGATTTTGGTGAGTGGGTTCACATTCTCGAGAAACGCCTGCCACAACTTGAAAATATTCAGAGGGCTCGGGTGGAGCTCTGTAAGAACATCTCTTGTTGCAGATGTCGATAGTATCGCATAATCGTCGCTCACATTCTGGGCAAAGTTATCGGTATCATTATCCGATCTATCGCCCAATACGTCTGCTGCATTTGGAAGCTAGAAAAGATGGTCAGAATTGTAGTAATTGTAGTACAAGGGGGCCAAAAAACACCAACCTCATTGCTGACAGTCGTCCAAAGATTGCTGATGTGCACGTCAGAACTCCGACATTAGACCAATTACAGCGCAACTCACTTGTCGAGATAGATGGAATTGCCACCTTTCGTGATCATCCTCCCAGATCCACTTTTCCTTGTTTCAGTCCATTGCTCTTCCTCGGCATTGTGATTCTGAGTGGCAGATGGATCTCCATCGAATCCAGTGCTGCGTCTAGAATATTTCCCGCGTTCTCGAGATACACTCTCAGTGGTTTCTCGATCCCTTTTGCGACGACGAGGAGGTAGTGGAGCACGATAGATGCACTCCACATTCGCCTTGGCGCAATTTGAACAGGGGGTACAGGGATCTTGTCTATCGCATTTGACCTTCCGGTTGTGACAGACCACGCATGCAAATGATGCAGGTTGTTTTGATGGCGAGTCTGTTGCCCGACCACCATTCAAGGAGCCGCTCATGCTAGCTAGTGCTGCAGCGCACTCTCTAAAAAACAATGTAGCTAGGTATAAATGGCTGGCATGCTAATCAACTTAATGACATTAAGAAGAGCAAACGACACGGATCGGAGAGGCGGTGCCGTGATACTTGTCGGAGTAATCGGTATTGTAATGCTCTGTATTTCTGTATCGACTCTGCTGGCAATTTATAGTTACCTAGTTACCTAACTAGGTATGGAGCCTGGATTACAAAACATAAATTACCGGTACACTAGCGTCACTGCGCCGACAATACTTTTATGCCTTGAATGTTAGGCAAATATCAAGCACCCACTCCACCGACATCACAACAATCTCGGTTGTTTCAAAACTCTGTTGCTTAATTTCAGGGCAGATGCCCTTAGGTAAATTCAGCGAACTCATACACCTTCGCCCAAAGTACGGAGTATCAGACTGGTTGTGTAATGATTTGGTCCCATCGCTGTGTCTACAGTTGGGATTCCATCTGAGTCTTTCTATCTCTTTCTACCATGCATTTGTCTTATTTACGAGTTATTTCATGGCAACATTCCAAAATTACCGGCCAAACCTTAGATATTTCAGGTGGTTCACCAAATGTATGAACCATGATGCATTTTCTCGATCGAGTCCGAACAGTCCTTCGGAGAGGCAAACGGGGCTCAATGTCGGCTGTGGCTACATCTTCAGGATGGAAACGACTCCCATCTCATATCTTTGTTATGATCCTAGCCTCCTGTGAACTGAAGGATATCGGTTCCTTGTCTCTTTCCTGTCGAATACTCCACAACCGGATTTCGAATCTGGAATTTGCCATAGCATGGGCATATATCCAACTCCGGAAACAGGCGCATCATCAAAGAAATTGCATTACTGGCACACTCTCACCGGGTGATGACGTTTCGTTCATCTCTGAGCTATTCCCTCCCCCGCCTCCTGAGTATAGCATAGGTGTGGCTCATGGCAACGCCGGATATTCCCTAGGATATCTCGGTGAGTTGAATCGATGCTGGAATACTTGCATTCGACTCAGCTACCACCTGGCTTATCATGTGCTTGAACATCATCTGGAGACCGATCCACTTGTCCAACCTTTGTGGTCCTCTTCCAAGACAGAGAAAGAAGTTGTCTTCAGTAAAGCCATGGCTGCGCTCCAGGCCAAGCTTTTGTATCCGATGTATGGCCCCACTTGTTATTTCTCTTAGAATCGTACTGACTCGAACATAGAGCCTACGCGGTATTCTTCTTGGAATCATCCGCATCTCCTGGCTCTGACTCTGATGACTCGGGTCATCACAACAGCATGACGGTTGCTTCTTCTAAAAGACAACAAAAAATTCTTCAAAATGCGCCTTTTGACGATATGCATGTATTTATGTCCACCCATCACTGCATGCAGCTTCTATTTTCGACCGTCCAGCGCTTGATGGGCCCGGAAATTTCTCATTCCACCGCCGAAAGCTGGGTTAGTCTCCTTCTCACTACTTCTACTATGGAGAGGATCGTTAGCTTCTTTGTTTCTATTGCGAAGGATGACCAAAGAAACCAAAAGGGCGAACATGATTCTACGTGGTCTCATAGAAAGGAGTTTCTGTGGGGCATGCGACAGGATTTGAAGGATTACATGGCGTCTTTCGGTGATAATGGCGAACAAAACCTCGAGCCAAAGCTTAACCATGTGTGGTTTCAAGCAGCATGCACAGAGATGAACCGACGAGGGGCTATTCCGCATACTGTTGACGATACAGAATTACCCGTTCTCCATGGGTCTGTTGTAAAATTGGGATGTGAATACTGTTATGATTGTTACGATAAATGAGATCCCAATGCAATTAATTATTCGGCAATAAGTTGTAATTTCTACGAATGTTACTAATCAAGCTACTTTTGAATCTTCAATTCAAATACCTGTAGGACATGTTAGTAAATGAAACGTCAACAACCTTGTGTACATGAGGCTCCGCGCTAAACCGCTTCCGCTCGGTTCTCGGCAGTTCGGGCGTGCCGAGCACACAACCCCAGACTTCAACCAGACTCCTTCTTCCCCTGTACTAGTACCTGACTAATATGGCTTTGATTCCGAAGTTCCGTTAGAAATTCCGAAGCCAACATGTCTGCGGTAAGTCTGTCTGAATAACGGCATTGCGAACGGCATAGGCTGTCCCCGAAACATCTATGTAGCCCAACTGATCCCTCACCAGTGCGATCTATGTCATACTCGGAAGGTATAATTATTTGTTTCCCACATTTGATCCTTTGATATCTCGATGCTCATCTCAAGTCATTTTAGGTGAAATGCGATCGCCAGGATCCTTGCATGAACTGCACCGACGCAGGCGCAGACTGTCTTCGCAATCGCCAGGCACGAGTTCATAGACCGCGGGTTTCTCGGTACGTGTAATTGACGTTATACATCTTCAGAATAAACATCTGACATTTCCAAGCTTGGAAACATTGACCCAAAGATTAGCGAAGCTGGAAGAGTCAAGAAATAGAGAGGCAACATACTTTCCAACAAGTCATCACGCCGCTAGCAGCACATCTTCGTCGCCTTCGGCCAACTTCACAGGTATTACCGAGGTTCTAAGCGACAAACAAAAGCGATATCGAGCACATGACCTCCATGATACAGCTCCTCTGCAGCCACCACTAAGCAAGTATCGCAAATCTCAGACTGTGTCACAACAAAATGTTCACCAAGCACATTCTCCTGGCTCAACACACCATGCCAGTGAGGCTAGAGAATATATCGAGCATGAACTACAATGTAACCCGGCTCTGTCAAAAGATAGACGCACTGCACTTAAATCAGCGCGCAAGTTCGTCGGTCAGCTATCTAATCCGACTCTGCATTGGGAGGAGACTGCGGCTGTGCATGACATGGACGTTCAAGAGAACCTACAACCTCCTACTCTCACTCCGGAATTGCTCTACATGATGCTACCTGGTAAGTCACCTAGGATGGGGCAGATGTCAGTGATACTGATCATTATAGGACCCGATAAGAAAACAAACTCCCAAGGAATAATTAACTGGCCTGATCACATCTCCGACAAGGTTCTAGAGCAAATGGGGCTTGCAATTATCGAAAACACAGAATGTGAACAAGTGCTCCAGCATTACCGAATCAATGTCTGGGTAAAAGCCATGGGTTGTATATCAAAAATGGCCCCTCTGGTTCCAAGCAAGCCTTTAAGGGATCATTTCCGCTCACTGAAAAAGAGGTATGAAGCCGCTGCCATCGAAATTTTGAATCAAATTCCGCTGGCAGCTGAACCTAGCCTTCTTTTGCTTCAATCGATTATGTCTGGAGTATGTTTCCTGTCTCTTCGTGCGGCTCCATATATATATCCTCGTTTCTGACTCACGGCAGACCCGTTTGATGCAATATTTAGGAAATATGACACGCTGTTGGATGTTAACAGCACTAGCCTCGAGGATGGTTGTTTCCTTGAATTACCACAACATCACAGATACCAGTCCTCGAACTGAGATAGAGGAAAACATCCATGCTTGTGTGCACACATGCTATTACTTTGACAAATCTCTGAGCCTTCTGCTCCTCCGACCACCATCTCTACCGGATCTGAAAGTTAGACCAACACAGTTAATCCACGTCGACCCTGATCTGCCAACATCTACCATGTTAACAGGCATAGTCGAGTATTCAGAGTTGAAGAGTGCTCTACTGAGCATCTTGCTTGATACCAAGACAATAGGAGACACGGAGAAGGCAAATACACTGTCAGATCTTGTGGCACGGGCACACACAATCCACTCCAATATGCAAATGGTAAGAGGGCGAGAGAACCAAATCTTCTAGGAAATACCTGCTGACTGGACTTCCAGTTTCGTCGTCGCCAAGAACAGCAATTCCCACAATCATGGAGCTATCTCCGGCGCGAATGGCTGTCAATGGACTTCAACTACTACTCTGTTCTTACGACAATCATCCAAGCCCGTTCCTCTGTACTCAAATCCCGCTTGGTCTGCGAGAACTGTCTATACACAGCCAGGGAATCACTCACCACTCTCCGAGCTTTACAGGAAGCATTCTCGAACCGCATCAATTCTATTGACTCATATCCATACTTTCTTACCTGGTACGATATAGCCTTCTCAAAGCCATCTCTCAACAACCTGTACAGTCAAAGCTAATGACCCCTTCAACAGGACAATGCTGCTATTCCCGCTAGCACCGTTCTTTGTCCTGTTTTGCAATGTGATCGCAACCTCAAACGAGAGAGACTTCAATATGATCAAGAATATCACCGACGACCTACATCAATTCGCAGAAGCGAATGTCTCAATTGGGAAGCTGTACAAGCTATTCTCCAAATTTCTAGACCTGTGTGCGCCTTTGGTGAAAGGCAATCCTGAATCTTCCCGTTCAGAACAGCCAGTAGCTGCACTCTCTGATGCGAACACGGCTGGGAACACCGAGGGCCAGACTACTTCCTACACGGATATATTTGGCCGTGCTGCCGATCAGCCATTAGTCGGTGTTCGGGATACAGATTCCACTGGAGACACTACTGCACCACTGTCTGTAGAAGGATGGAATGACAGTCTTGTGTGGGAACTGTTCGATAATCAGCCCTCGTTGGGGTGGGCGGAGTCAGAACTATGGAATGTCATGACGCAGTTTGATGCATGAGATACATGTAAATAGAATGACAATACTCGCTTTGAGGTGTTTCTAGAATTGATTCATGGTTATCCCATGATCTCGGTTGATTGGATTTAAATGGTACAAGAGGTGTATTTACGCAGGTGACTCTGAAGGACACAGTCCCAAGCAACAAAGAGCAAAGAGCAAACAAGAAAAATGAAAATGAAGACAAAGAGCGTGATGGGTTCGACATCCCAGAGTTTAGCCAGGGAGTTAAAAATAAAAAACAGGAATGCTCAGTGAGTGCTGACATGTAGAAGGGCCATGATTTGTCGAAAAACACGGGCCAGGTATTATAATACAGTATGAAAGGAAAAGGGGCGGATCTCATGTCTATCACGAAATCAAGACCCAGAGAAGGAAGAAGATCTATAATGGTCATTAGTTGGACATGCAGACAAGAAATTCAAGATGAGTGAACGTACCATCAGAATACCGAACATTTTGGCAACTAGCCAGCGATTGCCAGACACACGCGTCCAATACTTCATTAGTTCTCTCTGCGCCCCCTGGACGTTGTCGACCACATCTTCGGTATTGGCATCTATGCGCTGGATCATTTCTGACTGTTCGCTGACCATCTGAGCCAGCTGACCAAAAATGCCACCTAATTCACTAATAGTTCGCTCAATAGCTTCGATGGCTTCGCCTCGAGCTTGAACATATGTGTTACTCGATTCTCCTTCTTCCATTATCATCATCTGTTGGTCCGATTGGAATGACGGACGTCCTAAGGGCGAAGGGTTGGAGGGTTCGAGAGTCAAAAGGTCGGAGGAGTTGCCTTGATATCCGGGCTGAGGAGTCCGTCGTCCAGAGGTGTTATACAGAGGCGAGTCTGAGCGTTGTGCGTCGAGGGCATTGTGTGATTTGGAAGATACCGAGGAAACGAAATTCTCGGTTCGTGTTCGGGATGCTTGAATATTCTTCGTGCGGACTTCAAGCACCTCTTTGAAACTAGCACCTACATCGGCCAGCTTTCCCTGCAGCATAACAACAACCTGAAATCCGGTAATCAGCGAACTGTCCGTACGCTGCCTTTCATGTCTCACTCACATTGTCATTATGCTCTCCTTCCTGGTCTGTCTTCGAGCGATTCGATTTGGGGTGTTGCGCATGGGTGAGCGCCTGCAGCCCGGCGATGCTTTGGTTCAGGGCGGCAAGGTCTTGCTTAATCACATATGTCAATTCGGAAATTTCGACAGGTCGGTCATCAAAGAGTGTTTTCCGTTTCGCCACTATTTCCTGGTCAGATTGCTAGTATTTTGAGCGATGTGATCAGACTCACATTCAGCCAATCGCTGCAATTTTGCCATTGTTCCAGTAATCCCCCTTCCGATATCTCGCGCCCGTCGCGCGAATTCCGATCTCGCCGCCTTCGCCTCCTGTGCAGCACCCTGCGGTGACGCACTGGCTTGTCGCCTTTGCGCATCGGTCAACAGTGCCTGGCGCTGTGAACCGACTTTCGATGTCCCCAGGCGCTTCTGGGCCTGGCCCAAGATAGCGCTGAACTCGCTGGTCCGATCTTGTATCGACGGGCCGGTCATTTTGCGATACGGAAGGTATGTGAAGGGAAGCTATGAGACGAGTAGCTATAGTCTTTCAAGGAGCGCCAGTATTGAGAAACAAATGTAGATTAACGAAGGCCGAATCCGGTGAAACTGAAGTGTGATCTATCTGCAATCGATAAGGGGGCCAGATGAAGACGTGTCCGGTTGCAGGTAACTCCAAGGGTACAACGTCGTGACTTGAACAAATGAAAATATACTCCGATACACTTCAAGAAGATGAAGAAAGGTCAACTTCAAGTTGATCTAATTAAACGTCCTTAAAGAAACGTGTTACATAAGCCCCGCACCGCCTGGACTAATTTTAGTTTGACCTCAGGGGAGTTCTCCATGAAGTACGCGAGTACAAAGTAAAGCTTTCTATTTTCTATTTCTCTTTGATATAGTTGAATATTCTTGTATTCTTTTGTGGATACACGTCATTCTTGTACACTAATCTCGCTACTTCCGAGGTCCAATTATCTCATTTGATCGGTGCCTTGCCCGAAGTTGGGCCAAGCCGCCACAGTCGTCCTCCCATATACACCATCATTAAGGGTGTTGTTCACCTTATTTAACCCTTACTTGCACTTGCTATTCTACAAACTCGGAGATCACTAGGCAGTCGAGGCCAGTAATCGAGCTCGCCTCAATCCCTTGACCCTGCTCTCCTGATGGCAGACCCCACCCCGCATGGTCGCGGAGTCCAGAAACTGTAAGACTATCCAGATTCAATATATCTAGTTGCACGAATACTGAGACTCGGCTTTAGTCCTTCCCTGCAGAATGTTCGCAGTCCACTCTCGCCAGGCAGCGGTAGCGGAACCCCGATCTCATTCCAAACAAACGTGAATCGCTCCAAAACAAAACGTTGGGTGGAAGCGAAGCAATATTCTTATGATGGAGGTGACTGGGGTAGCGATGACGACGAAGAAGAAGAGGAGGAGGCGCCTCCCGCAGTACCTCGGCCTCCCTATGCCACCCACAACACTGGCAGTTCGTCCGAGTTATCCTCGAGGCGTTTGTCTGGGATCGGATTCGGAGCCGGTGAGTCGCATCCGGCTGATGCCCAGGGTAGGAACCTAAGTGGAGGAGACCAGAAGGCCCTACCTTTTGTGAGGCCGGCCGACCTCTATAAACGCATGCGCGAGGAGAAAGCGACACAGCAGTCTCCTATCACTGGTATCAATGATCCCAAGCCTGACGCGTTTGGAGCTCCGCCTCCAACAAACCAACAGGAACCTGATTTGGGTCTACCGGAAGTCAAGCGCATGTCTAGCTTTGGTACCGATTTCTTGGGTGGTGCAGACTCCCACCCGCCACAGGATAGCCCTGCATCTCAGGAGTCCTCTTTGAACCATAAATCCTCGTCGGGATTCCGATCGGTAGTGAATCAGGCCTTCGATGTCCCAGAAACTCCGCAATCCACTACCACTAGTTTCGCGCGGTCGAACAGCGATGGTACTTCGACCATCAGTCCTATCATGGGCTCTCGTACTATGACTGATGAAAGAACACCCACCATTCTCGAGGAACCCAATGAGTCAACCTCCCCGAAGGCAACTGCGAATGCGGTCCCAGCGCTTAACCCTGGTCACCGCCGGGACCTGAGCCTTCCTAGTTCGGACAACAGTCCTTCGAAAAAGCCTCAAATCACAGACCAGGACACTCCAACGGCGGGCCATGCGGAATTTTCCTCCATTCCTCCACTTCAGAGTTTGTCACCAGAGTCGTCTGATGCGGCAATCTCTCCTCAGAACCCGATGCAACCATACGCGAACAAGGGGCAGGATATGCCCGCCCCTCTCAAATTCGGAAGCGCATCGGGCCCTGACGCCTTCCATGGCGAAATCCCCGCCATCATGGGAGCCGAAGAATCGCCACAGAATACCGACAACGATCGCTTGAGGGAGGAGATTATCCGATCATTAAGTCGGGAAGCCACCCCCTCGGAAGACCCAGAGCCCAGCAAGCAATCTCAGTCGCAGGCACCCGCTGAGTCCATCGTTTCTGACAGCCGCCCAGACTGGATTGGCCCGCCTCCTTTGCCGTCTAGGGACCCTTATGCGAACAGCCAAGGCGCGACTGGCAACTCTTCATCCACGGTCGGCGATCAACCAAAGAAGCCCAAGTTAGAAAGACGGTTCTCATGGGAATCCTCTGACGAGGAAGAACCAGAGCCGCCTCAAATGCCCGGGGGCTATTCATCGCCCCCTCCTTTGGCCACATCGTTATCTACGCAAGAGCCTGAGCCTATACATGAAACGCCTGTAAATGAGGCGCCTGTACGTGAAGCGCCTGCACATGAAGCGTCTGTACGTGAAGCGCCTGTACATGAAGCGCCTGTACATGAAGCGCCTGTACATGAAGCGCCTGTACATGAAGCGCCTGTACATGAAGCGCCTGCTCCATTGGTGTCGGATGTGCCGCACGACTCGTTTACTTCTGATGAGGAAGGGTCCGATACCCAGCGTGCTGTGGCCAAGCCTCGACTTTCGATTGTTCCACCTATCCCGGAGAACACTACACCACCGGAGCAAGTTATGGGACCAGGGGTTACGCCTCCCACACTACCTCCGCGAGCTCAAGTACCTTCTAACGCCGGCAGCTCATCCCTCGATCAGTCTCAGCTTTTAGGCTTCCGTGATATTCTCGGTATCACATCTATCAACCAGCGTATCAAGTCCTTCGAACACACCCGCGACCAGTTCGCCACCATCGACACTGGTTTGAATCATTGGCTTCAGTTCATGGTTCATGAGCATCCTGAGCATGCCAGCGTGGTGCAACAGACCCAGAGTTTCTCCCCTACTGTGCCACCATCAGATGCCTCCCGCAGCAGATTCCCCAAGTTAGGTGCTCTTGGGAGTCTCGGCTCCTTGAATGACGGTACTCCGACTAGCTCCACTCATATCAGACGCCCATCGGCCCATCTAGGCACCGTGATGAACAAGGAGAAAGTCGGAGAAAAAGGAAAGGAGCTGCTCCACACTGCGGGAGCGTTTAGTGGCAAGGCAACTGGGGCAGCCAAGGGGCTATTTGCCAAGGGCAGAAGCAGGTTTCGACCCAGTGGAGGGTCTGAGAAGGTAGATGCTTGATTTTTCTTCTTCGGAGCGAGTTTTCTTTTTACTTGGATAAGCACGGTGGAAGCCGTTGCTCTAATGTTTCCCCTTTAATATCGCTGCATTACTTCATTTTGGATACCACGATGTAATTCCGAGCACTTTTTTTTTGGTAATGAGCTCTAGAATGCGACACGATTGATGCTTCTGCTCTTTCTCTACAATCTAACACCCCGTCCTTATATTTGTTTATATTCTGATGTTGGTAATACTGTAGGTTCAGTCAACCCCAAATGCTTCTCGCCGCAGCTTCCAGTTTTCCTTCCCTTCGGGGTCGGGTGAAGTGCCTGGTAACTCTTCTCAACGAAACTCTGTCAGCTTAGGCAGTCTTCCCATCTTCAAATCTGAGCGAACCGGGCCCAAATCCGATACTGATCCACCGGTGAGTCTCTGTCTAGATGGTCCAGAGTGTGAAAACAATGCCGATAAACGTGTCAAGGCGACCAACTCGGGGAACAACTCCCTGTCGCACAACCATGTTGGCGGAACAACTGTGGAACTGCCATCTTCCAACGGCATCCCTCGTAAACCTGAAGTTCCAGGAAAGTCTGCCTTTGCTGGAGACCTCGAGCAGGAGATGATAGCTGCCCTTGGCCTTTCACCCACAGATCCTCCTCATCCTCAGAGGTCTGCAAGTACCCCGATGGTGCCGGATACATTTAGCCAGGTACCTGGCAGCGAACGCCAATTCACAGAGCCACTGCCACAACAAGAAAGCACGACTGGCGATCAATTTGACGCGAAAGCGCCAGCCATCAAAGCCCCAGTCGCAGAAAATAGCATGCCGGTAATTCCTGATGAGCCTTTCCACGTCCCTTTGCCGGTTACGAACAACCAGAGGCATCGGCTAAGCAAGTCTACACCGGAGATTGTTATTCCGTCAATCCGTCCAGTGTTTGATGAAATCCCTCGGCCGCCTTCATCTCCCCCTCCACCTCCTCCCAAGGATAATGATTATGGGCTTGCGCCTAAGCAGGATCATAGGCGCCAGCCCTCTATCTCAACACTCGGGGCTGATGAGCAAGCCGGGAGTACATCTGATGACGAACTCGACAGACATCCGCCCTCTCCTATGCAAGAAACAGCAAACGAGGCAGCACCCGAACGATGGTGTAATAACAAGGCTGAGCATTCTGTGGATAAAGCCCACGATGACTCCCTGCCATCTGCTCAAGAGAAAAGAAAGTCCTTCATACCTTTCTATCCGTCACCGTTCACAAGCTCTGCTGAGGTCCTCGAGTCGAAAAGAAAATCCATCAGTGGTCTACCTCCATCTGCTCCAGACGTGCATAGCCCCTTGAGGAATGAAGTCAGATACTCGCCGGGGACCCGAAGCAGTATGCTGAGCTTTGGTAGCTTCGGAAAGCAGAGCGCCAACGGCAAAGGGACTCGCCCGTCTACGCCTGCTAATGATCTTCAACCTTCGGAATCTGGATCGCCTGCGGAGAATGGAGATTCTGCTATTGGGAAACTCAAGAACTTTGGGAGACGACGACGCGCTTCGGTGGGAGATCTCCTTTCTGGTATTCAACTGCAACAGCCTCAGGGGCCCCCGGAAGGCCAGCGAAAACGAGCACTCAGCAGAATTAGTGTATGTCGACTCTGGACAGGTCTTTCGATTATTTTTTCTGACTTAAATAGGGACTGTTTGGCCGACAAGGCTCTCAAGACACTGAGAGAAAATCGACCGACCACGCCAGAACTACCTCGGAACAGCTACAGGACCAATATCTGTCAGCACCCTCGTCGACAAATGGAAATTTAAATACTAGTTTCGCTTCACATGATGAACCATCAGTCCTCAGCGATCCGTTTGAACAGAAGCCTTTGCCAACTCAGCCTCCCAAGCCTACGGCACCTCCTCCACCACCACCACCACCACCGAGCGATGCAAACCTTCTACCCCGCGATAATTGCCAACGTGCCGGTATCTCACTTCCAACCAGTTTGTCATCTAACTCCCTGGCGACTGGTCGGTTTTACTCGCAATTTCAGTCTGGATCCACGAATGAAACCCCCACCAGCTCTCGCCATGCTAGCACGCTCAGTCAGCCTCCCCCAGGTCATTCCCGGTCACCATCTCCCATGTCATTGCACGAGAATCGAGCTGCACTTGCACTGTCACCGCTAGGGGAGCTAGAAGACCATCGGATACAGCAACTGCAGGCAGAGGGGCAGCGCAAGCAAGAACCCCTGCAAGACCAAACCCTGCAACTAGGCACCTTGAGCGAGAATCAGGAACAAGAGAAGCACGAGGAACATAAGGATAGTTTGCATGGGGAGCGCCTTCGACACGAACTATATGGGGAGATACTCGAGGCTCCGACTAACAACCAAAACCACCCGGGCCAGCAATACGAATTACAAGGCGATCTCAAACAACAAAGTCTGGCTCCTCAGCTCAGCATTCGATCACGAAAGCCAGTGTTTTCAGACACGATATCCCCAGCCTCGGAGAACCATGCACCACGTTATACCGCCGTCTCAAATGCTCCCGTGATATCCACGCATCCTCATCGCAGTGAAGACAAGGCCCGTGTAGTCAATGACTCGCCTCGGCCGGTGGAACTTGCCATCACCGCGGACGACTCCAGCGAGGAGATCGTCATGTCCCCCACGTCCTACCCCGGACAGGAGTGGACGCCCATGCATTTGTAGCATGTTTTATTAGAGCGTGTATAATACCCACTGTCCCTTTCGCGGTATTCTTTCGATCCCGTCAGTTGTATTTGTATCCTTTTTTTTTGTACTGCAGGAATGTGTATCCTAATGTTTGAATATTTGTTCTCTTCTCATATATTCATGTTCATCGTGTATGATCTCAAGATCTCTGTCCGATGCCATTGCCTAACAGAAAATCAATATACTAAAGATATGTAGGTTGAATTCTCACAAGTCCTACAAATCCAATAGATTGCAGTCGGATGTTCGGAGATTCGAGATAGGCAATAAGTACTGTGTGATAACGAATTCCCCACGATATAAGATCAGGCATAGCCAGAAAAGGCTCGATTCTCATTTCATCCACCATGAACCCTGACGAGCCCCCTATCATAGATTTCGCTCGTAAGAACCTCTACCACCTACTTTACTAATACTAACCCTCTCAACAGCCTTCTACGCCAACAACTCAAAAGATCTCATCGACCAAGTCAAACAAGCATGTGAACAATTCGGCTTCTTCCAGCTAATCAACCATGCCATCCCAACCGAACTCCAAACCGCAGTTCTAAAACACTCCAGCGAATTCTTCAACCTCCCCTTGGAAACAAAAGAGAAATACAACCAAGGTAATAAAGCCCTCTCTCTCATACCCCATCAAATACCTCGAAAGAAATACATAACTAACCCCCAAAGCCACCGGCGGCTTCAACCGCGGATACGAGCGCCTCCGCTCTCAAAATTTCGAAAAGCGCACAAAAGGCGACCTCAAAGAAGGCTTCTATCTCGGAAAAGACCTCCCCCTCGACAATGAATACGTACTCCAACGACGTTTCGGCCACGGACCGAACAAGTATCCCTCCGAGCTCACAGACGCCCAGGGCTTCCGTCGCGTCATGGACAAGTACCACGACGCCATGATCGAGCTTTCTGTGGCCATTATGCAAGTCCTAGCCCGCACGCTGGGTCTAGATAGTGATGCTTTTGGGGATTTCTGTGATCATCCCGTCTCCATTCTTCGACTGCTTCGTTATCCCCCTCAGGAGGTCGATGCGTTGGGTCTTGAGAGAGGTGAGTCAGGAAATCAGAAAACTTGTAGAATGCGTCGACACGAACTAAACCGAGTCTAGGAATTGGCGCTCATACGGATTTCGGCGCTATCACGATGCTTCTACAGGATGATACGGGCGGGTTGCAGGTTTGGAATAACCTCTCTTCTGAATGGGTCGATGTCACTCCGGTTCCTGGGGCTTATGTTGTCAATTTGGGGAATATGATGATGCGCTGGACGAATAATCGATACTTGTCGAATTTGCATCGCGTTATTAATATCAGTGGGAAGGAGCGCTTTAGTGTTCCGTTCTTCTTCTCTGGGAATCCAAATTATACTATCCAGTGTCTTCCTGGTTGTGAGGATCCAGAAGAGGGTGCACGATATCCCCCAATTACCGTTCATGAGTGGATGGCAGGGAGATATGCTGATACTTATGGGTCTTCGAATGGGAAGGCTATTGGGGAGATGCGCAAGGAGCCTGGCAAAGATGTGTGATGTGTGATATGGAGTATAAAGAGTGAAGCAGTGCGTTCGTATAAGAATCTCACCAACGCTGTGTCTCAATTCCCCTTAACAACCCCCCAATCAACCCACTTCGTATCTCCAAAAACCTTCTGCGGAGTACTATACATCTCATATCCCTCCCACCCAAGAACATCAGTAACACCACCCTCGACACGAGCAGTCTCGTTAACCCCAGGCCCGTAAACCCGATACTCCGCCATAAGCGTAACCCCCTCCTCGAACCTCCCAACACCATCAACAACCCAATCGATATACCCGCGCGGATCAACACTCCCGTCCTCATACGAACGCGCAAAGATCGACCGGTGCTGACTATTCCACGGCCGACCGAGCGCACACGCGCCCTTGATATCCGCCGCGACGGAGACGTTCGCAGCCCGCACGCTCGATTCAACAATGTACACGCCGTACGTGTTGGGCGTTGTAGTGTTGGTTCCTTTCCAGGCTGTGATGCCGCCACCACATCCGCGGAGCTGGAGGGCGCTGGATTGAATCCAGGCTGTGCCGAAGCCGTAGAGGAAGTCGGTTTGGCCGGCTAGGATGCTTTGGTAGAAGTAGGCGTTGCCGAGTTTGCCTATGTAGACCTGTGTATGGGTTAGTGGTTGATTGGTTGGTTGGGTGTGAGATTGTGAAATTTATCTCGAATGAAACTGAAAGCATAGCATGGAATAACATACTGTATCCTGATACGAATAGAACCCACAGTAATAGAATCCCCCATTAGCACGACTGAAACTCAACGCATGCGCTGGCCCATCCGAGTACTCTGCCCAAGTATTATCAAAGTCGACATTATACACGCGGAAATCCTTATTTCCGAACGGCGTATCATCCGGCACCGGATACCCCGTCGGACCTGCGCCGGTGAGACTTGCCTCGAGCGTGGGTGCTACGACCAGGACGCTGGAGAAGACATTGTCGACGCTGCCGGTACTGTCCCTATTTCCAGCGGCCCAGGTGATGCGCACGCGGTTTCGGGATGCATCTTTTGGGGAGGATGTTTGGCCGAGGAGGGTTATTGGACCTGAGCGGGTTATGTTTACTTGCTCGATGTATGTGCCTTCTAGGATGAGGATGGTCTGTGGAGTAGTGTCGTCCGGGAGGGAGTCTATGGCGGATTGGACGGTTTGGTGAGAGGCGTGTTTGGAGGTTTGGCTGACGACTAGGGTTCCTCGGGGACAGTGAGTTCCGGTTGATTGGCAGGTTTCTCTAGAGATGGGTTGGATGGCTGTTGTGTTGGCACCTATGGTGTGAAGGAGGAGAGCCAGCAGAGAGAGGATGCAGGGGAGCATTGTGCTTTTCGGGTGATTGAATCACTTCCGATTGACACGGTCTATGGTGGTTTTGCTATACTTTTATAGGACATTGGGAGAGGGGCGCGAATTGAAGGCACAGTGAGTTGCGGCAGCGGAAAATTGAGAGTTCCATCTTGATCAAAGACTAGTCTAGTGCCAAGATAGGTTAAGATCCGGGGGAAATATAGATAGTTGAATGCAATGCGGTATTTTCTCTCTACACTTCATGCATAAGGAAGAGATGGGGTATCTCACGGGCGAAGCTTGTCTCCACGAAGTGGGAATTCATCCGGGGGAAAAAGTATGGGGACGGAGAATTGACTTCCACCTGTGAGCGTTAAGACATTAGGCAAGAGACAGGGGTACGCAAGAGTAGAAGACCGAAGACTCCAAAGACTAGAATGTTACAATGTTACGTATGGAAGAAGTTACAAAGGACAGAAATGATTAGAATCCCTTAGATTGACTAAGTGCCACTATTAACGACATACATACACGTAGAGAATGAAAACATGACTCTAGTAACTCGAAAGGAAACCACAGCCAAGGGGTAAATGAAACACACAAAGTCTATAATACGGGTAAAAGGAAGAAAAAAAAGACAGAACATGGCCTTTTTGACTCCCACGGCATGCATGTTCAAGTAGGTGGCACGGCAAAATTGCGTGTAAGCACAGGGAGATAAAAGAAATTAGACCTCGAATCAGTAACGAGTCGCAAAAAAGCTAAACGAGCATTTACTCGTCGTCCTCGATCTCCTCGGCGCGAGCACCGAGAGTGTAACGAGTCTTGCCTTCCGAGTCGTGCTCCATTTCGATGGCGAGCTTGGAAAGGTGAGCAATCATGTTCTCGATCTTGGTATCGGCCTTGGAGCGGGTCTTGCGGCCAAGGTTGTCAAGAGCGGGGACGATGGTCAGGAGGTAGTACACAACGGCGATGATGACAGTCACACCGATGGAGTAGGCCCAGATGACAACGACGGTGACAATGTCGACATCGTTGTTCTTGGAGAAGTTGGGGCCAGCGGCGTCACGGGGAGAGGTCTGCTCCCAGTCGGGTGCGAGCCAGCCGAAGACACAGAACAAGGTGGCGAGGACATCGACGATGAAGATGGCAATAACCAACTGCCACGAGGGCCAGGTCTTTCCACCACGGGTAACAAAGATGAGCCAGTTCTCAGTCAGAGCAATCTCGAGGAAGAGAATCTCCTGGGGAGAACCGAAGTTCTGGATGATACCACCGTTCTCGAGGAAGAGAGTACCACGGATGATCCAGGTAGCGGCAGCGAGCATGATTCCGAGAATGACGGAGATAACCCAGATCTTGGGCAACTGCCACTCGACGGGGCGGGCTTCGAAGTGAGCGTTATCGTAGGCAACAGCGATGGTGGCAAGATCAGCGAACAAGGCGATGAAGACAATGAGGGCAGAGTCGACAGTCTCGTTGATGATGATCATAGAAGTAACCAGGTAGATCTCGAGGTGGAGACACAGGGCAATACGGTACTGAATGTAAGCCTTCATGCGCTGGAAAATCTGGCGGGCAAGCTTGATAGCATCGACGATGGTGGAGAGACCGGGGGCGAGGAAGACAATATCGGCGGCAGCCTGGGCAGCCTCAGTGGAACCCTCGACAGCGATACCACAATCAGCCTTCTTGAGAGAGGGAGCATCGTTGACACCATCACCAGTCATGGCGGTCAAGTGACCACGCTGCTGGAGCATCTCGACGACCTGGTACTTGTGCTCGGGGAAGACCTCAGCGAAACCATCAGCCTTCTCGACAAGGTCGTGCTGGGCAGAACCAGCGAGACCACCGTGGATCAGACGCTCAGAGTTGTAAACCTTGGTACCGAGGGCAAGCATCTTGCAAGTCTCCTTAGCGATAGCAATAGCATCACCAGTAAGCATCTTGACGGAGAGACCGAGAACCTGGGCCTCAGCGATGGTGTGGGCGGTATCCTCACGGGGGGGATCAAACATGGGGTACATGCCGAGAAGCTGCCAGGGCTCACCCTCCTTCTGGACGGCGACACCGAGGGAACGGAAACCACGACGAGCGAACTCAGTGACCTTCTCGCGGTAGAGCTTGGCCTCTTCAGGAGAGCAGGAAGACATGTTGAG